TTTATTAAAAAAGAATTTCAAAAACGGGACAAAATGTTTTGATTTACCTTTTCAGTGAGATTGCCTTCTAAATGATGTCATTTGATAAAAGTGGAGGACACTTCCATATACAGAGATAGCAAATGTTTGGTCTCCCTGGAGTAGTATTAACTTGGACACAGACCAAACTAATTAGAAATGTACAAAGACCCCTCACAGTGCTGACTGGACTGTGATCTGTTGAGTGTTGTTTCCAATCTCAGATCACAGTTTAAATAATCTTCTCTCTGTGGTTTCTCAGAGGAACAAACTGCACCTCACTGCTCCATATCGGACAAATGCATCTGGAATATTTCTAATGACAACACAAAATCATGAACTCTATTTTTAAAGGAAAGTGCGTGACCTTTTTATCCTCTTAAGTCGAACGTGTTCGTGAGATAGACCGACAGAGACAGTCTGGGCTTTACTTTTCCTACACGGTGTCATTGCATTATTGAAATACGCTGCTTTGTTGCAGAACCAAAGCATGCAAGTCGGAAATCATTGTCCAAAAATGATCGGCTTCACATTTGACTGCACTCGCACATAAATTTGACCACATGACAGGGTTAGGTGTGATTATTATGAAAGCCTAAGAGGAGCCTGAGACTGTCGTCCTGTAACTGGTCCACACCCTGTTATCAAGATACAGCCTTGTCAGAAGTGACTGTTAATAAAGCGATTGCCAAAGAGCGTAACCATCTTGATTCGACATTTCTAATTACACTTTTGTAACAACACACTGCAGGCTCTCCCACCTAAACCCTGCTGCAGTACCCACTGTACCTGGTGCAGAATTATTATTTATTATTATTATTTTGGAATTTCAAAGACGAAGACTACTATGAAGACTGACATCAAATGCTAATTTAAATAAATGACCGTTGCGTTATGAGGGCAACAATATGCACAATATGTTTTCATTGAAGCAGTTAGATATTTTTTTACTTTTTTTTTTTTTTGCTTCATGAAGTTATGTGATAAAGTGTTACAAAAATGTATTAGTTACTTTCAAGGTAGAGCGTAATCATGCGTGCTGCTTCTTTTGGTCTGCAGTATCAGTTTACCAGTCCAAATTTCAAATAGAAGAACCCCTTGATCCTTTTGGTGCTGACAGAGAAGTTCAACACAAAGAAAGAAACGATTACTTATCCCCAAACATGTCACCTCAAATAAGAAATCATGAACATGAAAAATATGATTCATTGATTTACTGTCACTGAATTTAAATTGAATCTGTCAAGGCTGTAAACTAGTGCAACTTAGTTTTTTCTGATGTCTGCGGGTGCATGTTGCAGGAAATCTCTGGGATGCTTTGTTCACAGAGTCAAACTCCACTTTACCCAGAGCGCCCAAAACAAACACACACACACACACACACACAGCCGCAGCTGGGATGATTTATAACCAGCCGCGTCTAATGGGTTGCTTTGGCACTTGAGAAATTATGAAAAGAAATTAATTAGCCTTTAGTGACCCTGCTGTCCATCTGCTGCTCTCTCTTCCGGCTGAGGAGCTCGGCTGCTCTCTTTGCATATAATTGCAGTTTAATGGGCTGCACTTACCTGTCGCAAATGTATCTGGGCTAAATCGCAGGAAAAAACATCGGCCTGTAGATACTGTACCATGGTGACATTTCAGTGACCCAGTCGTCATTACGAAATGAAGGGTGAAATATTTGTTATGTAACATACAGGGGTTAAGTAACCTCTGCACTGTTTGAATTGCTAAATTGTTGCATTCTACTGTATAACCCATCTCCAGGTTGAACTTCTAATGAATCCCTGCTAAGTTATGTTGATGTGTTGATACCAATGATGCCAATACTTTGAATAATTGGACCATTCCTTACTGACACACCTAACCCTCCCATTCCATCGAAAGGATTTTCTTGTAACAAAAAAAAAGGACAATAAAAAAGTAAAAGGATATTTTCAGCTCAAATTCTTTAAATTTGCCACAAGAAACTAAATTTCAAGTCCTTTTTTTCATGGAGCTAAAATTTAATTCAAGACAGTTTGGTGTTACTTTGAACATTTATCACACTTAAATGTTCTCTCGTGACTGAAGTGTTGGTTTTGAAAATGGCTCTATTGTGCTCTGTTCCCCATTGGAGTGTCTCAACACTGCTGTGATCACTCCACAGTTCCAAAGTTTGTCCCACACAAAACAATTTCTGGTTTTTGGACTTAGGAATCCGTTGAGCAATCATTGCAATTTCTCCCATATGTTGAAATGGAGACAAAGAAGCTAGGAGTATTCAATTGCTTTTAAACAGATGTTACTTTATCGAACACATCTTTTATATTAGTGAGGCAGTAGCATTGAAATTCTTCCAAATTCCAAACATTACAAGTAAGGTGCTATAAGGAACTATACATGACAAATACTTTAGCTTGTTTTTTTTCCTTTAAAGGAATCATTTAATAGAAAACAATTCTGTTACAGAGATCGTCAAACTCTATGTACAAAGAAAAAAGAATGAATACCTTAATAAAAGCCCAGAGAAAGCAACCGAGCAGCATCTCAGCTCCTCCTCGCTGAGGGTTTTGGTGAATTGCTGTTATTTTCTCTCCTCTTGCTTGATTCACTCAGCGAAGAGAAAGGTCAACCCAGCTGAGAAACCAGGAGGCTGCCTGTCTCTGGGTTTCTCCGCTCTTTTCTTACAGGAGCCTTTAACTGCTGCAGCATGAGAAAGGCACCTTTATCAGATGTGCCCTCTTAATTTTCTCTAATGTCAAAGATTTTTCAGGCGGTCTGGCAGAATGAGCCAAAACAAAAACAGGCGTTCTGTTTCAACCTGGACCAAAGAAAGCAGTCTTTGAATTTAACAGAATTTATATACAGCCCTTTTTTGGCAAGTGTTTAGCTAAAAAATAAACTCCTTTTATTAATTATTTTTGAAGTTCCCTGTCCCCCGAGCTCTCAAAACCAGCTGGCGTGAGCAGGAAAAGAGTTGGTGAGAGCGGTGCTGGAGGAGATGTGATTACAGTCCACAGCAAAATAACACTCCACATCCACACAAGAACACACACAGGCCGTAAGGGTTTTTTTTCTTTCCGTCTCTCTGTGTTTACTTGCGTGTGTGCGCGAATGTGAGTGTGTTTGTAACTGTGTAAGGATATTCCCTTTAGTCCCCTGATGTTTATCTTGACAAAAACATTCACTCTTAGAAAGCAGCTTTGTGCAGCCGGGAGAATCACCACCCGCCTGAGACGCGCCCAAACAGATGGGAGGTTACGCTCTTAAAATATGTTTTGTCATATAAAGTTAGCCAGAAACACGTGTTAAGTGCTAATGAGTCATCCTTGTCTTGGCCGTAAAGACAGCAGTCAGAGTTTCCTTAGTTTTGAGAGGCCGGATATTTTTCCCCATATAAAGACAGTCATAGTTATTTCTTGGAGACTAAAGCAAACGTTAGATAGTTGGTCTTACATGTCACATCAATGTTCTGGTGAAGTAAATAACCGTTAAACTCTTACATTTACCTCAGTTGAGCATTTGCTTGATGTAATGTGAGGGGTGATTTTGGCTTGTATTACAGGACTTTTTCGATATTCAGTTTCTATTCCATATAAACTGTCTCCACTCTGACCTGCTGTCATCTGTATTTAAGATTAACTGGCACAGGTACTTCACAAAGAAAAGTAATCCCCAAACCCTCCTTTCATTTGTAATTCAAGCTAATAATGAGTGCTCTCTGTCTTTTTATGTGACGTTTGAAGTGACTGCTATGGCAAACACAGTACTGATATTAACAATATTCGACATAACAGAAAAAACTAAACATAGAGCTCTTTTGCAGCGTTCTCGTTTTCTGTATAATTTGGTGTTGAGTGATTATTGTTCAGAGATGTTTTCTCAACGCTGGTCTGTTATCTTCCTGTTTTCTGGGGAAAAAAGAGCCCTGAAGCGTGTTTATGGTTTTGTTAGCTTTATGTATGTTTGCTCCTTTGCTGTTATCATCTGAATAATGTGGGTTTCTGGTTGGTTTGTCTTTCTTTTTATTGCTCCCAACAATGGCCTCTTGCTAGTGACATCAGTCGGCTGTTCCTTGCAGCCTTTTTTTGTTTTCAATTAATTGTTTCTGTTTTCTGGCCCTCATAACTTCTTAGTTCTTGTCTTTATTTATTACCAGCATCAATATATCTGCAGCAGGCCACTGTTTTAATTCAAAATCCCCTGTTCACTGTGTAAAGTTTATCAGGTTGATTCATTAGTGGGTCAATATTGTGAATAAATAAATAAATCTATATGGTGGGTTTAAACGTTTATGATGATCTTATTTTACATGAATGAATTGAAGTACTGAACCTCAAGACAAATTCTGATTATTGCTGACAATGGGGTCCTTTTACCAGAGAGAAGAGATGACAAATGAACTACAGAGTGACAGAGACCAGCAGACGGGAGTGACTCAGCGAGACAAAGTGACAGACTGAGGCTAAAGCACATGCAGGGATTATTAGGGACTCATTGCGGGGATTAAGGAGGAATGCTGAGGTCTGACACACCAGAACGTGATCTGGCTGCAGCTTAGTGTTGCTTTTTCCTCCCTTAGCCCCCCTGGTTTCCTACCGCTCGCCAACCAGCGTCCCGCATATACGTGCACCGTCACATCAGTCACCTCTGACTCCTTCTGCCTCGTTCACACACATGCCCAATAGCTCACCCCAGCCAGTTCACACGAATTGTTCAGTGGGTGGTAAAGGTAGAGCACGATCCAATTTCCATGGATTTTCCACCTGGATGCTGCCGCAGAACAAATCCAATGTTTTTTCTAGCTGGCTGGAGATCATGAGAACTGTATTCTTTCCAGATGAATTGGTTGTACCACACAACTGTGTTCGGACTCACACGAATGTATATTTGTGTATCTTCATACTGGAATATTTGCTGGGATGGTGAAAGCCCCACATAAAGTTTTGCATGTTCTTTACCCATCACTACCTCTGATTCTTTCTCCTCTTCTCCTACAGATCTGAGCTCGACCTGGACTACGACAGCTATCACGATGACTACTATGACAGGTACTGTCAGAAAGCAAAGCCCTGGCAGAGAACATACCTGATTGCTAGTCTTTGTGTCACAGGAGCCTACAGGAGGAAGCTAAAGAGGATTCTTCTCCCTCCTCCATGCTGTCAGCCTCAGAGCTGTCAGTCACTCTCTTTGTTTAGTGTTGCCTTTCACCACAAAGCAGACAGAACTTCCATCAACAGTGACACGCAAAACTAGATTTGCACATTCACACACAGTTGTAAATGTATTGTAAAATGTGATTCTCCATCATGAGGGTCACATCAACATTAAAAGTGGTTTTGAGAGAAAAACAACATTTTGGTCACACTGTGCCATAAAAGTTGGTATTCAGCAAAAAGTTTAGCTACCACAACTATCTGCATCTTTGTTTGGTTCAGATATTTTAGAATCCTGTTGCCAGAATGATCCATGTTTTGATTTTGGATGCTATGTAATAGGTGGGTTTAGATGTTGGGATTTTTGGTCCCCATTCGACCGCTAAACCCATAAACCATGCTCGGCAGGAACCAGAAATCCAACTGGAAAACTTTATTTGCAAAGTCATGTCCATTGTCCTTTGACACACACATTTTTCACAATTTTGTGGTTATGTCATGCTCTGCTGAGGGTCTGGGCTGGCAAGACGCAATGTACTTGCAAACGTTTGCATCCATTTGCAGCACAACTCGCTAAGGCTTTGGCACGTCCCGTCCCTGAAAGGCAGCCTGTGACAGCTGTGTGAAGACCGCTTAGATATTTGTTTGGATACAGTTTGGAGAGATACACCAACCACAGATTCTTTTTTTGGAGTGGTGCATTTTGTATGCGGAACCTGTGCCACAGGGGCAGCTGCCTTGGCTCTCATTTACATGAAGACCGATAACTTCTGACAAAAACTCACCTCCCGTCGCGACTTCCACCGTCGGGATCTGCTCCATAATGTTATCAGACACTTTCTATTACAGTCTGTGTCAGGTGCTAATGCAGGTACTTTTACTCCGTGCCAGACATTAGTCCATTTAAGTCCCACAGCAGCTGTTTGGCTGGGGTCTGTCATTTGGGTTTTAATAGAAACTATGTATGTGCTTCTTTTACATTTCTGTCTTTAAACCGGGGGAAATAGAGGCGAGGCGGAAAACCTGCAGACCAGACTTGCTGCCTGGACAAGTTTCCAGCAGCCTATAAGTGCAGCTCTAAAAACCCTGAAAGCGAGTGTACTGTTGGGGACCCCTCCTGAACTCTCGGCTCAGCAGTTAGTCTGCAGCGTAAGTGCAGTGGTCAGGTGGACAAAGCAGTTAGCGGAGCCTCACTCACTGTAGCTCCGTATTATCGGTCAGCCACTGAAATTGCTCTGGGATCTTCAACCTCCCCAAGGTTTAACTAATAATCGCTTTACTCAGCACATCTGAGCAAGATGAGGGAAACGATATAGGACACAGTCAGAGATATTGATGTAGAGCTGAATTTATTCGTTTCGTTTGCTCTTTTCTTTTGTATCATGGATCATTTTAAATTTCTTTGGAACACAAGGTATGACTCTCTCCCCATGCAGCTGGTCACCACTTAAAGCACATGTGTCTGTGTTGAGAAACTCCTGGGCTGAAGGCCGTGGAGTGTCTCCATGTATCTTAGTTTGCTGTTTGTGTTCATCAGTATGTGGGGGAAAGATAAATTAGTGTTTCTGTCCACAGTGCTTTTGTTTAAATACAAAAGTAAAGTGTCTTCAGCACTCAGATAACAGCTCTAGCTGACAAAGCTGCTTTCCGCTGAGGTCTAATCCACAGAGACAAACACTGTCTCAAACACACACTCACACACTTTTCTGTAATCCCCGCTCGTCTGCCGGCTCTCATTGTCAGAGATTCAGTTCTCTGGGATGGCTTTTCAAAGCTGGTGTAACATCACATTGTATGTCTGCCCCTACAAACCGCTCTAAAAGACCTTAAACTCCAATAAGTCTTTGGTCCCCGTGTCTCCCGCTGCATGGACGAAGCTCAGAGCCTCTGAGCTCGCACACAAATGGTGACTTTGTGGTTTGTATGTGTACTGTGGATCATCTGTGCATTTTAGAGTGAAGAGGCTTTGCGGTATAGAACAAATAGACATCAACATAAAAACTTTTAAGGATACCATGCTGCGTTTGAATGACTGCATAACGGCTCAGTCAGTAATTTTACATTAAGTTGGAACTCTGAACTCCTTGCAGCTCACAGCTTGTGGCCTTGATCCAGGCTTGCAATCTACAGCACAGGAGCGTTGCACTCCCCTGCCGATCTTTGATCCAGACATTTCCAGATTGTATGTAATTGAGATCTCTAACAGATGCCTTGGACTGAAATGAGTTCACAGTGTGCGTCTGTTTTTCTCATTGTTAATTTGTTATCTATTTTTTTAAACTCGAGTAAAGTCAATCGTTAAATGATGAAGCCGGCTGGTTGTTTCTGATCCTGTTGTTGCATTTCACCTGGCCAGTGGGGCAACGGTTGTTGAGGTAATTCTCCTTTTAAATCACTGCCTGATTTCTATTTCTACAGAAACTGCTGTGCACAAAGTGTCATTTCTGTAACCACTGTAGAGGTTGATTGTGATACAGCCCCTGTCACCAGCACTACTAGCCTGGCGGGGAGCTATTGATTGGTCCTGACAGAACCAATTACATTCAGTGACAGATACAGACATGGGGAAGAGGCAATAGGAAAACTTCCCAAGTTTCTCCCACACACTCTTCATTTATGAAGAATAAAAGACGAACGTAAAATAAATGCGATCACATTAAGAGCAACTTTCTTATTTTCCTTTATTCAAGAAACTTGTATAAGCACGTTATGAGCCACGAAACTTTTTTTGTTTAAAAGAAATCCACCTGAGGGATCAAACCTCAATAGCTTTGCACTTTGTCTAGAGATAGAAGGCCATTCAAATTTTCTACAGAGCAACCATCTCTGTTGTCAATCTGCTGTATGAACCCAGTTTAGACATTTTCTTCGGTATGTTCCTAACAGCATTGTTTCCAACTTCTTGTGATGCAGAGCCATTTTTTCTTTATATAAATCCAATTGTCTGCTAGTTATTTCAGAACTGTCTCTGCTTAATCTGCAGGGTGTATGACTACCAGCGTGTGCCAGCTTCCAACTCTCCTCTACCTCTGGGACCCAGCCTGGCCAAGAGATCCCGTTCCACCTCTTACTCCGCGGGGCACAGACGAGGCCGAGAGAGAACTCACTCCAAAAGCTCCAGAGCCCACTCCACCAGTTCAAACACAGCCAAGTGTGAGTGACGTGAATGGGCAGCCACGGAGATTAAACCTAAAATGCTTAAAACTGCTACTTAAAACAAAGGAAAAACACAAACATCTAGGTTGTCAGTCTGAGGCACTTTTAAACGAAAGCTTGATATTCTTCCCTTTCTGAGGCCATGCTGTATCTGATGCTGCCTTAATGAAACAAAAAGTTGGGAAATAGCTGTGTGACGGTAATCAGTTTTCAACCCCAAATCAAAAACACAATTAACCCTGTCCCTGGTGTCCAAATCCATGACATATCAGATAAAGTGGACAAATTTCTCTTTTTCTCTCTTTAAAAGTTAAGTGATGCTGCTCATTTAACCTCCTCAAGAGGACGTTATTGAAAATTAAAATGAATTATTATTAGTCAACAATGTTCTCTGTGTCTGATGTAGATTCTAACCTAATTTGGTTAAGAATTAGCACTTAAATGTAGGATTTAAAAACATCAGGCTGATAGCTAAACTGCTATTATTTAAGATAATATGAATATTACCTTAATGCATGTATTACACCTACATGCGGTTGCAAAAGAATTTACATGAAAATGTACTTTTATGCTAAAAGGATATGATAAGAGATCCTTCAGGAAGACCTGAAAAAATCTTGATATAATTAAAACACAAATAAACTCTGATATCTAACCATTAGCCCACTCAGAAGATGACATAATATGAAGCAAATTCCTGTCTAATCTCTTTCAACAACATACATGTTAAATCACCCTTAGGAGTCTGGATATCTATTATATATATATATATCTATTAGCCATAATACTGAACTCTCAAACCAAATGAGATCATAAATTCTAAAGAAGGAAATTGAGACTTGTATTCTTCCATAGTTTCAAGACGCTGGTCACATTAACAACTTTCTTTAGATATATTTATAGGCTCTTTTATTCCAAGTGTGATTTATATTCTCTCCCTTTTTCACTGCAGTGGGGATGGAGGAGTTGCAGGTGATTAAAAAGGAGCTGACTCTGATAAAGACACAGATCGATGGGCTGCTTGACAGTCTTGACAGGATGGACACACAGAGGAATGACCATAAAGGTGCGCCGCTCATTCAGAAAGACAGCAGAGGGAGTGCACGATCAAACGATGGAGAGTCTTTCATACATCAAAACCATTTAAAGGCAGATTGTCACTGATGTGCCGGTTTCAAAGGTGCTTGCTTGACTGGCCCCTCCACTCACAGCTCCAAGTAATGTGACACAGAACGTGTGCTTTAGGAAAACCGGGGGACAGGAATTTACTGACTGCATGGGTGGAGCCACTCTTCGTTGTATTTGAAAAAAACAAACATTTTTCCCCAGTTAGGATCAATTTATTTTGATGTTAAAGTCAGATCAATGTCAACCAGACAGGAGGCAAGTTGATCTGGTGTTTATAGCTAATACTACACCAGGAACAAGCATCACCGTTCAGGTAAATGTCAGAAGACAGGAAACACGTGCAGCAGCACAACAGCAGCTCACTGCACCTGCTGTCGGACGGAGTGATGTTACTGCCCTCATGTGGGCATCCTACGTGTAGGTCCATGGCAGCAGGTCAGCAATGAAGAGGACAGGGTTTATTGTCCGGCTGCTTGAAAGAGATTTTACTGCAGCCTTAATTAAACTGATAGTAAACCGAAAGGCATTTAATATCACTCAGATGGTGAAGAACACTCTCATCTGGCCTCCAAATCCTCATTTACTGCTTCACTAAAATGTTCTTGACTGAAGACACTGCAATAACCTTGACGCCATTACCATAACTTCTGAAAGAATATACACTTGAACAGAGCACTTGAAAGAATGAGGGGCTGCACCCAAAGCATTTAGCTGCTGGGAAAATACTTGAATACATATCTTTGCCTCGTATGTGCTATTGAATCTACTCGGAATGACCTTGGGCAGTAATAGCTCTCATATTTATATTAATTATTCTCTGGATCCACTTGATTCCAGTGTCCATCGCTGCGTAGTCCAGCTGTTGAACACTTCACTCCCACCATCTCCACATCTGTCCCTCATCCTGTCACTTCCACCTGTGTTCTATCACCACTCCAAGAAAAGATAGACAACGTTTACTTTCTTCTTGTTGATGGCAAACTCGGATTTCAGCTTCTAAAATGCATAAATGCACGTGTTTTTAGGGTCTCCCCTGAGAGAGGAGAGTCCAGTCGGCTCACCGTATGCCGTGTCCGCAAGCAGCCCCGAGCAATCCCTCTGTTCCCTTTCCCCACCCACCGCCCGCCACAGGATCCACAGGGAGAGTCCCGACCTGAGGGTGCACGATGACGACCAGCACACGGTATCTGCGCCTCAGCAGACATTTCTTTTCTTTAAGAGAAATAAAAAAGAGCAAGAGAGTGCCACAGCGTGTTCATTTTGTTTTTAAATTTGTGTCATGAGACCTCATGTTTCTTATCATATTCAGAATCTTGCCTGTTTATTTATTCTAAGTAAGTAAAACGGAGTGATGGAATCACATTTTCCTCAGAAGGCATTGTTTTGGCTTGATAATGTCACATGCTGAGAACTACGCTTCAGTCTATGAGACGCATGAACAGAGTACAATCCTCCGTTTCTATGAAATCGAGTTATACTCTCAGAAGGAAATTTCACTGACTCACTCTGAGCTGGCAGCTAATGAAACTCTTCTTTGTTTTTCCTCTCCCCACCCTGCCTCTCTGTCTGCATGTCTGCTGGTCTGTCACAGATGAGCAACCACAGCTCTGACCCTGAAGAGGAAATATGAGGGAGAAATATGAGAAAGCGTCGAAGATTTGGATCAAGTGCCAAACATGGAGGAAGAGAATATGAACCTTCACCAAACACCAGAGAGCTTCACGTAGTCTGGGCATATCACATCACATTTACTTTTGTCACATGAGCTTGGTTTCTCTCAGATACACTAATGCAGCTTACTCGTAAACACCAAACAAAGATAAATCGAACTGACAGGAATTTGTCAGGTTGGCTTGAGATATTGAGAAGAAGATACATTTTATCCACACAGCAATTCTTAAGAACAACTGGAAGCAATGTGATGAGTTTTACCTCCCTACTTTAACTTAATCTATTTCTCTGTCTGAAAGAGTGGATTTGCACGAACAGCAATTTTCCACAATGGATTAAAATGTCCCAGTGTAAAAGTAAAAATGTTCAGCGCTTTAAAGTCTGCTATAATTTAACGTTTGAGTTTGCTTTGTTGTTTTTGTTTAGTTTTTTTCCAGAAAACAAGAACAACTAAGAACAAATCTCAGCAATACACTTTGCACACTGTGAGCGTTTTTGCCTGGGAAAAAAAAAAAAAATTAATACACTATTGACAGAAAATGTATTTCATCTTGTTTTGTTGATGGATATAATATAGACACATGGACTTTTTGTTGAGGATATAAAACATCATAGTTTGAAGCACATACTAAACTAAATTTAAATAGCAAATGTTCCCCATGCTGTTTTCCACATTGCCATGGCGATGCATTCTGTAATGGTTACGGGCCCTGGAAAGCAAAACAATGGGTTCCTGACCAAAATGTTACTATGTGGAAATTTGGGAGTAAGTTTAATGTCACTGGAGATCTTTAAATTACCTTTGCTGAATTATGTCTTTCCTGCAAAAAGAAAAATCTATAATGAGTCATTAACATTTTTTTAATCCTCGGAAGTGACATTCCTTAAAAAAAAAAAAAAAGAGTCTTTCTTTTTTTTTTACATCGAGTTCAAGTCTTATCATTTAAAATCCTTCCAATTTAATTTACTCAATGAATAATTGCAGTCATTTGCAGAATGTGGTCATGCTGGAATAATATGCATATGTCCATAAAAGTAAAAATCCACTGTTTCTTAAAGGAATCTCAAATGAAATATTTGGGAGTTTTTTTTAAAGAAATTGTGAGCCTCAAAGAGTTAGGAATTTATCTGAGGAGTCCTTCAGGTGAGAAAAATGTTTCCTGTTTTTAGATTAGACATTAGAGTAATGTGACAATTCTCTTCTTCTATGTTTTTGCACTGGAAGATGTGCAAAGGCCCAGGTCAGTGTGTAATATTGCGTATTATTGTATACTTTACTGTAATTGTTTAGCTGTCTGATTTAAGATTGCTTTAGTACTTCTCATTTGTTAATTTTTTTACAGGAGAGTAATGTTGTAATTATATAATTCCTATGGTGTTGCGGGTTCCTGTTTGCATTGTCAAGATAAGCCAAGTGAAAATACTCATTGTCTCTGTAGTAAAGTATTTTCATATTGAGCATAAAGCTGATATTGTTGGGTTTTTATTATAAAAGGAGGAGACAAAAAGAGGATAAGAGTGGAAGTGATGGGTCTTCCTGTGAAGGATACATACTTGTTTTGTAACGATGATGATAATAACAATAATAATTGCAAAAATTCAACAGACTAGGAAAACTATTAAAATAAAACCCTTATCTCAATTCAATTGTATGAATTATATGAGTAAAGGAACTTGAGGAAGCTGACAAAATATTGCCTAGTCAAAGTGTGGCCTTCTTACAAGAATAAGAACAAAAATAAACGTTTAATAAAGAAGTATGTACTTTTTACAGGCACTCACCCTTCTGGTTTATGTCAGTGGGGCTAATCTCACATTGTTATTAAAAAAGGAGGGACATCACTTTCAGTTACCTGCAGCAAAGGGCACATCTAGAAGGTAATTAGCTCCAAACTGGAAATACAGTTAACTGTCTCATGACTAATTCTATTGGTTGCCTGATTTATTTATTTTTTGCTGCAGAATTGAACAGCAAGTTTGTCCTTCTGCCCCATTTTCCAATACATTTTTAACTCTGAGTCTGTATATGGCAGACATTCATTATAATTTTGTGTCGTTCACTGTGCAAAGACAGTAAACAGAGGGGGAAAAAGACAGAAACAGAACAAAAAGTACTTTTTTTTTTACATCTGAAAAATCTGTTTAATCAGATATACCTGATATCAGCCCGCAGAAGACTACACCACAATAATTTTGACTTATCACACGGTAATAAATTATTAATACTTTAAAAGGTGTTATTTTGTCATATTTTCATATTTTGTTAAAGGGCCAAATAAAGACTTAAGCCAAAAAATAATAAAAATCTCCCAATTCTTTCTTGGATCAGGCTTTAAAGGGTTAAAGTGACTTGGCAAGCCGGGTTAGGGTCCTGAAGTCATGCAGACTTACATCAGACACTATAGACCTTGTTATGTTTGATGCTATTAATCATGCTGATCTTCATCTCTGCCTCAAAGGAAGTCCTCCTACAAAGTTCAAAGTTCTGAAAACAAAGTGAAAAAAGCGCTCTTGCACAACCGACCTAATGTTGACCAAAAGATAAGCACAAGCATGAAAACTTTGAATAATGCTGAATAGTACAGTGTGCAGAACTTCACGTGGGGAATGTGAGTAAAAAATCTCATTCTGGGTAAATGAGCCGTAAAATGACATTTCTTGGTGAAAGCTTCTGACCTAGTTTTGATTTAAAATCGTCACTGAAGATGAGTGTGTTCAGACTGCAGCAGCTGCAGGGTCACATTTTGAACGGAGAAAAGGTAGGTGGAAAGAAATGTTTTTACTAAGCCTGCAAACTTAACTCTTTTTAATGATTTAAACGGAGAGGCAACAAATCTTTGTATGCATGTTGGATTGAGTTTCTATTCACATGCAGTGAGGAGTAATTAATTATCATGTCATTTATTTCTTAAATATTACAACTCTTCCTTTCTAGGTGATTCCAACGTTAGTAGTTTGACAAAATACCTTTTTTTTTAGGTCTTGGCTTTGTTGCATAAGGGATAAAATAAAATAAAATAACTTTTACATGTTATTAAAGTTAACATGTAATCATCCAAGTGAACAAATATAAGAAAAAAGTCCCTTTTCCCATTTTTCACCAAATTTTTAAGCATTATTGTATGAAACTAAATTATATGGCAACTGTCTTTGGAAATTGTAACTGGATTTATGTTCAAATAACATAACATTAATTGAGATGCACCTCTTTTCTTTATAGACCAAAAGCATGGCAGGCTCACCAAGTCCTCTGACCACCCATGTTCTCAACACTGCTTTGGGTGTACCAGGGTCAAACATGCCTCTTATACTTTATCGACTAGAACCTTCCACTGAAGTCTGGCAATTGATAACCACTGGGTAATGACTATTAAAGATTGAATATACTTCTATAAAATCCATATCATGATAAATAAAAAGATCTACAAAATTCTGTTTTCTCAATAGGATGACCAATGATGATGGACGATGCCCAGGACTGATCACATCCCAGATGTTTACATCGGGTGTATACAAAATACATTTTGAGACTGCTCAGTACTGGGCAAGTAAGGGGGAGACTTCCTTTTATCCCTATGTTGAGGTGAGGAAAGAATTGCCATATCTAGCTGTTTTTCTGAGTCACGTTGTGTTGTATATTTTCCTTTTTTGTTGTCACTGTTTTCTAACTACATAAGCAAGTTTGCATCAAAGTGAAAAAATGATGTACAATTCATGCTGGTAACAATTTTGGCTATCAATTGAATTCTTCAGTGGCTGAACTTATCTTATGTGTTGTTTTTATTGCAGATTGTGTTCACAATAAATGAACCAGGCCAAAAGTACCATATCCCACTGCTTCTGAGTCGCTTCTCTTACACTACATACAGAGGGAGCTAAAGACCAAGTGGGATGATTCTCCCTTTTTCCTGCAGTTGTACCTCACTGAAGAAAGGAAGTGGCAAATGTTTAAAGGTCATTCATTGATGTCCCCAGTGGAGTCACAGATTGACTGATTTGATATTTCATGAGAATAAAAGAAGCTACACCAGATTTCAAAGTATTGCCTCTTTTGTATATCTCTTGAAACCTAACCCTTCTAGATGTGCTGTGGTTTTTTCTCTCACAGGCATGGGGTAACTGTAAGTGATGTCCCTCGTTTTTTAATGACTTTGTGAAATTAATCCCACTGAGGTAAACGCCCCCATTTAAATTAGTTTTATGCCATTCAATTTCGGGATGGGTAAAAGTGTTTTGCGTTTTGTTAATTTGTTTTCTGAAATATAAATGTGTCTAAAGCTTTTTTTTTTTAGTCTCATAATTTGTTGTGTTGGTTTGCACCTCCCGGCCACCGTAGCCGCCTGTGCTCTCATCCTGACTCTGGGCTCGTTTGCTATCTTCTGATTTGTGGATCGTATTTTCGGGCTCCATTGCTTTTCCTTGGGCTAGTTTGGGCCTTACCTCCGTTGGAAAAATTGTGTGCATTTTAGTACGATTCTCCACCTCATTTAAGGCTATTAGGTCTACATTTCAGGAATAAGCAATGGCAGATGAAGAATTGGAGGCGATAAGGCGGCAGAGAATGGCGGAGCTGCAGGCAAAGCAGGGGGTAAGAGCTAAACCTGGGCGAGGGAGCGTGTCCGCGGTCGCCTTATAAGGAGCTGCTCAGTATGCTGCTAGCTTGTGAGGCTAATTCAAGCACCATCACCCAGGCTGTTTCTCTTCAAAGTACAATGTCTGTGAACTGTATTAGTTGCTGAGTGGGAGTTCACATATCTGCCAAGTCAGTGGCCATCATCAGCCCATTGGGTGACCTGTGCTGTGTTAAGGCCCCAACCCACAACTCCCCCTGACCACTGGAAGCAGAACATAGGAAAAGCTGTAACATAGAGCTCATCTGACAAAAGCAGTATAGTGGCCTGGGTGGGAGAATATGTATCTCAGATAATAAATGTTTTGTTTTTGTTTTTTTAATCAAAATATAAAGTTTGATATAATGTATGTGATGATATCCCTTTGTACTGTTCAAATCGAGGGCATCCTTTTAAAAAGGTTTGTGTAGGATCCTGGTTGGTTTTGGAGCACCATTCCCTCATTGATGAAAAATAGATCCTAATATTTTTTCTTTCTTCGTTTATGAAACGTAGATAGAATTGGTAACCCTTTAATATAATGTCTGTCCCGGTTGGGTTTTTTTTGTGTTTTTTTTTCACTATTCATCATCCTTCACTTTGATTTTGACAACAGACATGGATTGCTTTTCAATTGATAAAACTGACCCAAAATCGTATGTATAATATTTTTTTCCAAGAAATAATTAATGCACTAATGCTTTAAGGTATCTTAAAATCGACTTAAAATGGATAAAGTAGCACACTCCATGTTCAGAAACAGTTGTGTATCAGAGGTTGGATGGGTTTTAGGGGTTGTAAATCCAGGTTTTTAAAAAAGATGAAAATTATTGGAGACAGAATACTATGAAACAATTTAGAGTTATTGAGCATGTTTTGAATTTTTTTTTTTAGCAGTTGAATGGTTTTATCTTGGTTTTATCAACAATAACCTCTAAAACTGTACTCTGTTGTCTCTTATACTTGTTCAGGATTCCTCAAATAATCAGCAAGGAGAGGAGGCCAAACAAAGGTAAAAAACAGTTTTATTATCTAAAGAGTGAGCATATTCTGACTGATATACAATACATTTTTAAATACATGGTGAAATGTTATAATTGAATAATTCTCAAAATTATTCTCATAGAATATAGACAGAACCAACAGAACAGCTGTTGTTTCTGATGCCTTGAATGCTAAAATAATACTCCACACACTCTGTGTTCTTCGCCTCAGTGATTGGGATTATTTTGTGTCTCTCTATTTACAGAGAAACAGAAATGAGGAACTCGATATTGGCTCAAGTTCTAGACCAGTCTGCCCGTGCTAGATGTGAGTATGTTTATATTACATGATTAAATCTCAGTTTTCACAGAAATCTAAATTGGAAATGAATGACATTCTCTTATTTTCTTCTTTCAGTGAGCAATCTTGCATTGGTGAAGCCAGAGAAGGCAAATGCAGTCGAAAACTATCTTATTCAAATGGCTCGATTCGGAAAGTTGGGAGGAAAGGTAACAGACACGTAGCACTAAAGACACGGAGACTGTACGTTGCTGAGGTTCTTCTAGATGTCAGAAAAAAGTGCTTTCTTTTTTTCTTTTTCTTTTTTCAGATTACCGAATCAGGCTTAATTGAGATCTTAGAAAAAGTCAGTCAGCAAACGGAGAAAAAGATGACTGTCACAGTAAGTCACCCGTCCTGTGTGATGATTTTTATTTCCTGGCACTTTTTCATAATAGATGTTTAATACCCTGTGTCTGGCTGACAGTTCAACAGACGGAGGGTGATGGACTCAGATGATGAAGATGATTACTGACTTTGAAATGCAGCCCTGGAATTTCCTAAGACTGGCAGGATCTTTGACTAGTGAGCACTTCTTCTTATCATTTTCCTTGGATTCCACGCTGGCTTCAGTATGTCTTTGAAATGGACACAACATAATGGAAGAACAAGAACTTTTGGCTGATATTTTGGCATGTGGCGGGAGCTAGAAAGCACACAGTGTCCAAGGAAGGGTTTCTTTTGCAATATCAAGTTGCTACAAATGTGTACGGCTTGTTTTGTTGTGTTCCTGATAGCTGATGGTCCCCTCGCAACAGGGAGTCTTTTTTTTTTTTTACCCAAACCACGGTTACCATGTCTATTCTGCAAAAAGAAATTAGAGGAAATGGAAAGTAGGTGCTCTGTATCTGCACTCTTCTGTGAATACATTTTCTTTCTTTTTTTTATTCAGAGCTAACATCCCATAGCCTCTAATGTTCCTGACATGTATTTAAAAGGTTTACATTAAAAAAATTAAATAAAAAAGGCCTTAAACCCAGATTTTTGTTATTCTCATAAGATATTTCTAATGCATTTTTTCTATTAGATTCGACGTTGAAGCCCTCTGAAAAGTTTTCCCGGAAACATTTATGCAAATTCCCGTATCCTTTAGTTTCACAAAAATCTGTAAAGTCTGACCTCATCCTTGTAGTAAATTTGATTTATCTGTGGATAGATTTATTTCACATTTTGAATCCGATCTCAGAAACCACAGTTAACAGATTGCCAAATGTGTCCAGTTCTATTGAAATATAATAAAGTACTGAGAACATATCTGTTCATTATTTGTTTTGTTTTTCTTTAACAATTTGATGCTGAGATTGTTGTGAAACCAAACCTTAGTTTTTACAAACACTATAGTGAGGTGCAATGCCACCAAAGAGGTTGGACCTAACCAAAGAAACTTATAGATAAGAAGTAAGTATATGGTTCTACTTAATGTGTCCCCAGTAGCTAGATTTTGTGTGAAAACTGTCGATGTGAGGTCACAGTCCTGCGTTTAGATATTTACAAAAGGAAAATATGTATGAAGAATACATGGAATATCCATCCATCCATCGTCCACTGCTTAGCCGGGGTCGGGTCACCGGGACAGCAGCCAAAGCAGGAAAACCCACACTTCCCTCTCCGCTTCTGCTAGTGGATCCATAGACGTTCCCAGGCCAGCCGAGAGACATAGTCCCTCCAGCGTGTCCTGGGTCTTCCATACCACTCATCAACCAAGCGTTTGTATTAATACAAATGTATAAAGTTGCCTCGTAAAATAAGAAGGGGTCATGGTAGTTCTGAAGTTTATCACTGTGTAATAATGTACAGTCTATTCATTTGTAACTTTTTCATTAATATTGTTGCCAAACAAATGAAGCAGAGCAGACTCTTATCTGCCCCTGAAGAGCATGTAGGATAGTGAATTATTACAGTACCCCGAATTTCTATTTTAAAATAATTCCATTTTGTTCTCCTTTCGCTCAATTCAACAAACGGTTAAACGGATTAAGATTTTTCTTTCTCAATAAATACCTAAATATTACTGGTTTTAATTATCCATGTTAGTAACACAGTGAATCAAATTTATAGATGACTATTATTGTTCTACTTTGGCACGACCCAGATCTAGCACGACCGTGGTCAGATGATTTTTCATTGGCTGTTAAGACTGTGTCGTCAAAACTGCTCTACTCTGATTGGTGTTGAGAATAGCCACATGTTCATCACAAGCCAATCGGGTGAACCCACCAGGAAACTGTAGTGTGCTTGACTTAGCCTTAATAAAACCGTTTACCACGACAAGACCTGCTGCAGAAGGGTCATAAGTTTGCTGAAATAGTGTTTTTCGTATTAACATCAAACTGAGGTATGCCAGAAGATAACATGGACAAACCACATATAGTTACATGCACAGCTCCGGTGAATATAGCTGTCATTAAATACTGTAAGTATCGCCTAAGTCTGTGTTAAAGTTAGCCACGTTTGTAGTATTAAGAGACTAGAAGTACTAGATGCTGACAGTACATGTGTACAGTGACTTAAAATTCTAATTTCTTTATGTTAATTTAATAAATCAAGTCGTGCACTGTGTATACCATCTTTTTTTAGGGGGGAAGAGAGATGAAGACTTGATTTTACCCACTAACTCGTCCTTGAGTGTCACACTGCATCAAGATCAGGTACTTAAGGATACCTTTTGTTTATCTGGGTGTTTATTAAAACTCTCAGCTTCCCTCTGTTGGGTTTGTTATAGTATTCATAAAGACCTAATAAAATAAAGTATGGAATGACTCCAAATCCTAGCAGTTCAGTTGACATGAATGGCCATGAGAGAAGATAATGTATCAAAAATGTAAGATTATATAAAGGTTTACCTTGGGCCACAAAAAAATATTCATAACATCAATATAGAGCTTTAAATTCTTGGGATGATTTTGAGTATAAAACTACATTCTCATTGAGACATGTCTTGGATTATTTCCTCTGTTTAGCTGAAAACTACCACAACAGTTGCAACCAGCAGATCATTTCAGGAAGATCGATTATGGCTGAACGGCAAGGAGGAGGACATAGCAAATCCCAGATTACAGTCCTGCCTGAGAGAAAGTAATTTGTGTTTCTTCATTTTTTTCTTTCATATGATACCCCGCAAAAGACATAAGCGGCAGGTGAAAATGTCTCATCTTTTTCTGTATTCAGTTCGACGATTAGCCCGAAAGAGGCATAATGATGGCGACCCCGATTCGACCCGTTCTACTGGTTTGTCCCACAAGGTTCACATTTGCTCTGTTAACAACTTTCCCACTGCTGCTGGACTTGCCTCTTCAGCGGCTGGATTGGCTTGTCTCGGTGAGTGTGTATGTGTGTGTGAGTTGTGCATTGCTCACAATCTGCTATGAAATCAAAGCCAAACATTTGATTTAGACAGTAAAAAAACTTCCTGATAAATATTATTAGAAATACCAATCTATGTCTATGTAATATTGTTAGTTTTCCTTGACAGGTGTTCAATGATCTGTTGTATTCTTACTTCCCTGAAGTGTATAGTCTAGCTCAAGCGTTTGGGGTGGATGGAGACCTGTCTGGGATTGCGCGTCAAGGTTCAGGCAGTGCATGCAGGAGCATGCACGGTGGCTTTGTCCAGTGGATCATGGGTACCAGAGATGATGGGAAAGACAGTGTAGCCCAGCAGGTGGAGCCAGAGACTCACTGGCCTGAGCTGAGGATCCTGGTGCTGGTGGTAGGTCGGATGTGTGACAGAATGAGACTTTTTGTGTAAGTCGTTAATGTACTGGTAAATGTGGCATCCAGATAGATTATCTTTGATGATGTAGAAGTGTATAGTTTGATTTGATGATTGTTTTTGTCACAGGCCAGTGCTAAGCGGAAGCCAATAGGCAGCACATCTGGGATGCAAACCAGTGTGCAAACAAGCTGTCTATTAAAGGTACTCCACATGGTGATTCGCTCGTGCTCTTACACTGTAGTCTAAAATGCTCAATGAAATGGGTTCACTACAAGTTGGTCATTTTTGTATGCAGCACCGTGCCGAGTCTGTCGTCCCAGGCCGGATGGTCGAGATGATTGAAGCGGTGCGAAGAAAGGACTTTCCTGCGTTTGCTGAGCTAACCATGAAGGACAGCAACCAGTTTCACGCTACCTGCCTTGACACATACCCTCCCATCTTCTACCTGAACAGTGTGTCTCAGCAGGTCATCCACTTAGTGCATCGTTATAACAGACATTACAGGGAGACAAGGGTGAGATTTCTTTTAAGTACAACTTATAGTTTAAGTGGCATTTTATGCACATGCTACCATGGCCTTTCTCATAGTAACAGAAAGCAAACATAATAAGAAATAAAGTCGGCTCAAGGTCTAAATGAATTCCAGCAGTCCGCTGATGTTAGACAATTCCTCAAGCACTAGTTTACGTCAAAGCTTGAAAAAATATTGTAAAACAGGCCTCTTTAAGCATCTCTTCTTTGTATCTGGGCCTCTCCTTTTCCTCTTGAAACAAATTTGCCTGATGTGAAGCGGCTGACTTTTTCAGATTGTGTAAGGAACATGTGAAACCTGCGAGGTGGTTTTCGAAAAGGGGAACAGGAAAGCACATCTTTTTATACGTCTTTCACAGGCCGTTTGCTCTCTTGTAGGCTGCCTACAGCTTTGACGCAGGGCCCAATGCCGTGATCTTCACTTTACAGCAGCACGTTCCAGAGTTTGTCCGGGTGGTTCAGCACTACTTCCCCCCAGAAGCCAATGGAGAAGAGTACGTTAGCAGAAACTACAATTAACCTCAAGTCCCTGTGTACTTCATCCTCCTCAAAGAGTAACACAAAATGGCAGTTCCATACACATGTTATACATGAGTCATGTTTAATATAAGATATTCATCTAATGGATTCAGAAATTCCTCTCTCAAAGTTTGTAGGTCACGACCTGAACATGACAGCTCTCTGTATTTACAGTACTGGTTCCACATTTCATCATTTAGTTGAGTCCAAAGAGCATCAAGCATTAACAGGTGACTCTTTGTAAGTGTTCATAACTGAGTGAGGGGATTGCATCCATGAGGAATCTTCAGAAAGCTGCCTGTCTAACCATAGTTAATAAGAAAAATAGGCCATGGGGAGGTACATTTTCCAAGAGCACAACTATAATCTTTTTTTTTAACCAAAGGAGAACTTTTTCCTTTTAAAAATTGTCGATTGTGACAGTGAATCTGAGAATCTAATCTGAAGAGGAAGTACTATCCTCAACAGTTGTGTTCTTAACTGTGACCCTAAGAATGGAGAAGTTTGTTGCAGAACTGCTGCTGTGGTTAGATCATTTGATTCACTAAAGAGGGATTTTGTTTTTTGGTTCACAGACCAACATAGTGTGTGTAACCCAGGCCTTCAGTGTTTTTATTGTGGTTAAAAGAAGATATCACAGTTTCAGAAATCCTCAGAAGAGACGGGAGAGTATGCCCAATAAAAAGTACTCTCTGGTCTGCTACAAAACAGCAGTGATTGATGGAAGTAAACTGTTAGTAGGCTTCTTTTACATTGTTTTGTGTTTCCTTCTTATCTGCAGCTTCATTAAGGGTCTTCCAGTAAAACGTGCTGGTCTGTCTGAAGAGCTGAAAAAGGGAATTGGTTTGGAGCCCATGCCAGACGGAATAAACTACATTATTAGTACCAAGGTACACACATTCTCAACAGTAATAAAAGTAATAAACTTAAATACTTAACCTACAGTCACAGAGAGCATGACCCTTTTTCAGTGACATAAACTTTTTCTGTTTTTCTTGCTTCTTAAAGGCTGGACCAGGCCCATGTGTTGTGAAGGACTCTGCTCAGCATTTGCTGTCACCAGATGGGCTACCAAAGAAAACTGTGTGAAACCCCGCTGAAAGGTTCTGATGAGAACGTGCCCTTTATGCAATAAGCATTAGTCACATATGAGTAGAGCTTCATGGCATCAACAGGCACGCTTCCTATCCAGGTGGAAGATCGTGTCTGGCCGGGTTTTACCAAACTGTGCCGATGCGTCCCAAGCAATCATCCATTATTACACAAGTATGATCATGTTCAGCTTTCTACGTTCCTCTAAATTACAATTGGTTGGACCGTCATATTGAAACTAAATGTGTACTGCTGCAGCAAGCCTCTCACACCAATCCCCACTGGCTCTGACCGTCTGCTTTTTGGTTTTGATGAGAAAATGATTCAGATGTTTCTATGTGCATTTAGTATGGCCACCGATAGCTTTTGTTTAAAATGTTTATTAACTCTATTTCCAATCAACAAAATGTCAATTCTACTGTATAATGATAAATAAAGATGTATTTTATTCTAATGAATGGTGTGTGATTTGTTTTTAAATATCAGATTCAGATCTTGTTAACTTTTTATTAAAGTGAAATTATGTCAACTTTAAATGACTGAATTGGGGGAAGTGGCAGTCCAAACGTTGAAAAAAACATCCCATACACCTGTGGATTTAGACCTTTGCGTCATAAAAAGGGGCGTGGTCACTCCTTATCGCTGCACCTGTCCGGTAAACGGGGCGAGAGCTGACCGCTCCTGTCTGCGCGCATCATTTGTTCGGAAATGACGCCTTGAACGGGGACTGGCTGACAGAAGCCCTGCCCACCAGCTGCACATCTGGTGCACCTCCAGTCTGGTAAACGCCGCGTCTTCCTTGTCGGGATCACATAGTTTGCGCGTCTCTGTCGGCCCAGTTTCGGCTCCCTGTTCAGCGGCTGTGAAGGAGGACGCGATGGGGAAGATTGAGTGGGCAATGTGGGCCAACGAGCAGGCTCTGGCTGCAGGGCTCAGTGAGTACACACTCTTTTTTCACTGTGTGAATAAATAAAGCAGCTATTCTTTTGTTTTTCGTTATTGATAATGGATAACTATCCTGAAGAGTGCATAAGAAGTCGATGTGTAACTATACTGTTATTTCTGTGCATTGAGATGACTAACAGCATTAGGCTGAATGCTCAGGTAGTTTAAGATGGGCTTGCCTTTTTATTTTTTTTTATTTTTTTTACACAGAAGGTGCTTTGTTTTAATTTTTACCTTCCTGTTTCCTTCTTTCAGTTCTCCTTACTGGAGGTATTGTCGGGGTGGCCGGGCAGTTCAGGGGCTGGCAGTTCGCTGCTTATGCAGTGTATCCTTTTACACCTGACCTGAAGCAAAAATGTGTTTAACATGAGGCCAAAAGTTTTTAACGTCAACATTTTTTAATGATAGCTCCTGCCTTTGCCATTGTCCAACTTTTATAGGATATTCTGTCAAAAAAAGGTGTGTTTGGAGAGAATTGATAAAGCACAGTGAAGGAAATAGACATGTAAATGTAAGCCAATATGATTATGAGCTCCACACATATTTATAGAGTTAGAAGCTATAGTATTTAATTTGACGAGGAGTATGAATCCCTTGTCAAATTAGCATCCAGTCCTGGCCATGTTTTCTGCCAAAATACTACTTGAATTATTGTAATGACTTCCAAATTACTATTATTAATGTGGTAGTATTAGTACTCTGGATCAAATGGCTCCTTCTTACCGTTGTCACAATTATATGAGCGCATTGATTGTGTATTTTTATAAGTTTTTTCTTTTGTCAGTTTACTCATATGTTCCCACTTAGTTGTCTTTAAAGATTCATTATGCTATTGATGGTACTATAAAACAGCCTTGACCAATGTGAAGTGCTGCTGGGGTATTTGTGTGCCTGCTTGAGTATCCCAGAGGCAAGAGGGCCAAGGGCACAAGCGTGGAAAGATCGTAAGCAGTCGCATCTTTTTACTACTTGGAGGGATCGTACTCTAATGGTGAAGTTCATTGGTGACCACTTAAATTGTGTCTTTTTTTCTTCCAGGGGTCAGTACTGCTTCACCGTGTGCGTGAAGGCCTTTGGTCCCCTGACGAGGAACTACTATGTCAGGGCATTTTTACATGCTGCGTGAGTTTATTTGGCCATGTTGTAACTCAAGAATTTCCATGATTGTATTGAGAACCGCTCAGGAGAGTCTATTGTTTTTGTGACCTTCCTTATGCTGAACAGCATTCCTCTCACTCACAACCCGTCTATGCAACAAAAGGCTTGCGACATTACTGTCTTTTGTATTTAAATCCCCTTTTTTCTTTCTTAGAATCTGTGTACCTGGAGGTTTTATGCTTGCTACTGTCCTTGGGTGTGTGTGTCTAGGCATTGCCAGCCTCATCTATCTTGCAGTAAGTGGATAGTTTCTGTCACGTAGTTTCTCTGTCAAGCCAGTAAATCATTGCCAACATTGATAAAGTTGTCTGTCTGGTGTGGGAAGTCATCAGTTAAAAGAAACAAGGAAATGCTAACAAGGAAGAGATTTTCTCATGCTGTTACCTATCTTGAGACATGGCCTCATAGTTATGAAACTCCACCAGTCAGAAGTGTGACTAAATCCTTGAACGGCTCTAAATGTGGAAACCAAGATTCTAGGTGTCACAGCTTAGTTTAAGCAAACATGTGAGCATGTAACTTAAATCACTGTTGTATAACCATTTACTGTATGCTCAAATTAGGCCATTACTGACATCTATTTGCTTTTTAGGCAGCTATCAGAGGTGAACACTGGGAGCCAATTCTTCCACGAAAGGAGGTGCGTAAGCCCGTTGGAGAGAGTATCAAGAATCCTCCACAAAACCCACCACCACGACCTCCTGCCGATTATCGCAGGAAGAATGCAAAGGACCTGGAGGCAGCAGCCTACGACAATCCTATGTCTGTAACTGCTGATGAGTAGCCATTCCTGTGCCCGAATCCCTGCATCCACTGACCTTTAGAAAGCAGTCACTATGGGATATCAGCAAATCCTGTGACGACGAGCAGCCAAAGAGTTTTCCGAAGTTCAGTGAAGCTCTCGAAGGGGCAACATGTTGCGTATGCACTTTCTTACCTCATATAGCAAGAGAATTGAGAGGAAAATTGATGAAGTAAATGTTGTATTTTTTATTTTAACAAAGATATAAAGAGATCGCAGAAGGATAATGTAAAATGTATCGATAATGCTGAATTGCAAGCATGAACAAATGCTCTCAGTGTTTAGGACTGCGTGTAGGTTGTGGTTTACAGCTCTGGAAAAACATTTGAACCGATAAATGTTAGCTGTCCTAGACACCACATATTTTAGGTTTTGTCATCCATGCATAGGTCTCAGTATCAAATATATCATTAAATTATTACCTTAAACTGTAATCCTAACCCTTTACATATTTGTATCTTTCATGAAGGCATACTCTATGATAGGATGAAATTGGCATTTTTGTGTTTGGTTGTAAATAAACGTGTTACTTTCTTGAGGTCTTATTGGTTTCCTGAGGTTTGAACTTACATTTAGCATCCTCTCCTTTGCTTATTTAAAGAAATGGCATTTGCAACTTCCTCATTTCGCAAACAGATTGAATTTCAATGCCTTAGAATTTCCCTTCCTCGTTTCAAAACCTTTTACTCTTCGTTACACATTTTTGTTATTTTGCCATCAATTGTCTGCTTGTAATGGGAAAAAAAGTGTTAAGTCACTTGGTGCCTCGACGGACAACTTCAGCACATTGTTGTCATTTCTTTAGTTTTGTCCTTTTTTCCTAATCTCGCCTTTGCTTTTTCCAGGATGTCACTCCTTATCAGTTAGTGATTTGCAATCTGATGGGGAACCACAGAAATGTAGTAGCTCTTCCTCATTTAGTTAAATGACACAATACCTTATTCTTTTTCACTTTCCTTTCTCATCCTAATGTCTTTCACACAAAATGATTCAGAATTCTTCAGTTCTCTCAAATCTGTCTATTTTCAACCATAGAACTTTTCTTTGCAATCTAGCTTTCATGCTCAGCACTTTTGTTTGGATCAATTCTGCCACCCACTGCTGCATGAGAGGACTGCAGTTAGTGCAAGGCATGGGTCTCCAACTCTGGTCCTCGAGGGCCGGTATCCTGCAGGTTTTAGAGCTTTCCCTGATTCACACTTAATTCAGATTAAGTGGATCACTTAAAAGGCTCTGCACAAGCCTGATTAAGGAACCCTGACCAGATTCAGATGGGTTGAAGCAGGGAAACTTCTAAAACCTGAAGGACAGCGGCCCTTGGGGACCCCTGGTGTAAGGGCTTTTGCGTAATTCATTGGTAAATCATGGAAAAATCAATAATGGGGCAAAATGCATTCAGTCAGTAAGGCTCTATGTTCTTGCATATTTTTTCCTGGGTCCAAACCAATAAAACTTTCCACTCTACAGAGTGGAAGTGACAACAGTTCAGCCTGATATCAGGCAAATAGGATTATCCTAAAGTCATAAACATTACAGTCCAGTGTATGAACCGATCATATCAGTTAAACTAAAAGAATAGAGAATACGCTGTATTTCCAGGTTGACTGTTTTGTTTCTAATTGTGTGTCTTGAAATCTTTTTCCTCTGAATTCCAGCGTATAGCTTACTGCTTTGAAATGTTACACACTTTAACACTGTACTTGCTGTTTAAATGTCACTACTGTTGTCGCTAGCAGAGTCTTAGTAGTTATTTCCTTTAGTGTATTTTAGTGATAGCTTGATGTTCACTGTAATGTTACATCTGTATTAAAAGTCACTTTGGACAAAAAAGATCTGCTGAATGCATAAAAATAAATGGACTCTCATTCAAATTTTTTTTAAACATATTTTGTTTACCTCCAACTGTAACATAAAAAATGTGAAATATTTAAAACATTTCATACATGAACCGCCACCTAAGAAATTATGTTTCTTTTGGTAGAGTTTTTAAAAGAGACTTTTATTAAATGAAAATAAAATGGATTATAAAGTTATACACATCCAGAAAACATTATTTTCTGGATGGAAATGGGAAAAAACTAACAACAAAATCAGAGAACAGTAGAACAAGTATTAGAATTATAGAATTGTATGAAATGTGCCCTGAATAAACCCCAGTTGCTTTTGGATAGCAAATTTTGAATGTATATCCATAATCTAAGCACAGTTTAGTTGACAATAGTACAAATGAATGAATAGCAAATATGACTTTTCATGACTTTTCTATCAATTTCTTATAATAGTTTTTTGTCATTTAACTTTTATCAAAAACTGTTCACCTACAATCCTCCATCGGCTCCATCAGTGTTTGTAATTTTTTAAAAAGATTGTAGAGCCAGCTACTGAACTTTTTACATTCACATTTTTTATATTAACTACTATTTTTTTTCACTTTGTCACTTAATGTTTAGGAAACCACTAATGTTAGTCACTTAACTCCATACTTTCAGGGGAACATTGACGTTGATACAAGTTGATCACAAGGGGTGCTATTTTCCTCTCCCCTCTAGATGGCAGGATAACATTTAGTGCCGGTAAAACGTTTCAAAGAAGAAGAAAAGGAAGCCAATTAAATCCACCGTCATTTCATGGCCGTGTTATGTTTGGTAGCTAAAGAGAGAGCTGTAGGCTAAAGTAATAAGAATAATAACTGTGTGTAGATTTGCACCTAGGCGGCGGATAATGTCTACCCGGGCTCTGCGAAGGCTCAGAGGGAAACAGCGGGGTCAGGAGGCCCTGGACCTCGGGGATCTGAGTTTGGGTGACAGCCCGGAGGAGCAGGCTGAGGCAGAGGCTGAGGCTGAGGCACTGGACACCGCTAATGTTTCTCTGCCACCTGACAGCAACGACGGCAGCAGAAAAGGAAAGAAAAACAAGGCTCAGAAAAACTTCAGTAACATTTATGAACTGGTGAGTCAACCATGTCCACGCAGTTTATTCAGTTACATGAATGTGCTCCTCCTCCTGGTCACCATTACAGCTGCTCTCTGTAGCTCAACTGCTAAAAAAGGCTAACCTAATGGCGTTAGCTCCTTTCTAACCTTATTTATGTCTGCTACATTGTTGAGACATGTTAACTAACAAGATTCATGCGTCGTTAGACATTTCCATTGGGTCATTAACCATAGGTAAGATGACAGAGAAGGTCTACATTGCTGGCTGGTGAATTGTTTACAAATCTGAAAAGGAAAACTCTCGCTCCTGTAAACTAAACTTGGATCATGGAGGTATGAAAATATCATCGTCTCAGTTATAAAATCAGTCAAATCCAAAGGACAAGTAGACAACCAAACCATATATATTGAACATACAAATAAAGGTTAAAGATGCAATATATGAAATCCAATTCATTTTAAACAAACACATTTTACTCAGTATAGTTATTATCCACATACATGTATCATAATAATTCATCTATAACTTTGATTTTCTTGTAGTTTAAATAAATATAGATGGCATGTATAAAATAACTTAAAATGAATGTACATTGTCTCACTTGGGAAAATGAACATCTTCAAAAATCCTGTACAGAAATGTTAGTTTTTATAAGAATCCTTATTCCAAGCTACTTTGAAGTGAGGAACATGTTGGAGAGTGCTGTCGTGTTTTACTCGAGGATGTAAACATTTTGACATCCACTGGGGAATTTTGTGCTCAAACCAGCATTACCGATGAATGCACTACCAATGACATTCACCTGGTTTGCATAAGATTTAATCTTCTGCTTAACTATTCTCCTTTGCATTTTCTTTTTTCTTTTTTACTGTCGGAGAGTAATTTAATGTTTCAAGTTAATCCTGTTAATAATGTGCTTAAACCAAGTCATGCCATTATTACGTTGTTAAAGACTGTAATTTAATGTACTTACTTTAAGCATAGTTTGCACTGTTCACCTTACTCTCTGTTCCGTTTCTAATCACTTAATCTTTTCTAGATATGTGATGCAGAAAATGAGGTGGAGAAACTTTCACCTGATGAAGAGGCTGAAAATACAGACAAAAATAAAAGAAAGGGTGCAGGCAAGAATCACAACAGAGACTCTGAGAAAGTCGATCAAAAGGATGAAGAACTGTCCACTAAGGTAAAAGTATTTAAAAGTAACTCTGATGTGAATTGTACTGGTCTAAATGGGAATGTTTCTTAATATCTCTTTTCTTTGTCAGACTGGTGACAGAGCTAAGAAGAAGAAGAAAAAGAAGAAGAACAAAGCATCACCAGAAAATGGACAGGTAAGTTTGTAGGTTAGGTTTCGAAAAATGAAAAATAATTTTCCAAAAAGGTAATTTTTTGGGTAACTGTTGTTATATGAAGCCTTTGCCCCTCTTGGCAAATAATCAGCTGTTAAATGCTTTCACAATGTGTTCGCTGTGTTTTTCTTTTTCTACAATGAATCTAAGGAGGCTGCAGCAGATAATATTGATTTATTGTTGGAGAACTTGGAACAGTCTAACGGCCTGGGTCTACAAAGTGAGGATTGTGGAGGCTCCGACAGAAGATCTGTGCTTCAGGTGGAGCATCGGTGAGTTTAACAAGTCGGAGAAGTAGTCATTGCAGTGGGCTCAATCAGTCATTCATCATAACAAGATTACAAATCAGAATTACAGGCAGAATGAATCTGTTTCACAAAATAAATAAACAGTTAACCCATGAGTGATCAATTAATTGTAATTTAGTAGCAGAAGCATTTAAACGTGTAACCAAAATTAAATGAGTAGCTGTTTGAACAGACGGGTTTTTTTTTTCTTCTGTTTTTCCTTATTGAGTGACAACAGGTATGTAAAAAGAAATTATTCAGTTGCATTTGATCAAATTTCGGTGTTCCTTTTGCTCTGATTTAGTCATTGGGGGTCTTTGGAGGAGCCCTTTGGTCTGTAATGACCCCTCCTGTAATTCTTGAAACCACCACACGGTGGCATTTATCTTACACAAGTTGAAAGACTGGACCTTTTGGTAACCCAGACCCAGACATCATTGCAGGTTCATTGAATAAGCATCTGTTTTCACCAGTGACACCCCACCCACCCCCCATGCATCTCTCAGTCACAGCTGTGGCTCAGTTAACTGTCCAGATGTGGCTGTAACGAGCCCTTTTGTCATCGCTTTTCAACAACCCCAGTTAAAACGTGTGAATTCTAATTTGTATGCTGTATATTAAAGATACATGCCTTTGTGGTCTGCATGTTGGTTCCTGGTTCTTACAAAAATGTGATTTTGTGTGTTAAACTCATTAGGAATCTCAATCCAGAAACGGAATTAAAGAGATATTTTGGGGCTCGAGCCGTTTTAGGGGATCAAAGGTAAGGGACAAAATCAAGTGTTTGGTTTTGTTTAAAAGTGTCATTCTAATTGCAGACACTAATATACAATAAATGCTCCCTCTCTTTTCAACCAGACCTCGACAGAGAAACAGACAGTTTCACCGCAGCACTTGGATGACCAGTCCAAAGGAAAGTTGGCCTCGCTTCAGCCGCCCAGGTAGACTTTTCTCTAATTTTTTTTTTAAATCTAAAATTCTTTCTCTTGGGCAGTGCGAGACACCCTGAAAGCTTGTGGGGAAATGTTTCTGTAAAGACCAGCCTCCATGTGAACACACTAAGTGTATCTTTTTGATATATCCATACTGGGTCTGGGTTTTGGAAAATAAGTAGATTACAAACTGCCCCAAATATCACTTGAGGTTTGTTTTAAATGCACAGAGTATTTCTGGTATGCGCAGCCTCACTCAAACGCTTTCCTGATACATGTGCCCTAAATAGCATTCTGAGGAATAATCACCAATAGCATGTCACTGATTTAAGGATTAGACACATCTCCATATAACTAGAATGATTAATTCTGTAACCAAATATCTCAGCTGCTCTAAATCAAATATCAGAGGACGTGTATAACTGGGTTATTGACTTAGTTTTCCACGGCTGATTGTAATCTGTTTTATGCTCTTACTTTTCAACTGTGTTGGTGTGATTTGAATATGAACCTGCATTTATTCTGTTTTTTTTCTTTGTTCTTTTACTGTTTCTGCTGGGTGTCTCGTCAGGGATTGCTATGAGCTTACTGGAGTCTAAGGATGGTGTTCAGTATTTTACATTTGAGCACAGTCGGGATTACCAACAAGTACAGTTCAAGTTCCTGGATGCTGTCGAGTCCATGGATCCCAACAACATAGTGGTAAAAATCCCTTTCCTCTTTGTGTCCAACTGATGAGTACCTTATTGTGGGAATGTGTCCTCAACATGAGAATTTTAAAATCCTCTTTGAAAATGCTTTAAAAAAAACAAAACAGATCTATAGACTTTCCTCTTTGTGTAATTTTTTCTGCGTGTCTCATTTTCACTATTTAGAAACTCCAGTTTTTACACATAGCCGTGGCAGATAAGTTAGATTTAGCTTTTTTCCCTTAGAGTTTTCATTGTTGTATACAATAGAGTAAATATAAAATAGCATTTTTGTGGTGCAGATGTAAAACTACCAGAATTGGCTGAAGAAGGCTGTGGTGAGGGGTCTGTGTGGTTTCTTAGCCAAAACGCAAAGAAAGTGTCCATCACCAGTGAAAACCTTACCCTATTCAAATTAGATGTACTTTGTCTTTGTTCTGTCTGTGTGAAATGAGTTCGAGTCAGTTGATTAGCGTTTCGATTTAAATACAGAGCTGTATTTTGTGACTTGTGGCCTGACAGGAAGAATATTACCGAGTCTTCCCCTCTATGTATGCCACAGCATACAGTTGCACTGAGGAACTTTTACTCTGCTGATCTATTTACAGCTATCAAAAGGCAGCAGGTATCAGTTCCATCAGCAGTCTTGTGTAGTCTGGTCCGATGTTGCATAATGTGAAACCACAGTCATGCTGGGATGAGCTGCCGGTTAACTTTTTTTCTCAAAGTTTTGATGTATAATCATGCTCTTTTATTTGATAAAAAGGAAGATGCTATTTTACCACAATCCTGCCTCAAGTATGCATTTTAACCAAGAGAACATTTGTATAAATAGAAAACTGTCATCATAAGCAACTCGGCAAATGTTTTTCCATCTGATACGGTCAAATCTTGAGCTGAACGTATCAGTTTTTTAAACGTTTTAAAAAAAATACTTTTTAGCCTTTGAAATCATGATTAAAAAAAGAAAGAATCTGCCCACCATCTAGTCCAGCTATAAGGTGTTAAAATTCCTCCTTGCTCCACATAGGTGTGCCACACACAACTGACTGCAGACACACACAACTGCTTGTAGTATGAGGGCACGCTGTCAAAGTACACTACACATGATGATTTATTAAGTTATAAAGGTCTGTCTTGTTCAGGCCTCATCAAATTGACCATTGAGTGCCTCCTATTTCACCCCAGGCCCTGCTTCAACTCAACCCATACCACATCGATTCCCTGCTCCAGCTTTCAGATGTCTGCCGAATACAGGAGGATCAAGAGATGGCCAGGGATCTCATTGGTGAGGCTTGGGGACTCCGCTTATTTGATGAAATTAGGACATGTATTTGTTGGCCAAACCCATTCATCAAGCACTGCTTTTAAGAGGAATTTTCTAAGAAATCCACTGACTAACCTCTATCTCCATCGAGGGCAAATGACGCATATAGCTCACAGGAAAATTGAGTGAAAGTGTGTGATGATCATTTATTTAAACTTGGTTTTGTTGTTTATCAAATATCACACTTGGACAAGGTTTGCTTTGAAGCTGCTTGTATGATCTCCATGTAACGATCTCCCGGCTGAAACGGAAGCAAACTAGATGGCGCAGCCAGCCAGGCGTTTCTATTTTAGTTGACTTAATACACAAGCTCCCTCTGTTCCAAATTTGGCCCTTTTTACAGACAACAGATTTAGGCACAGACATGAAATAATACAGTCCTCCTTTAGACATTAATTTCCTGTTAAGCGTAGGTCTGTTCTTCATCATCGTTTTGAAGACCTATCAAATACTGTACATTGGTTCGTTTTATGCTTTAGTGTTTCAATTGCTTTGCACACTGATGGTAAACATTTAAAGTGAAACTTTTATTTTATCATCACAGGGATAGATGGTGGTCACCGCAGTTCAATTCAAGAGTTTATGTTGTCTTAAATTTTATGTGACACTGATTGTATTTTTAGCCAAAAGTTGTGCAAGAAAACCTTTTTTTTTTTTTTGTGTTTGTTTTCAGTCAGCGTGTCAGGCTTAATAATTACAGAGCTGTACACTTTTGTGCATAGTGAATCAACAAAACAGCCACTGTTAACAAGTCCGAGTTCATGCTTCATGCGAGGCACAATGCCACGTTTATCATCACAGGCGCTGTACTTAACCAGTTATCTAAAATAGTCTATGTGGAGGACCTGAGGGATAATTCAACAAAGAGTGTTTGTCTTCTTCCCGGGATAATTTAATTACACGCCATCAGCCAAACTTTAACATTGAACAGAAGTAAGACAGTGACTTTTAGGATGTGAAGCCTTACTGGTGACTTGACTCGTATTTCAGGTTTATTCCTGCACAGAGCATCTGCATAGCTTTCTTATCCTTCTTTATGCAATGAACACAACATATTGATGATCTAGAATAATATATTAGTTCATGTATTGCATTGTTAGCGTTGACCATGAAAAATAAAGATGTTTTTATCTGTTCTTTTTTTGTACAGAAAGGGCCATGTACAGCTTTGAGTGCGCTTTTCACCCCTTATTCAGCTTGACATCGGGGGCATGCCGGCTGGATTATTTAAGACCAGAAAACAGGTTTGTCGTGTTGTTTTCCCTCCGTTAACTTTTGTTACACACTTCAGAACATCTTGCTGTTGCGAAGCATCAGTTTGACCCTAGAATATTGTTTCAAACTCAAATTATATTTTATGGACGCAGCAAGCCAGTAATTTGATCATCCTTGTTTGCAGAGCATTTTATTTGGCCCTTTACAAGCACATGATGTTTCTGGAGAAGAGAGGATGCCCTCGGACCGCTTTGGAGTACTGCAAACTGATCCTCAGGTACAAAGAATGAAAAAGATTGATTTAAAAAAAAGCATCTATGTTTTCAGATGAATGTCATCTTTTCTGCTCCCATTATTTCTGAACACTACTCTACATTTACCCAAGGAAAAGCCTTTACTTTCCATGTTGGGGCGTCATTATGTTTGTGTTTTTGATGTAAAATCTCTTGGATTGCCTGCCAAGCTAACTCTTTACTGTCTCTCAGTAACGTCATTAGTGAATAAAGTATTTAGACATGCAAAATATTCTTCAAAGTCCGTTAAAAATAAAAAAAAATAAAAATTCTACTTTAAAAATAAACTAGAAATGAATCTACATCCTGATTTCTCACATTCCAAACAAAATCTCTTGTTCACCGCCGGGCCAAATATGACTGATTTACCATAATCAAAGTAAGTGAGTGCATGTCTGCACAACACCCTGATACCAGATCAGGTGAGGGAAGTTATAAATGAGGTATTTGTTACAATACTTAACAGCTCAGACTCGATGTCCCAAACATCCCCCTCAAACATTTTAGTTAAGCTCCATGTGTGGATAAAGTTAAATGCTAAAGCGTAACGTTGTTAACCTTAGAGCCAAGCTGCCGAGGACTCGGCAGACACATATCTGCCCAACATTAGCACATTAGCTGGAGTGTTCACTCACAGCCGTCTCTGGTAAATTAGATTTTGCTAGTGATCAATGAGGCAGGTGTTTGGGGAGTGACCTTGATATCGCTACAGAAAATTCAGCTTCTTGCTGTCATGTTGACAAATCTGCTGTGATTCTGCATTTCAGTTTCACTCCTCACAATATAAATCTTTTCTTCTTCATTTCCTGTTCTGGGTGTTATCTATAGAAGGTAAAGGGAGAGACTTGTTTTTGCGACTTATATCCGTGGTCCTAATCATTACTAAAGCAGTGGCGTAAAAGCCTGTTTTTTGTTTTTTTTTCTCTTTGCAAATTTATCTTTACTGTGAATTTACCTGAATTCTGTTTTTATTCTGACAGCAGAAAGCTAGTGAGGGAATATTTTTGTGGGCATGAGTGAGGACTATTCAGCAATGTCCGTGACACATGAGATAACTGTGATGAAATTGTTTGGATTTGCAAGCTCAAGCCAAAAACAATCTATGTGTTTGTATGTTATTACGTAAAGACACTTCATGTGTGGTGGTGGTAGAACCAGTCCACCTCTTATGTAAAAGCTGTTCCCACACACCACTGCCATTGGTATGTCGAAATTTTAGAGCTCCGTATAATAGGCAGTGGCTATCTGAGTCTGATCAGGCTTAAGCTGCCGAGCTTTATAACCGATGCATACTGGTTCTTAAAAGTGACAGAGTGGAACTGAGAAAGACAGTTTGTCCCCCTCCATCCAGAAGGGACGTTTGAGGAATTTCTCCTGTCAGATAGCCAACATTTACTCTGAAAACAGACAGTCCAGCGGTGGAGTTCTGCTTCTCCCTGCTTTCTCCTGACTTATTTTGTTACTCAACCAAGATGAAGACCTGAGACCTTACCTTTTTTTATATTTATTTTTTTAAGTCATTTCATTCTTCTATGTCATTTTCAGCAAATTTTTCAAATTTGTTAAAATGTTTCTGTTAACTGTTTTGGAAAAATAAATTATGTTTTGCAATGTTATCAAAAGGCTGTCAATAAACTTGTATAATAAACACAGAGGTGATCACCAGCCTGAAATCTATTTTCCAGTTTGACAGGTTGAGCATCCTATACGATAAAACTATACATTAGGTCAGAAGGGAGAGAGGCCTCATAGCTTGGCTGGTTGTTAGTTATTCAATCAATTAAAATATTTTTTTCTAGTCATAATGACATAATTTATGTGAACTGTGTTATGCGAGAGTAAATTCACTGAAGAAGTAATCTATTAAAAGTTTCAGTTCTTTTATTATGTCCCATCCTCTGCGATAAATCGTGCATTAAAAGATTCTCATGACTTGCCTTTTAAGTAGAGTGCTTCCAGTAATTATTTTCTTCTGGTTTTGTCTGTCACAGTTTGGACCCAGACTCTGACCCACTTTGCATGCTCCTGCTCATTGACTTTCTATCGCTGCGTTCCAGAGAGTACAAGTCTCTCCTTCAGCTGTATCAGGACTGGGAGGTAACGTGTGCGGTTCATGTGCATTATGTGTGTATTTTTTGGCGCGCTGCTCCTATTCTGACGTTTGCCAAGGAAATGATTTCTCATTCCTTTTCAGGAGCACAGGAATCTGTCTCAGCTGCCAAACTTTGCCTTTTCCACGGCACTTTGTCATTTCCATCTCAGTCAGCAGGAAGATCTGGAGCTGAAAGAAAGTGACAAACTAAGACAAGAGGCTAGCCAGATACTCCAGAACGCTCTCATTATGTTCCCCGGAGGTAAGATGCTCAGAAGAGATATTTTGACATTTGTTCCCTTGGACTCCTCCTCACATATTAAAGACAAATATAAAAGGCCATCGTCTTTTAAATATTCTCCAGTTTATTTTCTGTTCAATTGTTTTCTGCAGTGCTGATGCCTTTACTGGAGCTGTGCACCGTGCAGCCGGACGCTGCAGTCACCTCCCATAGCTTCTTTGGCCCAAAGTCTCAGATTGGGTAATGCGTGTACACTTTGTTTTGTCAAGTGTAGCACAAACCTAGCATTTTTGCATAATCTCGTAACTCCATCAGTATATTATGGTTTACTTTTATCTTTCTATATTTTATAGCCACGACTAATCAGATTATCTTTTTGGTCTGCATTTTTTTTCCTGGTGTTTGTGTTTATTTTTCGGTGGTGTTTTCCTCCCTTGCTCTAACTTTAGTGCTCTTCACACTCTGTGTCTCCAGGCAGCCACCTGCCCTGGCTGAGCTGACAGCTCTGTACGTGGGGAGAACTTACAATCTGTGGAGGGAGGCAGCCGTCATGCTTTGGTTGGAGGAGTCCGTGAAGGAGGTGCTGCGCAGAGTCGACGCCAAAGACCCTCATGTGGAAGACTGTCAGAACAAGTATGTGTTCCACTATCTGACGAGCCGGCGCGATGAATCTTTAAGCAAAGCTCAGCTCACACTGTTTATCTTACAAAGAATGAGCAACGTTTGGGCAGGTGTGCGTTGTGCTTAACAGGTATAGCGGGAATTAATTCACCAGTGAACTGTGCTTTACCTTTCTACCTCATGTTTCTCCATACTGAGAAATATCTCCCTTCATCTTCATCATGTTGCTGCAGGAGAAAGCAGAGGTACCAGAGTGCACCAAGGAACATCCATCGTCATGTCCTCCTCTCTGAGATCAAAGAGGCCACCTCAAGTCTGCCTCTTGTAAGAAATCACCAGCACACTTTCTTATTATTTTTCTTTTATTTTGGACCGTTTGATTTATACACACGTTTTTATATGACATATTTTCAGACCTCAGACGATGGAGTGTAGAATATCGCAAGCCCAATGCAAGTCACTGTGAACGAACAGTTTTTAAACTCTCAAACAGTAAAAACACTTGTCACATGTTTTCGACAGTCCCCAAATGTCCAATGCCACCTTATGAAGGTGATGATGCAGAAAACCTGTTCAGCACCAGACCTTTCCACACTGTCCTTGACTCACCCTTCAGGAGTCAAAATATTGCATGGCTGCCAGAAGGATTTTTAAAAATGCCAGCTCTCTATACGAGAAGCCGATAGAGATCTTAATTTTCTCTGGGGTGCATGCCACAATGTTTCAATTTGTCCTGATTTGAAAAATCTGATTTCATGCAACCAAAACCCTCTGTGGATCCAATTTGAACGGACGGTGATGCCAAAAGTGAAAATAAATTCAATCCTTGATGAATGTGACTGCATATGACTATTTTTTTTTCTTCCAAACTTTGTATCTAAGACGATAATTAAACTGATTTCTTTGGGAAGGCCCTCACCCTCCTGCTCCTCAATTTAATTTTATTCAGCCAGAATCGATCAGACTTGAAGGCAGTAAAGTCTTAAGACACTCTGCTTCAGACATGTTAAACTCTATGTGTTGAAGTTGAATAAATATTCGTGAGGCTTCTACCAAAAACTTTTAAGTAGTACTGTATTGTGAGCTGTTTGATGGTCAGGTATTTTTAATCTCTCACTCCTATGATGTCTCTAACCTGTGCGTTTGTGTAACACTCAGGAGGTAACCACGCAGCCTATGATGGGTTTTGACCCTCTTCCTCCTCTGGATTCTGTCTTATCGTATACCCGTCCAGAGAGGTGATGCTGGATCCGTCCGTTTTTGTTAAATTCCACTTTTTACTGAATGACCACGGCTCATTGCCAAAGCTCAACTAACACAACCGTCTGTTTCTGTTTTGTGTGCGATTCTTCCTGAACAGGCAGCATGTGGGTGCATCCAATGAGAGCACGTTGTCCCTGTTTTTCCGATCTCTGCTGCCTAACTTCAACTTGCAGGTAAGGGATGTGAATCGATGATCACAGTTCAGATTTTTGCTTGTGTGCATTTGCATTATACATGCGACTACAATAATATTTTGTTCTAATTTTTGCATACCACGCATCTCTTAAGATAGATGAGATGTGTAAATACAATGTTCACATTTTGGTTGGAGCTTGTGAATTCTTTCTTTCTTAACATAAGGAGCAAACTGTGCAAAGCTTTTTTTAATTTGATTTTTTTATGATTGCTTTTGAATAATGGAAAATACTTATTAAGAACCCATGCTGTGCATGTGGAGACGCACCATGTGATTAGCAGCTGTAAGGCCCACAAACAAGCCATTTGTGTCTTAACAAACTCTGTTACTCCGTGCTCTCTGTGTTCAGTCTCTACATTGACTGTGAACTGCTGCCACAATGAATGTGAAGTGATTCATTGATACATCCTTTTCAATTGAACTTCAGTCAAAGCCAAAAATGAGGAAGCTGGAGAGAGGATTTAAAAAGCCTTACAAACATTTATAGTACCACAGTTAAGAGAAAAAAAAAGGGGGGGGAAAGCTAATGAATGCTTGTTTTCAGCCCAGTTAGTGATTTCTCGCTCAATGCTTGGATTATTTCCCAGTAGTATTCTGCATTCTACCCAACTTTATCTTTCAATGAGCATACGTTTCTTCCTTCTCTGACTGTTTTCTGTCACATCCAAACTCAGAGAACTGATGCATCTCACCAAAAACCAAGTTTTGTGCTTAACAGTTACAAAAGTACCATGAATACACACGCATACGCAGTATTCTACAAATCAAATGGAAGCACCAGGGTACCTTATAGCTCTGGGAACATCTCTAAACACACGTTTTTGACATATGGACTCATGGTTGGCCTAAAGGGAACACAGTTGAAAATGATCTTAAGAAAGCATGTGACCTCCTTATAGTATATTTATTCTGTTCAGGGCTGTCCTGTTTGTCGGTGAAGAACAGTAAGAACCTTAACAGTCGAAAGTTGTAAAGTTGCTGGACTTTTCTGCCTCCTTAATAATAACGGAGCTTTTTATGTTTTATTTACAAGGTTAGTTTATCAACCCATGTGATGAATGGGTTTAGTTTGACATGATTTATGACGATAACATAATAAACAAGAAAAGAATAAAACGGGCTCTTGAGCTTGCATTTAATAAACTCTGTCACTAGATTTAAGGCTGCATGTTCTAGTTCCACTGAGATGATATATAGGTGGGAAGCTGTTCTGCTAGTTTCACGATGAAATGAATGTTTTTGTCTGAATTTCTATGTCGGGTCCCTGAATAAATGGCTTTGCGGCTAGCCGTACCTGATTTATGTTATCCAACATATGAGAACATGCTGTAGTTCAGAACAAGCATATTTCGAGATCATATGGTGACAAACATAAATCTGGAGCCGGATTTAAATTATTTGACTTTCAGCTCGAGCAGTGAGGCACATGGGAGTCCAACAATCCAAACAAACAGACAGGTGGTCGGCTGCATCGCAAGAGCAGCATCTATTCAACATTGTAGTCGCATTTGAGTCCCTGAAATCAGTTTAAATCAATGCAGAGCTGATTACAAAGAGATAAAAGTGTTCAAAACTGGAGAAATACTGAGCAACATGAGTATCATTCTGACATGTCATGAGTAGCTCAGTTGGATTGAACAGAAGGGTAATATCGTGGAACAGTACAGTAATTAGCTCATGGATTAAAAAAAACTGAAACCATTAAATCTGAATTAAAAGAAAATGTATTTGTAAGCATGACCACAATACATAAGTAGCCTGAACCCTTTTTTTGCCCTTGAGGGATATGAGGAGTGGAATGACCCGGATTTTTGTCGGGGCCAAAGTTCATCAACATTATGATACTGAAATGCTCCATTTTAAACTGCGTGTACTCAGGATTTTCGAATGCGTTTGGCCTCCTCATTTCTCCTGTAGTCCACTGGCAGTGTTCCAACCCCACTCAAACATATGTATAAGGTGCACCCACACATACTGATCTGAACATCTTGTGGGTTCGGCTGTGTACGCTTAATGGAAACAGATGTGCCCATGGCATATTTCCATCCGGATAGTTCTGTCCATCCCTATCATATTATCCCCCTTATAGAGAGGAAGAGATTCAGCATGGATAAAGGAAACATAGTTAAGACTAAGACAGATATATTGTCAAGTTGGTTATGTGCTTTAATAGTTACATACTATTTCAAATATGGCTCTGGCAGGATATTTTGCTAAAGTGAAAATGTTTAACCACTGGTATTTGATGAAGAATTTGTTTCAAATGCCGAACACGATTTAAAAGAAACTGAGCACATAAGCCTGGGACTATCCCGCATTCATTAGCAGCGTCAAAGAACAACCTAAATGAACTAGGCATGTGACATGGTTAGCGAAATTAAATTTAGAAAGCCGTTATTCAAGGCCAAGTACTGCAACTGAAAAGGGAGAGACATTAGGACTTTGTAGTTTGACACGTCTTTCACTTTTAAGGGCGGACCGAGGCTGGAGGACGACATGGAGGTGGCTCGAGCCGGCCAGGAGCTGAACCAGGAAGTAAATCGCCTGATGGTGGCCATGAGGGACATGCTGGCTAACATCCGGTTTCAGGAGCCCCCAAGAGACGACAATCCTTACAGAGATGAGGACGAATGGGACTAAGAGAGGACAGGTGGAAGATGGATGGAGACGCAGGACAAACTTAAAAAAGAATATACCCCTTATCATAATGGAGGGGGACGGCTGAGCAATTTTGTTTGTTTTTTAATTTAACCAAAATTTCAAGCTACGCAGTTTTAGCTTTGGGGCAATCCGGATGATTATAAAGATGGGGTTCTTTCTTACAATGTAAGAAAATGGATTGTTAATTTAACCAATGGAGCCACTAAGGTCAATGGTTTTAGTTTCAGCACCTTCAGGGTATTATCATTTGAACATACTGGACACCTTCCCCCCTCTGTCCTGACACAGTTAATGAATATCAACTCTGATTTACAGTTCAAGCTATTAAAGTGGAAAGAGGTTCTGCATAAATACTCAAATCTGGCACTATTGTAATACAAATATTTTTGCACATTGCCATTCAGCGAATATCCTGTAAACAGCTCCTGTCACATAAAACAAGTTGAATAAAGAGAGGATTTGACAAATTTTGGGCTCCCCTTACCTCTGTGGGATGCAACCGCTCTTTATGTGAGCTCTTCCTAATCACACACACATCAGGAGCACGCCAAAATATCCCACAACCCTAAAGCAAAGCGCTGTGGTGCAATATCTGCTGTATCTGAGACGCAGATAGTTTTCAGGACAAAAACATCAAAGTAGCTGGAGAAAGGAATAGAAAGGGATGTTTTAAAAAAAATACATTTTCTTTTAAAAAATTGAGTATTTCCCTGTAAATTCCTTCAAGCTACCCCGTCTCTTTGACCAGCTTTTTAGCATAAAATAACATGTACTTAATAATGACCTGTTATTGAAATCCAACCTGACCAACCCAAGGACAATAATCTGTTATAATAATCATCTTGTACAAATCTTACCCTGGTATTAAAGACATCTATATGAGAAGCAGGTGAGGGTGATATAATGTCTGTTTCGTGCTCAATAACAACCGTAACGATTTCTTTGAAATTTGATTTGGGCGCAGAGATATCTGAACAGTGACGCAGATTTCCGATTTGAGCTCCTCAGGCCACCACGCTGGATCTGACGTGGAACAGAAGAGCTGCGCTGAGGGGAGACTTTAAGGTTTATTTGATGGGAATGGAGAGGGGGGGGGACACTTGCAACCATGTTTAAACTCTCTTTATTTCAGGGGCTCAAAAGTAGAAAAACATATCAGCATTACCATGATTAAAATGTTAATTTTTAATGCTACTGTTGAGGATTCTGGACCTGCCGGACACACCGAAGGCCGGCCTTCCGCTTTGTGATGCTCTTCAGGCCTCTGTTGCAGCTGTCGCTTGTTGGTTGTTTGCAGCTCTACTTACCTTAAGGTCTGTCTTCAGCTACCAAAATCAGGGCTCGGTTTAGTGAAGATCTAGATTACGATTTGGCTTTTGAAGAAAATTCCACAGTTCTGCCATTAAAAAAGAAAAGTCAAAAGGATGGCTTTCATAGAAGGTTTTGGGCCGTTGTCCGTCCTGTGAAGTGCCGCCCAGTCCTCTGTTGCATTTGGCTGAATGTCGGCAGAAGATTTATACAGCTAAGCGAAAGAATTCTTCTGTCTTTTATCATAACCATCTATAAACCCGTGCGACCCTGTTCCCATGGCGGCCATGACATCGGCATCAACACATTGTACAAATGACGTCATTTTCTTGGATGATGAGCTGTTCCAAGTCATCCGTAAAGTTTACTTCTTCCTTTCATTCTGATCCTAGTTACATCTGTCTAATTACTCCTTTTCCAGAACTCTACCAGCTTCTCTTAATGTTTTTCTTTTTTTTTTGTCACTATGTGGCCTTTCTGTTTTTGAGGACGGGTAATGGCTCTCACCCTGTCCTCTGTGGACGTTCAGGCCTTTGAGTTCTTGAGCAGACCTGTGTAATGGGCCCATCTCTCTAACGGAGTTCTTGGTTTTTGTTAAGCATAAGGATGTTCTATTTTTACTTTCATTGGGGGAATTTTCGACCCCATGTTCACAGCAACAGGAAATTAACTCCAGACGTTTTACCTGTGTATTTGATGATGTATTGTGGAGGGAATATCTCATGGAGCTCATGAATACGTTTTTTACTCACTAGTATGGGAACATTGCTCCCTCTTTGGGGAAAAAGAGAAAGTGGCAAGTATTGATTAAAGAGATCCATCCTTTCCTAGAATAAGAAATACACTTGAATATAAACCAAGTCTGAGCATTAAGTTTAAATGATTATGACAGCATTTGGAACATGCTTTGATAAATGGCTGAAATAACTGAACTTGTGTCAGTGTCTGGACAGATTTTGGACCTCACATGCATGCAATGTATAGCTGCAAATTCTGTCACTAAAGGCTTGAAGAGGATCTGTTGGAATCATTTTTGGTCGTGGAAAAACAAACAAAAAAAGTAGGTAAGTCTATTCAGACCTTGGCTAAAAGAATACATGAAATCCAAGTTTTTCCTTCCGTTGAATGTACATTTTATTCACTGCACAACTTCTGCCTCATGGCTGCTCCAGTATGTTCTTCCCCACTCTTGCTCTGTTTCAGTTTGAGTTAGAATGACAGCATTTGATTATTGTCTGGCCTGTTCGACCCAATAAAACTGAACATAAAATTGGCTTAAATTTCCTGGCAGTCCAGTAGCTGCTTTCCATTAAGTGAAATTCACTGTTCAAGAATTTGTTTAGTATTCTAAAGGTTGTTTGGATCCTTTATTGAAATGCATATTCTCACTTAGATGCCCGTGACCTGTCAGGATGATAACTAATGCACAGAATCTCAGACCTGATGCTTTAACTGGATTATTTTAGTCCTTAATAAACCCCACACTCACTTTTTCACTGCCCTACTCCCACAGTTTCAATCTTGTTTTTCACATGATCGTTTTCTGACTCCTTGACCGACATCCTTGTATAATTAAACTGGGCAGATACGAAACGCTCATCGTATTCTACTGTCCGACCTATTGCCACAAGGCCTTCACATCTTAACTTAATTCATTAACGCAGCAGTCACAGATTTACTGCCGTCTTATTGTGATTATTCTTTGCCTTATCAGTCCCACATGCTATTAAATGAAAATGCAATTTATCCAACACTAAGGGCTTCTCATTGAAACTGAGGACATAAACTCTGTGGACTCCCAGCTACTGGAGCTGCCATACACTTAACTTAGTTGCTCGGCGAGCCACATGATGTGGGTGGCTGCTCTCGGTGGCCAAAAGAAGCCGTTGTTCTCGTTCACCTGGAGCTATAGCTGAGGGCCGGGGGAACCTTCCATGTGATCACTCTGCTGTATGGACAGGCTTTCACATAGAGACAGAGCTGTGTAGGTTCAGAGGGAGTCTGATTTAACTCCTTTTTTTTCTTTTTCAATGCTGCATTATCACAACTGCATAAGTAATTAAAATTCCAATGTTGAACCAGTGCATCTCAGAATGGAGCTTAAGGACGCGGATGCAAAGAATCAACTGGCTGTTTTTGTTAGATGCTGATAACACAGTTAAAATAGGTTTAAAATAATTTTATTTATCTAATCAGGTGGTCAGGAGCTTACTAAAACAAATTTTAGTATTAAGCGCTGGAGATAAAGTCTTTACATGTGAAACAGCCGTGATCATTCAGCTTTTAGTCTAGTTGACATCACATGGCACTTTAACAAAAAAGAAGCACCTTTAATCCATCCATATACACACAGATGGATGGATGATTTACAGGTTAACCAGTCGTTTCAGCTTTTTTTTTTACCCCCTATCACATGCATTCACACACCAGCTCTGAGATCAATGCTTTGTCCAAACACACTTCCAATTGAGTGGTGGCAGTTTAATCTTCAACAGTTACACAACTCCAAACTCAAGTTACATTAACTTCTTCACTGTGTTCACAGTGTAGGCCAATAGAGGAATCTAATATATTTAAAATTGAGAAAGTAAAAAAATATCTACATAAACCTACTGTTAAGGGGAAATACATAGATTTTCAAGTTTTCTCTAGATCTAGAGAAATTAATTTATGCATTCCACTATATTATTTTTCTTTGCCCTCAATTCTTAACATTAAAAATAAGTCTAACTGTGTGCAAAGCTGCCAGATAAAGGCAAGCAGATTTTTTACCCACATTCAGTATAAATGTACGTTTTCACTGCTAATTTTGAAATATGAATGTGAGACTGTTGTCTGTTCTGAAGCTATTTTCTGTTTGAGTTGCAAACATAAGAATGTCATAGGGTCTTAAACTCATGAATGACCAAAGTGTCAACAACACATGACTCAAGTTCAAGAAGTCAAAGTAGACAAATTCAGATCTGGAATTGCATTCATGTGCATCCTTTTGAGAACGTTTGTAAGACTTTATGATGCATACTCACTCAATGTATGTCTCTCCGCAGCCAATCAAAGACCGTGCATAAATGGCTTTGTCACGGTGTAACACTTTAGCCCTCCTGTTACATATCGTAGCTTGTTTTTGTAAGCTTGTGTAATAGATGCGACCTTCATGGACCAGTAATTATTTTTTCTGTCTTTATCAGTTTTTTTTATTTATTATGTCATAATGTCTCTCTTTATCCATTGCAAGGATCAACTAGCAAAACGGAACACCAAACACTTTAAACAAATCTTTCTTTTTCAGCTCAAAATCTGACCATTTTATTCATACATTTTACAGAGTTTGGAGAGTTTTTGTGCCCTAGAGGCAAGAGACTGTGAGAAAGTTGGAGATGAATGTTCATTGCTGTAAATCCCATCTGTGTTAGTTTAACCTGAGCCTCCTCCTCTGTTTTCAGTGGCTACAGCTCTTTGTCCCACTTGATTAAAGCAGCCAGCAAATTGGGAAATTCAGTTCAGAAACATGATGTCTAAACTGTCCGTAGCACATCTTTTAGTCAATTGTTTTGCCTCAGAACAAAGCTACAGTGCCATTTCAAAAGGATTAGCCATCTATTTTTCTCATTCTGCTGCTTTCTCATTGTGGTGCTCACACCAGCTGACCAGACGGCATTCTGTAAGTTCTCGGCCCTTTTTCATACCAGTCATTTATTTACTGTTCTGACAGGATCTGATCTCATTTGTGCTTTCGAGCATGGCAATCAATAATATATGTTTCTCTGATTTAAACTATTTTCTTGCCACAAGTGCAACGAGTATTCCAATGAGATTACTGATTTTAGGATTGTTGTTTATCAATCCAAGAAAAATAAAAGCACTTGGAAAATTTAATCAGAAATGTTCAGCTCCACAAGCCACATCCTAAATATTCAGAGAGTTTCAAAACGTTTTAACCAGGCTTGTTTTTTCAGCTGCTTTTACCTTCATCTGTAGACATTTTCACACTGCTTCTCATGCCGTCCTAAATCGTGCAAACTTTTAGGTAACAATTTCTTATTTGCAGGCATGGAAAACTTTAAATTATACTCTTTGGCTTTTATAATAAGTATTATTATTTTTATGTTGTTATTATTATTATTATTAAGGAATCATTTCCAACTTGCATTGTCGAGGAACCAATTGTGGTATTTCGCAGCACATAAGACTCAGATCATTCTTTTCTATAGAAAAGTATACTGAATTTGATCTTAACTTGATTATAAAAAATGGTGAAGAAAGATTAGACGTTAGCAAGAGAGGGGGGGGGGGTCAATCGATTAGACTTTTCGTTGGCTCAAATCGAATTAAAAATGTCAAACATAAAGTTAGGTTCTGTATGTAAGGCACTGTGGCGTCATTGTGTTTAAGGTGTGTCTTTTTCATCGTTCACCTTTGTTCGCGTGGTCCTGAGACAAAAACCCAAACCCAAGTCTGCAGAAGAGGAGGAGTCTGATGAAGTCACTCAGCATCTCTCTCAGTTTCTCCAGCTATCCACTCTCTTAATTTCCAGGACGCCGGACTGGCTCGAGGTGTGTGGGCTGTCACCGGGCTGCTCGCAGAGTTTGGGAGATGATGGGGTCTTAAAACGATGAGACTTAAAACGATGAACTGTTTCAGCAAAGCTGCATCGATAAGACGGAGGAGGACTTTTGTGTTTTGAGAAGCATTTTTCCCCAGGACTACAGCGTCAGCTCTCCAGATCACAGTGCGTTCCTCTAACTTTACGCATCAAGAGACAGAGTCGTTTGCGTAATTGCAGGAAGAAAAGTAGCTCACAAACCTTTCGAGCTGTTTTTTGGATATGGAACAATCGGTTCCTTGATGGCTTTCCCATTGTCACACGTGTTCGGGTGAGCAGTTTGTTTTTTTCACTCTGCTGGGAGGCAAATGGAGCAGCTGATGAGCGGATGAAAGGTTTTCACCCGGCTAGGCGCTTCCTTAAGTTATCTTGAAAATCTATTAAATTATAACGCGGAATAACACGAGTCCTGGCATGGAGATGGCCAACAGCTCCTTCCATTACTCCTCCGTTCTCCACATGGAGTTCAGCCCGCTCAGCGACTTGGCGGAGGACAACGAGACCAACTCCACCGCGGGAGAGCGAAACTTCGGCTGCGTCCAGATCCGCATCCCGCAGGAGCTGTTCCTGACCCTGGGCCTCATCAGCCTCATCGAGAACATCATGGTGATCCTGGCCATCATGAAGAACCGCAACCTGCACTCGCCCATGTACTACTTCATCTGCTGCCTGGCCGTGTCCGACATGCTGGTGAGCGTCAGCAACGTCATGGAGACCGTGTTCATGCTCCTCAACGACCACGGCCTCCTGGACGTGCACCCGGGCATGCTGCGCCACCTGGACAACGTCATCGACGTGATGATCTGCAGCTCCGTGGTGTCCTCCCTCTCGTTCCTGTGCACGATCGCCGCGGACCGGTACGTCACCATCTTTTACGCGCTGCGCTACCACAGCCTGATGACCACCCAGCGCGCGGTCATCATCATCGTGGTGGTGTGGCTGGCCAGCATCACGTCCAGCATCCTCTTCATCGTCTACCACACCGACAACGCCGTCATCGTGTGCCTCGTCACCTTCTTCTGCACCACCCTGGTGTTCAACGCCGTGCTGTACCTGCACATGTTCGTCCTGGCGCACGTGCACTCCAGGCGCATCACGGCCTTCCACAAAAGCAGGCGCCAGTCCACGAGCATGAAGGGGGCCATCACCCTCACGATCCTCCTCGGGGTCTTCATCGTGTGCTGGGGCCCCTTTTTCCTCCACCTCATCCTCATCCTCGCCTGCCCCACCAGCACCTTCTGCAACTGCTTCTTCCGAAACTTTAACCTTTTCCTCATCCTGATCATCTGCAACTCTCTCATAGATCCGCTCATCTACGCGTACCGGAGCCAGGAGCTGCGGAAAACCCTGCAGGAGCTGGTTCTGTGCGCCTGGTGCTTCGGCCCGTGACGGCGTGCAGCAGTTTTTGGAGAAAATTAGATAGTTCGTCCACATTCTAAACTGTCATGCAGCCTGTTGCGGCTGAAGTAAGTCGTGATCAATGAATACCTGACAGATGATGCCAAAGCGTGACTGCAACAAGTTGAAATCTCTCAAAAACAGCAACAACAAAAGAAAAAAAGAGACGAAAACCAGGCGTCCGCAAGGAACTCGCATCCTATAGATTTTAGTATATTTATTGAACCATTGGGTCACAGATCAACAGACTGGCCAACAGCTGAAGATTTGAATCGACTATACAGCCTTCTCATCTCGGAGGGATCCCCGCGCTGTGTTAGTCACGGTGGACTGAATTCCAGCTGCAGGTCTCCTCATGATTGGTTCGCTTTTTTCTGTAAACCTTGATGAATTGTCTCTATGTAATTGTATTGTCTGTCTTTGAACGCTATTAACTCTATTACCTCTATCAGAAAAAACAAATGCAAGCGGAACAGACTCGGTTTAAGCGAGGTTTGCCATTCAAGGCTTTAAGAGTTATGAAAGACAAATAGTAATGACCGCACCAAAAAGAGATGAATTCACTATTCTCTTTCCAAGGGTAGTTTTAAGTATGTTTCATAATTTAATGAAGAATGGGTGCACACAAAAAGAAAAGAAGCAGCCGAATGATCATTGAATGGGTCACATTCTTAGAGGTGCTAAAGTATAAGTAATAACTGGAATGGCCTTTCCAAGAACCGCTCATTTATTAAACCAGCCATCAGATATGGCAGAAACAGGATAAAAAAAACACTTCCTGTGTGCTTGGTGGATGTTGCGTGGGAACTGGTAACCCCAAAATAAATGTAGGAATGAGTTAAGACAAACAGTGATAAGAAAAAAAACGATCACATGGAAGGCCCGCTGCCCGGGGCGCGTGGCATGGGACGTTAATGAAAGCAGCATATCAAAGTTTGGCTCTTATTTTTGGCAACGTGGTTCTCGGAAATGAACAAATTGGTGGCGGTTTGAGGTTTTGGAGCCCGTCTGGTTTGACTGCGTTGGTCAGACAACTGCGGCTCTGAGTCACGTGGCTTGTGGGGAACTTCTGATAAGATCCTGACTGATATAGACCATAGCAGTGGGATTGATATAGAATTATAGACCCTGGCAATGTAGTTTTCCGCTTTATTAGGGCTTATTATTTCATAATTTTATTTTGTTTATCATTTCCAGATTTCGCACCTGCGTTTTAGTTTCCTTTCATAGGGGAAAAGAAGAAATGAAAAGACTGAATTTTCTTTATCAAAAGTGCCTGACAAATACAATAATTAATTCAAACATAATCTACTTTTGAGGTGCTGTTGAACATATTGAGATTAAACTGAGAGACACGTAATTGAAAAATGTTGTTATCCCTATCCTAATTTCCATGCACTTACCAATAGGGATGAATGTTTTATTTCTTTTTCTCAATCACAACCTCTTGCTGCTTTCTTCTATCGACTGTGTGTCTATTCTGGGATTTCTTTGCATTGTCTTCTTTAGAGCGGGTCTTTTTTTCTTTTTCTTTTTTTTTTTACAAAGAAATTCAAAAGTGCAATGTTGCTGTCTGATATTTGCTGAATAAAAATAATCTTACCACCATTAAAGATTATGAGCAAATGATTTTGAATGTCTACCTTGTGTGTTTGCTTGTTTTCATTTAAACTAAAATCAACTACAGTATTTCGAAATATGATTTATGGGATTGGAGAGGGGGTGGTAATTCAAAAATATAATTTTTTTCCCTCGTGCACATCAGGAGGGTTAACACTGTTAAATCTACCAGACAGGATGCATTGCAGCACTATTATTTTATTCATTAATACTATAGGTTTTCAGAGTTTTCAGTTGATGGGAATCATACCTGTGAATCACTGAAATGTCATGTTATTTTTTCTAAATATATCATCTTAAAAGAATGTTGGAACTTCAACTCTTTCTCCGGATCATGAAAGTATGCATTGCTTTCTTTGGATGTAAAGTCACTAGCATTGGGAAAAAAACGTCAGTACCGGTACTCATTTGTAGCTCATGTATTTAAATTGCAACTTAAAAATTATTCTTAATGTTGCTGAATTTCCATAGAGGCAATTAAATAGTGTTTTTTACCAGCACCTGTCGCTGTGTTTAACTGAATCTATACAGTATAAATTATTCAGTAAGATGATCTGAAGGAAAAGGAAAGTTTTTGAAGCTGAGAAATTTAAAACAAAAAACAGAGACATAGCCCTTATAGAATCCTTTTTTCTCACTTCAAAGATATATATATTAAAAGCAATCGCAGGATCCGATGTATGTTTCTAGAACTATTCTTTCCTTACTTTACTCATTTTGGCTTGTATGCGCCATAACAGGCTAAAAGCAGTAGATCTTTGTTGAATTACTTTGAATATTTTGTTAACTGTGACAGTTATCTCACAACCAGGAAGTGTTCTCTTCAAACCCAAACGGGGTCATTTCTGTTTGTGTCTTTTTTATGTTCTCCCCAAGGATATCAATGATGTCCCTCCTGATCAAAGTATTTTAGGTCACACATATGAGTGTGTAAATGCTTGTATGTTGGTCCTGTGACGGATGCTCGGAGGGTTGCCCAGTCTTTTGCCCATGGCAGCTGACCCTGTGACCCTAAATCGAACGAGATGGGTATGGAAAAAGTTGTGGATGGAAACAAGTTGAGCAACCTATGAACCAGCAACATGTTTAAGTAAAGGATTTAAAGTAAGTCATTTTGCCAGTGTAAGAAATACTTTTTCTTTGAGTTTGGTTCAGACCTCATTCTCCCTGTAACTGGTTAGAGTGAGACGTAAGAGCTTAGACTGGGTTTGGGTAGGTTTCATAGTTTGAGCGGCAGGCTAACCTGCATGTTTCATGTGTCTGTATCCCAAGTCTCTCCAGAGACTCCTACTGTAGATACACTGAACTTTGTAATTATGTTTGCAAAAAAAAAGAGATAACTTACCAATGAGATGATATATTTTTTGGCTCTTTCTTCTCAGTTCAAGTTACATTGTGGGAATTTAAACATAGTTTCATATAGTGGAGGTTCAATGAGAAACACCTATAAATAAATGCTTTAAACAGGCCCAAATTTATCCAGTCACAGAGACAAACTGTACATCTTACATAATATCGACATTATCCTTAATGTGATTTCATTTTGGTTACTGCATGCCGTACGCACAGTCATCATGTTTTTACAATTAGCCTTTTTTGAGCGTAAATGTCCACGATAAAGTCTTCATTCAAGATATATACGACTGTAATGCCATTTCTAGGTGCCAATTGAGGAAATAGACGTAAAGTTGATGAAATTATGACTGCCGCAAATGGTCTCATACGTGAACGTTTCAATTCATTACATTCCAAATATCTCCAGAAATCACATTTTAACTTAACTAAACTTCTTTGAACATAAGTGCATTTACAAGCAGAAATGACTGTTTCCTGTTTAAAAAAAAAAAAAATCAAGATAACATTAGCTCTCTAAAGACAATAGGTCCATTGATAAACAATACAACAGGGACGTTTTAAAAATGCTCCATTTTTAAACTCATGATCAACTTTAGTTGCCTTGCTGTAAATAACAGCATTGAACAGAGGGGGATTTCCATTCAGCACAAATATAAATAATTTTCCAGTCTTCAAAGATGAAATGAAATCAAATCCCTCGTTAAAAAATGATGATGTAGATTTCTGATGTTATCGTAATGCTTTTCAAAGGGTGTTGTTGAGATATATTCTGTATAAATAAAAACTTACATTTGTGGCATATAAGAGCATAACTTGCCTTTAAAACTTATTTAAAAGTGGGATATTTTCATTGTGAAATTGTATTATTTATTAATTTTCCATTTTATTTGTGTTTAACTTTTCATATGTTGATTTGTTGAAATTGATGATCTTGTCATCCTGACTCGTTTAGAAATAGTTCCTGGAGAAATTCCCGACCTCTGGGTCCATAATAAGCAACATTGCAGGGGATGCTCAATAATGTCCTTCATCAAAATCATATTTCTTCCAGGAGGATGCTTCAGTTTTGAAGTCCTGTTTTTCCTTTTTCAGACTCTTCTTCTCACAGCATGGTAAAAGTTCCTCTTGAATTTATCTGTCCAAATTGCGTTTTAAAAAATAAAATAAAATAAAACGTCTCCAGGCATTTGTGTTCTTTAAATAGTTAACATTTTCAGAGAAACACTCGTGAAAAAGCCCTCTTCATCTTTGGCCTTTTTCTGTGTATTGGTGCGACATGGCCACCTCTTTGAACCACATCTCGCTAACAAACGCACATTCAGTGCTGCAGATCTCTGACATCCTTAATGCAAGTGATGCATGACCACCACTGCTCAGTGCACAGTTGCCTCATTTCATACTTCAATTAAAATCTAACGCCTTCAATTAAAATCTAAGGTCAGCGTTTCATAATGATTGCATCATGTCAAATCCATTATGGTGGTTTACAGAGGCAAAATGATGAAAATTGCACTAGTGTCCAGATACTGTACGTAGGGGCCCAGCCACAGACATGATGGAGACCTGCCACTTGACTTTAATTACAGCTAATTACATGAAAGGAGGACAAAAGTGTGTCTGTATGATTTGTAGGGAACAGCATGTTTACAGTGAGGCAGGGTTATGGCATCTTGCCTCATTCAGCCACACAACACAGTTCTGTTCAAAAATCTAAAAGCAATCGATTTATTTACTCTGACGCAAGTGACATGGAGTGAGTGATCAAGCAGACAACACAACTAATTTGGGATTTATGGTTGAAAAAATGACATTTTTAGAACTCTGTATAGAAATCTTTCCTGTTTTTTCGAATACATTTTCACTTGAAGTTTGATAGAGTGCAACGGTTTCTATTTCACATGCATTTTATGTCTATCAGCCTGAGGAACGAGAGCTGAGATTCCCTGATGATCCTTCTCTGCTGGGCTTGAGCCACCCCTTGTTCCGTTATGCTTTCTTTGGACCATGGGAACTTGGTGTAGCGATTTATTGATTTATCAGCAAGCATCAGATTTCAAGGCAAAAACTGACTTTGTCTCAGTTTTTGGTGCTTGAAAGTCAGTATTTGGTATCGGAATCTGTATTTGTCCAAACAGCCTGAGGCCCCATGTGACGCCTCTCATGGCTTCTTGAAAGACTTTCCAAAGCTCTTCTTTAGAAAATCTCTGCCATTTCTTCTGTTCTCTGTCCGCTCCCACCCTGCCTCTGTAGTGTTTATGGTGAGGTTCTGAGGAAGATTCATCCCTTCATCAGCACTTCCGCCACTGGTTTTCTGTCCACTTTTTTGTGCCATTTGGCATAGTTCAACTGTATTTAAAGTTGGGTTCTGGAGAGGCACCCTTAATTTCTGATGAGGCTTCAGTGAGCAGTGAAGCATCAACTGAAGCATCAGATGAATTTCTCAAATCCTGTGGAGTAATTATCCGTTTTGAAAGGACGTCAGTCTCACTTTCAGTCAAGTTGCATTAGATTAAAAATAAATAAATAAAAAGAAAATCTGAATCTATTGAAGAAATTTGGCTCGAGAGCACTCTTGAGTTATACAAAGAATAAAGATTATACATTAAATATTTTTGACATGGGCAGAAGAAATTGTAAGGTGGAAACAGTTTTGTGTACATTTATTTTGTTTTAACATAGATGCTAGAGGCTTTTGAATGGAGAGTTTATTCTCAAAATTGCTGGGATATTTAGGTTAATTAAAAAAAAATTCAGTTAACTGTAGAATTGGAGAATGACGCATACAAAAATAGGACGAGCAGTGGAAGACAATTATTTATAATCCCTGAGTGCCTGTCATACTGAATGATGAATGAGATGTTTATTGAAAGAATTACAGTATAAGGAGGATACAGTTTCCCAGTCAGGGAAGCTGAATCCCTGGTGCTTTATGTTGTCTTTCCATATCTAATGTTTGCATTTCAGTGAGTAGATGGAACAACAACAACCCTAATTATACAATTGGTGATCACCAGTGTGACTTCTACATTAATTATTTAGTCTCAGAAGCCTTTAGCAAATTACATTTCTCTTGATGAAGGAAAATTATGAGAAATTGATGTTGACTACGTGTTGAATTTTCCATGTAATTGCTCTCGTTTTTTTAATACTTTGTGTAATGTTCTAAATCTAAGCTCCAATGTGATCCCCACATGATCACAATTTCCAGGAACAACTAAACTTGTGTAAGCCATGTTTTTCCAAAAGCTTTTTCTTGGCAAAACCACCATAACTGAATCATGTTGCTCAAATACTTTCTTCAAAAGACCATCGGCTGCTTATGAAAGCATTTAAACAATATAACTAACATTTCTAAAAATACTTGCAGTGTCAAGTGTTCACAGTTTATTCAAAGTAATCACATCTTATCAAGGTTTTACTTTTAATTTAAAGTGTGTCGTTAGCGAAGCTGTCATATATTTCCATGCATTAATTTAGCAAATGCTTTTTTCTAAGGTATTTGACAAGCGAGGAACACTTTGAAGACAGCTTGGCAATGTCACTACCTTCAAGTTACAGTCCAATACCATCTCTTCAGCTGCAGCCAGAATGTCTGCAAGAGACCATTCATCTGATTTACAGCTCTTTCATGACCTGGTCATCTGCTTTTATCTTCACAGTGATAGCTAATTCAAAGTTAATAATGCTATTTTTGATGGACCTCCATGCGAATCTTTGGTAAGAAAAATCTGTGATGGGGTCCCAATTGAAGTCTAACAGCTTTAAATCATAAGAAAAAGGTGTCCCAATCAAATGAGAGGAAATAAAGCAATGTGTAAGGTCTTCCTATCCCAGCTAACATTGGGGGAGAGGCAGGGTACACCCTGGACAGGTCGCCAGTCCATTACAGGGACACACAGACTAAATACAAATCCATCATAGTTTTATTTTTTTAGATGATTGCATCCTTTTCACAGTTTTCAGTAGACATTGTCAGGTGATGTGGGAAACTTCCAGTGAATCAGGGATGTTTAATCATAACCTGTTAATGTCGGGAAACCAGAAGGTCTAACAGGAAGAGGCATGCAAAATTGTCAAATAAAAGCATGAATCAGCAGGCAGTTTAGTACAGTGTTAAACAGGAACGACGTAAATCCACTATCCACTAGTTGAGACACATATTTCATCATATTGTCCATTTCCACTTCAGTTTTATCTAAAAAATACCATCCAATATCTCGTGATTGTGGTTCGGTGTTTTCATTCTGAAAAAACAGCCGGAAATGGATGTCTTTGACAAACTCTGACGTGACACCTATTAGCCCTGAAACGTTGCCGATGACAGGGGCTAAACAACACGGGGAAACTGTCCATGTCAGCCCCAAGGGGTTGAGCAAACACTACCTTTAAAAGCTGCCGGACGGCTGATAATTCTCCAGTGAGAAACGGGGTAAGCTGATAACGCGCTACGCCGGCCGGCTAGCATCAAAACAAAACACCGAAAGCCCGATTCAACGCTGCCTAGCACGCTAGCTTTAGCTAGTTGTTGACATCTTTTGCTGCGATATTGAACTGGGTCCAGCACGTCTGTGACCTTTTTGCATGGCAAGTTCAGCAGCATAGTTGGTGTTGTTTAGATTTTCTAGCACGTAAAAATGAAGCTTTCACCGAGCCAATGTCAGGTCAGGATTTCCAGCTCGTTGCATCCCAACTCCCCGTCCGTCTGACACAATGTAATGTAGAAAAAAAGGACAGAAAAAACAAAAAAAAACATGCACTTTAATTGACATTACAGGCCTAATTGATTTTTAATAGAACAAGTTAGAAATGTATAAATAAGAAAATACAGGGAAGAGTACAAAACATCCATCCAGGATATAAGTAAAGAAATGAAAATAAATAATAATGATAAACTCCCAGTAGCTGATTACACTCTCAATTACCTTTAAATGTTACACGCAATCAAAGGTAAAGACTGTAGGATATAAGCAGCAGGGGTTCTTTTTTTGGGCCAGAATCGACATGTCCTAAATAGGCTGTTTCAGATCTACAGTATCATAGATCACAGGCCATTTCTGATGCCATGTCATTTTACCCTAATCAGTCAGTCTGCACTTTGATCGCATGCTACAGCAGGTTCCAACCCTCTTGGCATTTATTCAGACGCTTCATTCAGAGTGAAATCAGTCACCATAACCAATTAGCTGGTTAAGACAGAGATATTAGGTATGTGAGAGGTTGTACAAATATGTCATGTCAAATGTGTGAAGACTCTGGTGTATTAGAGAGGGTAATGAGTTTGCTTGGATTGTTTAGAAAATGCATATTTGAAACCAAGTATAAATTTGGATGACCAACATAAAAAGTACATGCATGGGTGTCCATGAAGCAGGATGTGGAGGAAGGTTGTCGATGATGCCAACATTACGTAAACTGTTAGATTAATTGATTCTCTTTCAGGTGTTTAGCCGCTGAAGGGCTAGGGTTAGGCCTCCTCTTCAGCTCTTAGATCCTGAAGCCGAGGGGACTTTATGTGGAGCCTGAATGAGAAAGCACATCACAATAAACAGTTACGAAGCAGGTTGACATTGATGTGTTTGTCTTGCTTAGATGTAGCCAATGAAATGGAGTATGATGAGAGACTTGCACTTTTCCGCCAAACTCGCCTCAACCCCTTTGATCGTGGAGAGGAAGAGGATGGTCCTCAAGAAGGCAAGACTCCCCCCAGACATGGTAAAGTTGCCAAAGTTGATCATAACTATTGCAAAAGAATAAGCAGATTATACATTTCCTTTAACAGATTATTACTTACTTATATTATGTTTTAACACAGGAGCTATTAATTTCTGCCTATTCCTGAAATCCGGAAAACTTGTTCCATGTTTAGTAATTTGTGTGATTTTTCTGTATAGTCGAGAAGGTAATTTTCATTATTTTTATAGTTTTTTTTACTTTAACCTGTATGTATTGTCAGATATCAGTTTTACATTTGTGGAAATCAGTCAGTTTTATCAGTATCAGTTGAGTAAAAAGGATCAAATGCTCCAGAGTCTGGACTGACATCAGAAAGGATCATTTTTGGTTTAAGAACTGGGTAATGACATTTTAGTGGGATGCAATAAATAGATTCTTTTAAATAACACAAAACACTTTTGCTTGTCCTAAATGTCCCTTTGCTCCCGTGCACGCAGACCTGATTTCCTTTTTAATTTTGTTTCATTATCTTTAACCTGTTGACACAAACAGAACCTCCTGTGTAAAGAAAAAGAAGAACACTGGATTGTTGTGACAGACCTTTAAGTTCATGGAACAGGAAGTGGGAAGTCCTGTTGCTGAGCAAGAGCAAATGAGAAGCAAAAGTCTGAGCTGGACTTTAGTGTCACTTCCTTTTATTTTTAGCATTTAAGAATCCAAGACTTTTTTTTGGGGGGTGGGGGTTACAAACACAATACAAAGAAGCCCTACAGACTGCTGATTCCTGCTTAATTTTCTTTCAACTCTGCACTGAAAACTGAATTAACATGTTTTGGTCTGACGTGTATGCAGGTAACACCATTTGTCTGCATTTGTTTTCTTTTTAAGTGGGCAGAGATTCAACTTTTGATCTAGAATGAAATGGAAAAAGTAAAGTCCAGTCCAGCTCCTTGTAGAGTGTGCTGGTTTTGCCTAGGCTAGAAGTGAGGTCCTGCTTTGTGCCTTCTATCTGATGTAGTTTAGTGCCTTGTCCTTTTCACCTGCCATATTTTTCCTTACAGTATACTTATGTCTCATTTGGAAACGAAAGCCAAAAATATGTTTTTAGTAAAAGCTTTGTTTTTTCTGAGGAAATAAGTATGTCTTACTATCAGGGAAAAAATATTGCTGATAGAGATTTGCTTTATTTTTCACTCACATATGAGCTTGTGTGATAGAACCAGAAAGTAGTTGATCACCTAAACTAACATGAGCTGCTGCTTGAAAATGACCAACCCAAACAGCTGCTTTAAGCAAACATTTCGTCCTGGAGTTACTTTTATTTCAGCGTTTGTCTTTTTGTCTTTACTGGTATATTTTATACTGGTATACTGGTATACAACAACTTATGAGGTTCCCTTTCATTTCCGAGGAACTCGCAGCATATACACTGCTGCGCGGCACCAAAGAGTAACCAAGTTTGGTTTCAAAGTTCATTCAGGCGCAGTGAAAAGCAGCTTTAATGACAGAGTTGGTGGATGTCTTGTCAGGTGGATTTGTTACACATTGCTGGAGCTGGTTGAACAATTACCAGTCGCTTTTCCATTTCGTGCTTCTTCTAAGATCTCGAGTGTAGGGAAACCACTACGTCTTAAATTAATACAAATGACTATAAAAGCTGTGTCATTGTGAGCACTTTTTGCTCACTTTTGTTTCTGTCTTCCTAGAAGCAATGCCTGAGCTGTTTTCAGGGACCAGAACCCACAGTTTGGACCGGACCATGGATCTTGGTCTAGCTGAGGACCACTTCTCAAGGCCTGTGGTGAGTGACACGTTTATCCTGCCGTCCTTCAAATCAGAATGTCCCTCTTTATAAAAAAAAAACAAGTTGCCTCTTTTGAAACAGTCTTTTGCTATTCCTCCCAAACTGCTGTTCAGGGCTCTTTTGTGGCATCGGATATTGAACAGCTGAAACTGGCCATCGAGGAGTGTAAGAAGCTGATCCTGGAGCTTCCCGAGCATTCCGAGAGACAAAAGGACACCGTGGTGAAACTCATCCACCTCCGCCTCAAACTGCAGGAACTCAAGGTAGTGGATGGAACGATATTAATGAAAAAGTCACCAGACTAAACCTTTTGATAAATGTCTCACTCTTTAAATTAGCCCAAAAGCTTTTTCTGAGGTAAAGTCACATCCAAGAGCATTTGTCAATGTTTATTTGATTAATGGTTGGGAAGGTTATAGAGGGAAATATGTTGTGGATGTCCCGTGGGGATGAGCATGATTATTAGAAAGATTTAAGGAATCCCGATATGTTGTTAATTCATCAAGGTGATAAGTCTGCGAAAAAACTCGTTGCACTTTTGGCCTGTAAGCTGCTGCTCTTTATGAGTTAAATAAGAGAGGGCATTGCGGACATTCTTGTGGTTTGAAAAGTTCATACTTGTACTCTGATGCGAAGATAAGAAATAGAATTACATTCCTGTCCTAATCAATCTAGTTGAAAGCGATATGCCCCTTGTGTGTGTGTGTGTGTGTGTCTGTATATGTGTGTATCTTGTCCCTGCACTGTTGTCAACTGTTTCTCCACCTTTAACAAAATCTCAGATATCTCTGATAAAGCTGTACTGGTGGCTTGCTGGCAAATTTGCCTCGTTGGTTAATTTGAACGGAGAAGACATGTTACAGCGCAGGTCAGGGGTGCAGTCCTGCAGCCAGGGAACTTTACTTGGATCCAGCCTGCTACTCCGAATTACATCGCAAGCGGACACTGTCAAAGAAAAATCTGATTAGTCAGCTTCAGCCGGAAGCTTTCACATTCCTTGTTGTGAAGCATTCCTCTGACTGTTTGAGCGGTTGTGTGTGAAACAGTTGAATGCCGTGTCTGACACTGCTTTCCTTCACCTTTCAATCCGTGAAGGACCCAGAGGAAGATGAGCCAAATCTAAGAATCCTACTTGAGCACCGCTTTTCCAAAGAGAAGAGCAAGAGTGTGAAACAGACCTGTGACAAGTGTAGCGCCATCATCTGGGGCCTCATCCAGACCTGGTACACCTGCACAGGTGAGGCACACTACACAATGGCAACATCAAAAAGTGCCGGGAAAACATTCCGATTGTTGGTCTTTTAAAGAAGCACCGGAGCTATTTTGAACCTGAAGCTGAATAGCCCTGTGTTGTGTTCAGACGTCACGGCCTTACATAGCACTGACGCAGAGCTCCCATTTGGGCTCTCTCCTGACAAATTATAAGTCTAATCTTGTCTGACTTGATGAACTCTGGAGTCAGAATTTCCTTCTGAAGCGCAGCTGACCAGTTTGCTACAGTTCGGATCCCGGGCGATGCCAGCAGTGGAGCTCACAACAGCAACAGGAAAATAAAGGGCACAACCAGCTGTTTGATCTACTGTGGCCCAGAAAACGACAGACGGCGGATGATGAGATTTCATTTGGAATAAATGGAGGACAGCAGTGTGGGATGGAATGTGAGAATTAACAGTTAGATTTTATCCAGTGTTGTCTTCTTATTCAGCAATTTCCCAAAGTGAGTTTTCCTAAACAGGACATGAACAAGCTGGAAACCTGGTTTTCAACACATTTCTTACAAGCGGCAAACTGACAAATATGATATAATTTGCCCACAGAGCTGAGATTGATGTCACAGTCTGACAAAATGTTGCTGATCGTTTGATTTCATGGTGATTTATAGTTTGAAAAATTGCTCTGGCACAACCTGATGGTGACTTCATGTCACATCAGGGATATGTAACGCTGTCCGCTGTCAGTAAGATTATCTGCTGCTTCCGTTCAAACTACATTAGCTTCAGTTTTTTGGTCTAAAGTCACTCTTTGCTGCAGCGTGACGTCCCAGGCCAGAGATGACAACGTAACGCCAAACACGATACACTGCGTATGATAAGATCATTCCATCTGTGCAAGCGATCACCACATGACGAATGGGTGTTCACCGGTAGCAGTGTTGTGTGTTTGAAGCCGAACATGGGTTAGTTTTATCGAAACAGTATTTACTAGAGTCATTTCCAGCCCAAAGCTGACGGCCACAGACTCACACTCTGAAGAAGAGCATGCCTGCAATTTGCTCTGATCTGAGGATGCCCAAATTGCCCAAAATGTCTCTACTCATATTTGAAAAGTTGACCATTGGTCCTGTTAAAGATAGACATTTTGGTAGTGGTTAATAGCTGTTTTTCTATGTTATCACGTCATGCTTTTCAGTTATCGCTTTCTGTTTTCAGGGTGCTATTACCGTTGCCATAGTAGGTGCATGAACCTGATCACTAAGCCCTGTGTCAGGTCAAAGGTCAGCCACCAGTCGGAGTATGAACTCAGCATCTGTCCAGAGATTGGACTGGATCGGCAAGATTACCGCTGTGCAGAGTGTCGCACACCTATATCTCTGAGTGAGTGCGTTTTTCTCGTGGCGTAGAGCGAGTTTGGCGACACAAAAAAAAGTGAACTGCTCTGACTGTGCTGCGGTGGTGGAGATGGGATTTTACATATTTGCCTTATAACCTGACTTTAGTCTGCCCATTTTTGTTTCAGGGGGTGTACCGAGCGAGGCCAGACAATGTGACTACACAGGCCAGTACTACTGCAGCACGTGCCACTGGAACGACTCGGCCATCGTCCCAGCCCGCGTCATCCACAACTGGGAGTTCGAACCTCGTAAGGTATTACAAGAGCTACAGGAAAATACTCCTCGGAAGTAACTGCATCTCACAGGAAGTAGGATTTATGACTTTGCAGACAAGAACCTGAGGTGGCGTGTGCCATTGTTCCGTTAGTACAAAGAAAGTAGAACAAGACAGTCCAGAGCAAAAGGAGCCTCTTCCAGATTTAGGCTGGCATGTTTTAAGGTGAACTTTGCTGATTAATTATAGAAATAACGCAACATATTGGGATGTTATTACGAACCTTTTTTACATTCAAATATCAGTGGCCTCAGTGTTATGTATCACCCTCGAGTTCAGATATATATTCTTAAACCTTTATTTTCGGAATTTAATCACCCTATAAGAGAGAGAACGTGTATAAACTGGAGGACCTGCACAGTATGTGGCTTAGAAGTTTTGTTATGTTGACAGCAGCACCAGAGATTTTAAAAATGAAATTCATGATAAATGGTCTACTTTACTGTCTCACTGTTCACCGGTCATGTTTGACCTTTTCCAGTTCAAGAGAATTTCCCTGATTAATTATCCGTATTCAGCTAAATTACAAAGAAATGCAACTAATCTTACGAACTACATCAGGTGACTATCTAAACTAAAAAGCATTACACTTCAAAAAGGGCGACTTTAACTATCTGTAGCTCTTGATTTCTTTGCCGTACTTTAATTTGAAACAGTGATAGTGAATTTCCTCTGAGACTTCATTTAGGACTACATTAACACAGGCAGTGTTGATAGCAGTTGGGAAGTAGCACGCTCACATGTATACATTTAATTTGCAGAAGTAGGTTAATGAATTTAGGCCCAGCTGAATAGGCAATTTACTTAGTACTATGTGAACAGCTGCAGATGGAGAGAATTTCATGCTAGTACCCATTCATCTTTTATAAGTCAATAATGAAGACTGGCTGAGAGGACCTGAGGCAGATAATGAGTGTTTGGGGTTAATAGACAGGTCAAAGACACTGAAATGTATAACTGTCTCACAGTGTTAGAATGATTTTGTACATTTTACTGCAAGGCATTAAGAGTGTACAGAATTACCTTACAGAAACATCAAATAAGCTCCTGGCACCCCACCAATCAACTCAACTGGCCGGTCATGAGGAGCATTACACAACGAGGCAAAATGCGCCATCTATGACCAAAAACAATGAGCGTTTGTAGGTTTGTAGAAAAGCAGTCGAGAGGAGTCAGACTGACGTTGGTTCAACCCAGCCAAATGAGGATGAATTCCATCATCTAAAAGAAATGTCTGTTTGTCAAAGCCAGGTCTTTAACCCTCTTTAACCCAGGTCAGCGGGGAGGGTTGCTCCCCTTGACTTATTTGAGCTGTTCACACCAGGAACCAACCATGACAGGGCTTCTGAGGATGTGTCCAGTGGGTTAGCTGACAGTGTGTGTGTTCCTCAGGTTTGTCGGTCCTCTATGCGCTACCTGGCACTGATGTTGTCCCGGCCGGTGATGAAGCTAAAAGAAATTAACCCGCTGCTATTCAACTTTGTGGAGGAACTGGTCGAGATCAGGGTGGGTGCTTTCAAATACCTCGAAGACGCCCCAAAAGTTTGTACCAGCTGGAGTAAAGCTGTCAATCTCTGAAGGGAGTTCCCTTCTCTGACCTATCGTTGTACTCAGCGTTAGACTATTTATCAAAACAATAACACTAAGCATTGCTTGGTTATACACAGTGAGACGACTCTGCGTGTTTGTGTTCACGTTTGGCTGACTTTTACAGAAACTTCGTCAAGACATCCTTCTGATGAAGCCATATTTTATTACCTGCAAGGAGGCGATGGAGGCTCGGCTACTATTACAAGTAACTATGCACTGTCCTTTAAAACGTATAAAGAAAAAACAAAAACAAAAAAAGCATTGAGGTCCGATAAGCTCACCATCACAGCACCATGCAACAGTACCACCTAGTGGTCGGAGTGGGGAAGTCACGAAATGGCATGACATGATACTGCCCTTTTTATTCTTGTATGAAGAATTCTACAAGCCGTTGCAAAAATGTCTGAGCTTCTAAATTACTTTTCCGGAGTAAATAACATTGGTCAAATGAGATCTTTGAAAGTTTTTTTTTGTAATACAAAAAAAGCGGGCTCCATTCCGGTTGTGTTCAGATTGTGTGCATGAGCTCTGTTGTGCACCGAGCTATTTTTGTAAAACGTGTTCACTGTTTTTCATCCTCAGCTACAAGATCGCCAGCACTTTGTTGAGAATGACGACATGTACTCACTTCAGGATTTGATAGACATCTCAAGTGGCAGACTCAGCTGCTCCCTCACTGAGATCCACACCACATTTGCTAAGCACATCAAACTAGACTGCGAGGTGGGTTCATAGTTGGATGTATCATCATACTGTGAGGAAATGTTTGGTTAAATTTGAAATTATTTGAGAACCTTAGACGTTTTAAATAAAATATGATAGTATGGCACTGTAACCTCCCCCTTTTTTCCTTTTGGCATTTGCACCTGTGTGTGTGTGCAGCGCTGTCAGGCCAAAGGATTCGTGTGTGAGCTTTGTAAGGAGGGAGACATCCTGTTCCCCTTTGACAGCCACACCTCAGTGTGCCACGACTGCTCCGCTGTTTTCCACAGGTTAGTCCCAATCAGGCATTTTCCAGAGAAAATTTCTCCCAAGGGGGTTATAGTTGAGATGTTATGATAAAGTCATGTGGAAGCGAGGCTTCTGTGGGAGGGCCAGTTTGCTGTTTTAATGTCGTTTACTGCATACAGAAAAAAAGTTGTATGAGTTTCAATTTGTTTAAAAGAATTACCCTGACTGAGAACTCATTACTTGAGTTTGTGTGATTAATGTGCTTTTTTCTCTTGCATTTGCTTTGCAGAGATTGTTACTACGACAACTCCACGACCTGTCCACGCTGTGCCCGAATGACGGAGCGTAAGCAGGACGAGGTGTCAGATGCGTGACGCGTGGCTTCAGATTTCAAAGATGTTACATTTTGCCTCATGGTCAAGCAAGTCTGATCAAGTTCAAATTACTTGACATGAGCTCCTCATCCTTTTTGTTTACATTGGTTTGTGTTCATGCTTTAGCGTCTCTTCTCTCCTGTTCACCTAAGGGGCGAAGCTGCGATTTAGAAGCACACTTGGACATTAATATATGTCTATTTTGATCAAAGTTTTGATTTCGTACTGGAGTAATGAAGTATTGGACACTGTGTATGTATGTGTCAGGTCAGAATGCATTGTGTTTGTGTGTGTGTGTGTGTATGTAAGTGTGCGTGTGTGTCCGCACGCATGCCTTTTCCCATGAAATCGCCCATAAAGGAACTGTACAGTTAGAGATGATGCATGCAGGAGATGCATATTAAATGTGTGCTGCATTAATCCAAACAGCCAACTTTTCTGAGTGCTAAACTGAAAGATTGTCAAATATGATAAGGTTATATCAGGTAAAGTGGAAAGATTGCATATCCAGGTTTCAGTAGATTGACACAAAGGCTTGCTTTGCAGCGCTCTGTTGTGTGCGTCAGTTGTTGCAGTGGACAGCCCTTCATTGGGCTGTTATCTCTGAGCATCAGCTTATTACATAAGATGTTATGGTTTGTTTGTTTGTGTGTCCCCTCATCCGTTCACTCACTGACTGGAGTCATAATCTGTAGATCTGTTTATCATCTGAATTAAGATTTAAAGTCCTTAAAGCCACTAAGATTTTCAGCATTCCATGTGCAGGTTACCTCGCAGCATTCTCCTGCTTTAAAAGCTTTTAACTTTCCTTTGGACAGCTGTCGTCCTTCATACTAGGAAATAACTAATGGTTTATAATTGTGAGACAAAATGGCTGTGTCCCTCTATCACTACAAACTGTTGAAACTATTTAACACACATATATGTGTGTACATATACACAGTACATAATGATGAATACTCAGTCATTCCATACAAAGCATGGATCAGCGGGAAGAAAAATAAAAAAATCAGAAATGGAAGTTTAATTGTTTTATCATGTTGGTTAAAACTGTGAAATACTTTGTTTTTTAAACTTTTGCTACATGTTTTATCCAGCTCTGTTCAGTGCTGTGCAGCAGGTAGCTGTCGTGTGCCTATAATAGTCAAGTTACAGCTGTTGTCCAAACATCTAAATACCACCACGGTCTCAGTCTTAAAGTACGTATAATAAATATTTCTAAACTTGAGAAGTATAGATAAACAAAGTGGCAACTTGTGGAATTGTGGGTCTTAAGTATTTGTTTTAAAATGATCATTTAGCTGTGTTACTTTTCAGCAGCATGATGTACGGTATTTTTGTGTTGAATTAATGGACATATCTGGTGTTGGTAGGGGCAATGCCATGTGTCTGAATGTCTTACCAGTGCATGAATAAAGTGAAGTTTTAATGCATTTTAATCTGGAGCCTGTGCTTTCACATATTTTAAATCATGAGTGGCACAATTTTTTAATTAGATGGCAATACATACTCACGATCAACTGGTGATCAAAACTGCCACAGATCTCCCTAAAATGAGAGGAAAAGGTTGAATGCAAGCTGAAATATGGACAAAATATGGGAAGGCTTACATTTACTGGTTACAAATACACAACATCATACTAGAACACGCAATCCTACGAGTTGCATGCACGTGTCAGTCCAGTGAAGTTCCAAACGACACACTTTGGTAACAGCCTCCTCGTGTGAACGCTCACAGATCCACGCGCCGCTGCTCAGCCAATAACAGCAGCGCTCGCCCCCCCCCTCAGCTGTTCCAATCTGGCTTTGGAACAAACTGTGTCCATGCAGCGGCTCTGCGGACAGTCGGGACCCCCTGAATGGAAGGATCAGTCCCACTGAGCCCGCTTCAGAACAACCCCGATGGGCCTCTTCTCTCTGAGCGTCCGGCCGCTCCGGAACCGGGTGCGCAGCGTCCAGACCTGGAGCCGAGACCTGTCCACCTTTCCCTCTGCGTTTGCCACCTGTGGGGCTCTGACGCTGGTACGGTGACATTATTTTTTGTGGGTTATTACGTAAACTCTGTGTTATGATGTAAGAAATGCGTTTCTTAAAATAGACAGTGGAAACTTTTTCGTCACATCCATTGTTTGACCGAGATGCGTGCGCCATGCACCTTGGTTGGAATCCATCGTGAGAAATCTGCTTTCCCTGAGTGATCAGCAGCAAACTCCCCCCGAACCTCGAAAAACAACATCATTGTGTATCATTCCTCAGTTGTTTGTGTCCCCATGGGATGCTGGGGCTCTTTGATGAGGGAGTTTATGAGTTCATTTCCTGTTTCATGATGTCCTTTTTTTGCAGATGGTATGTCTCAGTTAGAAAGCATGACAGGAGAAGAGAGCCCCTTTAAAATAAACCATTGGTTGCATTTCTGTTACAGAAATCTTCATTTAAAAATGTAATAAAAAGACCAGAATTCAGAGGCGCAATAATGAGTAACTAAAGGAAATCTTTTCTCACATGCATAATGTTTGAGCTTCATTAAAACTTAAATTTCTCTTTCTAAACGATAACTTTGTGCAGCTTTAGAAATGTCTGCGAGTAATAGCATTGTAATTGGGAAATGCCTGTGAAATTAAGTTATGTGTGACACAGGTCAGTGTACCAATAATGGGATTTGAGTAATCCTGTGAGTAAGATTTGGTGGGAAATGTGGGATTTTGACACAGAAACCCTAATTTATTATCATTTTTCTAGCTCTTTTATGACTTCTAAAATCCCTGCCGTAAGTCATATCATTGTGACCTGTTGCAAATTCCTTTTAGCCAGGTGTCGTATTGGCTCTAAATGCTCAGCTAACATGTTCCATGTTTATCTCAGAAGACGGCTCTCATCCAGAGGAGATGTGGGGGGTTTGGTCGCCACGGTTTCCCTCTCGCTCGGTCGCTGAGCTCGGACAAGCCCCCGAAAGGTCCCTCATTCTTCGTGTGGTATTATGAAGCTAAATGAGTGTGCAGTGACCTAAATCTTTTTCTTTGGCTGACGTTCTATGATTCATTATTTTCTTCTCCATGTCAATTTCTAGGTTTTGAAAAGTTTTTCCCAAAGAGCGAGGAGGGCACTGCCGGGGGAGGTGGAGGTGAGTAAAGTGTGCCGTTTGGAGGAGCAGCACTTAGAATCGTACGTTGTTTCTGATCTGTGGTCGATTGCTGCTGTTCAGAGGAAGACGCCAAAGGGCCAAACTCGCTTGGAGTGGAAAGGGAGGACTTTAATGAAGACAGCGACCAAAGACGAGGAGGGGGGAAAAAAGAGGGTCACCGGTGGTGGTGGACACGCTTCAAGGTTCATTCTCAAAAACTCCACTGCACAACTGACAGATTTACTGGTCATCTATTTGGATTTTTTAAACTTTTAAACACGTTTATGTCCGGCAGGAGGAATTTCCGTTGGGTGAAGTGAGGGTTCGGAACCTGGCGGTGGGGGCTGCAGGCATGGCCACGGCTTTTCTCTACTTTCAGCTCCGAGAAACCGGAGTTCAGATCTCCTGGAGGGATTTCGTGCACCACTTCTTGAGCAGGGGCTTGGTGAGGGGCAGAGGCGGTCGGCCTCCTGAAATTGCCTTCGTATTTATTTTCCCTCCTTTTACGAGAGCAAGTTTAACCCCCGTGCTCTCTTCACAGGTGGGCCACGTGGAGGTTGTCAACAAGCAGTATGTCAAAGTGTTTCCCGCCTACGGCGTGAACTCATCCAAAGTGGTTAGTTCCCTCAAAAGGGCTGCTGTCAAACTGTAAAGCTGCTGAGTTTTCTGAATGAAGCTCAGGCTAAGGATGTCCCACTGGTTTTGTGTTTCAGAACTATTTGTGGTTTAACATTGGCAGTGTGGACTCCTTTGAGCACAACTTGGAGATGGCTCAGCAGGAACTGGGCCTGGCCTCCTCACACAGAGTACGGGTGCTCTACAGTAGTGAAAGTGACTGGTGAGAGGTGGAGCCGGACGTTAAAGGCGTGGCGCATTTTGCTCTCGTGAGGTCCCGGTCTAATTGAAGCCCTCTGCCCCATTAACAGGTCGGTCCTTCCAACCGTTCTTCCCACCTTGCTGCTGGTTGGATTCCTTCTCTTTGCCAGCCGGCAGGGGCCGGTGGCAGGAGCGCGGGGCGGAATGGGGAAAGGAAACCCGCTCAGCATGACTGCATCCAAAGCCAAGATAATCAAAGGCGACGTCGGCGTTCGCTTTAGGGATGTCGCAGGCTGTGATGAGGCCAAACTAGAGATTATGGAGATTGTCAACTTCCTTAAGAATCCGCAACAATATTACGACCTTGGAGCCAAAATCCCAAAGGTTTGTGTTTTATCTCCTACACTTTTACAGTGGAGATGTGTTGCCATTTTATTCTGTTGAAAGTTTTATAAACGTTTTTTCCGAAGTGTTTGAAAGTCAGGAGTGTCCCCTTATGTCCTCAGGGTGCTTTGTTATCAGGTCCACCTGGAACTGGGAAGACTCTGCTGGCTAAGGCCACGGCAGGAGAGGCCAGCGTTCCATTCATCACCGTCAGCGGCTCCGAGTTCCAGGAAGTGTTTGTTGGTGTGGGTCCTGCAAGGGTCAGTACTGACTGAACCGAGCGATCTAACTCCCAGAGGATGCAGAAGCTCAAGCGGTGGATTACAGACAGTTTCTGCTTCCTCTCGGCTTAATTTCCGTCTCTCTTTGTTTTTTTTTAATAGATAAGGGATGTGTTTGCTGTGGCTCGCAAAATTGCCCCTTGCATCCTGTTCATCGATGAGATCGACGCGGTCGGCAGGAAAAGGGACGGCGGGAACTTTGGCAGCCCGAGCGAGCAAGAGAATACCCTGAACCAGTTGCTCGTGGAAATGGATGGTGGGCATTATTGTTCTTTTAGCGTTCCCTTCCATGCGAAATGGATTTTCGAGCCGCTTGCTTATGAAGTGTTTCTGTTTGTGCAGGGTTCAGTAGCAGCTCTAACATCATCGTGTTGGCTGGCACCAATCGAGCTGACATCCTGGATCCGGCTTTGATGAGGCCCGGCCGCTTCGATCGACACATAAGCATAGGTGAAGTATAGAAGCACCGGTCTGAAACCTGCATGAATGTGTGAGAACGGCCGACCTCGCTCTGTAAATGGTGACGCTGAGTGCCGTCATCACATGCAGTCCCCTGGTCTAATGTGCACATGGACCTGGACATAACTTTGTTAGATCAACCTGCTTCTGATAAAGTGCTAACCATGACATGTTCTGGCTTAAGAAAAGGACCTTCAACTCAATTAAGCCTGCATCTCTTCTTCTCCTGGCTGCTCAGCTGTTATGAAGTTAAAAGCACTCATTGCATTATGCGTGCTTTCATCTTTTGTTGAAGTGGTCAGTTTTCCTGCCTGTTAAGATCTAATTAGCTGGGCGGCAGCGGTGTGGGGTGGGTGGGTGGACGGCGTAGGGTCATCATGAGCGGGCTGGTTGTCTGTAAGGGGAGGATTAGATAACTGGAGGCCAACACAAGGGTGTGAAACCCGTAGTCTCTCTGTTTTCTTTACTCTAATCTTGGATGTCTTTTGTAGACATTCGGGTGCAGATGGAGTTGCTTCACAGAGTGTCATTACTTGTTTATTTGAAGTGTTAGCAAAGTGAGCCTGTGTAAATAGCACGCTTTGATTCTCAGGATCACAAATACAATGGATGTTCTGTATTTTTTAATGCCACATTTAGATTATATCTTCTTAAGACACTGTCTGTAAATGTCACTAACCTCCTGAGTGAGTAGATTCAGCTATTTCAAACAGAGATGAACTTCTTCGTCACTTACTGAAATTCTGTCGCTTAATATTTTGCTTGTTATACAGCCTGTTATATAAACCGGGCAGTTTCATCCTGAATGCTGTGGATTATATGAGGCCTAATAGTCATAGCAGGCTGTTGTTCGTCTTTTCCACAGGCCCACCGGATATGAAAGGGAGGGCGTCTATCTTTAAAGTGCATCTGAGACCTTTGAAGTTGGATCCCAGCATAGACGTGGAGACTTTGTCCAGGAAGTTAGCTGCACTAACCCCGGGTTTTACTGGTAAGAAAAGACGGTTCCCGTATCCACAGGCACACCATTTGGAGTCCCTCAGAATTCTGTTTGTGTTGCTGATGCTATTTCAGCACCCTTGTTCCCTAAACAGGTGTGCTTTTTATCAGGGAAAGCTCAGATTGACATAATCTCCAAGTAATTGGATCTGTTTGTCATATCACCTTCTTTTTTGATATTCTAAGACATTCTATCACATCTAACTAATGTGTGATCTCTGCTTGTGTCTTTCAGGGGCCGGAATAGCTAGTGTTTGTAATGAAGCTGCCCTGATAGCTGCACGTCACTTAAACCAGTGTGTCCTTACGAGTCACTTTGAGGAGGCAGCTGACAGAGTCACCGGAGGTAAGGTAATGTGTATTAACTTCAGTAGAATCTACCCACCTAAGTATTTGTTTGCTTTAATCTATTCCAACTAATCTATTTATGTTGTTAATCCTCAAGTCTGGATGTCTTTTAACCATTTTTGTCAGTGATTACTAGGATTATTGCGACTCAAAGGGATCGTGCTTTACTACGTGTCACATATTTGTCCTTTTACTGATTCTGGTAGAAAGCCAGCGTATTTGGGTAACATATCCTGTTTGCTTTCAGGTCTGGAGAAAAAGACTCAGGTGCTTCAGCTTCCAGAGAAGACGACAGTGGCCTACCATGAGGCCGGACACGCCGTCGCTGGCTGGTTCCTGGAGCACGCCGATCCACTGCTGAGGGTATCGGCTCCACATCAGACCTGTTCTCTCCTCTAATCACTTCCACTTCATTACTGCCTGTAATCAAATGCGCTCCTGATAAACCAGCTGATTAGAGTGTGCTCCACCAGGTGTCCATTGTTCCCCGGGGGAAAGGTTTGGGCTACGCACAGAGTCTACCTAAAGAGCAGCACCTGTTCACTCAGGACCAGCTGTTTGACAGGATGTGCATGATGTTGGGTGGCCGGGTGGCTGAGCAGGTCTTCTTTCATCAAATCACCACTGGAGCTCGAGACGACCTCAGAAAAGTCACACAGTCAGCATATGCGCAGGTAACTGTCCCACTTTAGAAGAGGCTAAAGGTTTTGCTTTTCCTGTATTAACAAACCAGATTTCCCCCTAAAATTAAAGCACAAAACCATTTTGAGCATCAGATGAATAACAACATAAGGAAATGCTTAATATTTTCTGATACAATTCTCTGGATTCCTCTTGGGCTGATCATTTCTGTCTTGTATTTATAGGTTGTGCAGTTTGGAATGAATGAGGCAGTGGGCCAAGTTTCTTTTGAGCTCCCTCAGCAGGGAAACACAGTAACTGAGAAGCCTTACAGTGAATCTGTTTCCCGACTTATAGACCAGGAGGTGCGCCTGCTCATAGAAGCCGCCTTCCAGCGAACGCACCGGCTCATTGTGGCAAAGAAAGAAATGGTGGAAAAGGTTTGAGCTGATTTTGGTTGCCTCAGATAGTGGTTATGAGAACGGAGTGAGTCAGCTCATGTCTGCATTGCTTTAACACAACCATCAGGAGGATGTTCATGTTAAGTTGAAGCAGTAATATGACAAAAAGTCATTGGGGATACTTTGTATCCTACCAGTCCACTTCCCTTTAAGTATTTTGGAAGTCTGCCGACTTCAGCATAATATTAAATGGACAGTTTTAGTTGGCTAACAAGTATTTGTGTGTAATTCAGTTATTTTTTTCCTTGCAGGTTGCAAAGCGTCTCCTAGATAAAGAGAAGCTCGACAGGGCTGACATGATGGAGCTCCTAGGACCTCGTCCCTTTTGTGGGAAATGCTCGTACGAGGAGTTTGTGGAAGAGTCGAAGGATATTGAAGAGGGCACCTCACTACCCAAAGGACTAAAGAACTGGAACCAAAACAAAGTTGATGAAAAAAGACAATGAGGGAATAAGTTACTCAGGTTTCTGACTGAATGACTGAAATTATCCAATGTGCATTTTTACTGTTTTTTTTATGTGAAAGTAGCCAATATGTAGCAGATGGTAACTTCTTCACCCTCCCATCCACGTTCCCATGCAGTATTTAAGCTCAAAGAGACATTGGACAGAAGATTGTAGATATTTAGCTCTATACACTTCAAGTGTTTGTTTTATATTTTGTACCTGTTCCAGCAGTAAGCATTGTGTGTATATATTTGGGGTTCTCTTCGGGTAAAAAAAAGATTCACTCAGAGAAATAATCTGCCAATAAGTTTATGAAATAAAGAGATCTGTGAGCTTTTTAAATGCCTTTAGTTTAGGTTCAGAGCTCCGCTACGACACCTAGGGTGTCTGGTCTTCCATCCTGAGCTGATGGAAGCAGCAGGGATATGAAACATGGCCCACATATTTTTATCAAACCACACTGAACAGGGTGAGATCTTTTTAAATATTTCAGTCCGACAGTGGCTCATTTGAATCAACCTAATAATCATAATGAACTGCCAATCAGAGGTGGTTGTTTCAATGCAAATGTTTGAAATGTTCATATTGGATGTCATTTATTTTAATAGATCTGAAGAAAGCTTAGGCTTTTGTGGCCTATTAAACATTTTTTCAGTTCAATTTTTCCACTTCGTCTCTGTTTTCTTCCAGTTAGATTACTCCCTGGTGCCCCGATGCACTTCAGAAATGCCAGACTTGTGTTTTCATTCACAGCTTTTCAGAACATTTCATTTCAGCCTTAACATCTGCGAGACCTTCCCAATCCAATTACATTTATTTCACTTTGATTGCACAGTTAAAAATGTTCTGCATCAGTAGTCCTGGAGGCCTGATATTGGGCAACTACTCTTCTGACACCAGATGAACCATTTATCTTTACATTCTACATTAAGAAGTGTTTGCTGTCTGTACAATTTGATAAAGAACATTTACAAATGATACGTGCACTGCATTTAAGTTTTATAGTTTTCAAGAGCACTCATATGTTTGAAGAAATTCTCGCTCAAAGACAGCTTGACATGAAAGATCACATCACCAACCTATTATGACACCACAAATCACACAACGAGCCATATTTATTTATTTTTTTATTCAATGTTCAACCATCCCAGTGTTACTTTTTACTCATCTGTCACAGCATTCAGAATTATTGGCACTAGTGGTCTAGTGAGAAGCTTAATATGTGACAAATAAATCAAGTAAACAGCTCTTCCTTTGCTGATAAAGATACGAAATACTGCATCAAAAGTTAACTCACCATAACAAAACTTTTGGCACTTGCTCGTGTTTTTGGCATCCACACAAATCCGTCTGACCATGACGGGATTTAACTCTCCCTTCAAGATATGTCTGGAGGGATTTTAACCTCAGACCTTTGGATCAGGTTGATTGCTCTCATCGCAGCATCTGCAGCCGCTGTTTTATATATAATAATAAGAAAAGTTGGAAAGAAAGAAGACAATTTGAGGAAAGAGTTTCAGAATAGGACATAGTATTGCATTTAGCTGCTACTTGGTTTGTTTATCATGTTCAGTCATCTGCACCAAATGCCAATAATTCTTTGGGGGGGCGGGGCTGCTGGAAGTACAATTTTAGAGAAAGAAGTGCAACATTTTCATGGAGTTCTTTTAAAATACGGCACGCGTTCATTGTTAGGATGAAGGAGGTGTGATGGACAGCAGAGGCTAACTAAAACCCACAACATAAACCCTGTTTACCAGTCACACGGTAAGTCCTACAAAGCATTCAGATATTCTAGGTTGGCCATTTTTTGTTAATTTCCGCTTCACCTCATGTCCTGGCAATTCAGGGTGATTCGTGTTTTCTGTGCCCCACAGGGAACGGTCTAGCATTGCGCTGCCGACATGATGTATGGTGCTGTTCCCCCTGTGCCCACCCTGTGGGGCTGTGAGGGGGAAGGTGTGGTTACTCTGTTGACCTCATACCCTGTCTGTTATCCATAAAACAAAGCATGGAGTGCATTAAGAACCCTTTTTAGGTAAAAGACAATGATTGCATTGGGTTCGCTCGTTGTATGTGTGAGAAATAGAAGATGGGGAGAGGGGGTGAGTATTGCACATCTCGAGGACCTTAGAGCATGGAGCACAGCGTCCAGAGTTCAGCTGGACCTTGCCAGCACCTGGGAGCTTTTTGTGAGAGCGCGGCGGCAGATGGAGGCCTCCCGGTCCGCTGTGTGTCCCCACTCTGGCTGTGTGTCCGGCCCCCGCTTTGTTCTCTGGTCCGGCTGTTTCACGCGAGACATCACGGCTGCTTTGGCCTCTCCAGCTTCATTAAAGGCTCTGCGGTGTCTGAGTCACTGTGGTGCTTTCTTTCTCTGGGGGGCTCGACTCTGCTGCAGCGCGTCCACGAGGGCGAGCGCATGTACCCGGCCCGAGGCAGTGCATGATGGTGGGATCCTGAGGACCAAACGCACAGTGACTACTCGTACAATGAATAATGTAAAAAACGGAGATATCAGATTTATAATTTTGTAAAGTAAACATATGGAATTAGACCCTGCGATGGCAAACCAAAACAATATCACAATAATATGTATCCCACATTTCTAAAAAACCTTTTTTAACCACCACAAGATTTTTAGCTAACTGCTGGAATCTGCTGGACTATAATAGGAAGGATGTCAACCAGCTGAGCAGAAGGAAAGACTCTTGGCGTCATGTGCCACGAACGCCTGCCGAAGTGTTTATGTGGCCGCATAAATGTCTGTCTGGAGTGGAAACTATATTTATAGAACTGTGTGCCTTTACAGTTTTGCGTTTCTGGTGTGCGTTTTTTGGATCACAACACTCATCTAAAATGAAAAGACAAACTGGAACAAGCACTACTACCAGGTATGTATCTCCCCACATCATGAACAAATGTAGTTTATTAATGTCACATGACGTAATGTAAGTTGGTTTTTCAAGTTTCTCCGACTTTTAAGGCACAGGGTAAATACCCGACACAAAACCCGTCTTCACATTGGACCACTATGGCTTAAAGAAGAGAGGTTTTTCTTAAGTAGGAAGGCTGCGGGCAGAACACCGGATTCCAGAGACAACATGTCAAAGCCAGGATAATAAAGTCCCTCACTGCTCCGTTTAAAGGTCTCTGCTGACTGAATAAATGTAAGTATGTCCACGAGCAAATGTAGTTACATATTTCAGTTATTTACAAAGAGAAAACATTTGTCTGATTTGTGCACTCTAATTTGAGAACAATCACCACCATAGTGTGTAAAATACTTACCAAAGATTATGATCACTAAAGTCATTACAAGCCTGAAACAGTCCTAAAGGCGGCAAGCTCAGCTGGAACCTGACCTTTTACATTCAATAAAGCTTTCATGGACGGACTTCTGCTCCCAGAGGATGACCACCACTATATAGAACAACAAAGAGAGCAGCTTCTGCTGCAGTCTTTGTGCGATAAAACTTTACTGTGTGCTGAAATTCTGGCGACATCTCGTAAGGTTTGGGTCCTAGGTACTAGAAAAGAAACCTTCTACATCATCAATCAGGATGCAGTTTTCTTCTCGCTGTGTGGGATTTCTATTGCCAAAGACGGGACTGTTTCATTATGTAGTCAACCAAAAGTAAACAAAGGATTCCACCTAAACAACCTAACGCACAGAGTTCAGTTTGTGTAGAGCTGCTCCAGAAATAAGAACCTGAAGAATCTGCTCGTTGAGCAATGACTTGTAGCTGCTGAAAATATTGTCTAATTATCCGCCCCTCTAATAACACTTATGTTACATCGAACTACAGACATAAATGGTTCATTCCCTAAAGTGTATGAGACCATAGAAGTAAATGAAAAATATGGTAGCATAGGAAGAACCAAACAGGACACAGGCATATGTAAGGAAGAGGCTTTCCATGCATTATAATAAGTGTTTAAATGGCTTTTGAAGGAACAGGCCTTGTTTCCAGAAGGAGAAAATCAATTATTTAAAAGCCTGCATTTAGCTTGAACTCAGTCACCCATCTTCTGCCCCCCCCCTTAACCGTTGTCTCAACCCCTTTGAGCACTCAGCGTTTCAGATGCAGCCTTTTGCTCACACCATGCAGTTCGATGCCACCAGACCCACCTGAACAGTGCAAAGTGAAACCCAAAATCATTCAATTCACTCCCCATCTGGAGACATCAAATAGCCTCAGTGGAATCCCCTTTTTCCCCATTTCATTACGCAGACAGGGATAAGTCTGCATAGTTAGTTATATAAAGGTTACTCTGTCAGGTGAAATATCATCATGCCTTTCATGCAACAAAGTCATTACGACAAAGAAAAAAACCCTCACACAGCACATCCTTCTTTATGTAAATTTTTTCCTGAAGCCAAACAATCACATATTTTTATATAAGTCAATAACTTTGCACAAACTCTGCATGCAGTTTCAATGCTAAATTGATTCTAAATCATTATTCCTCGCTAAAAATGAAAAAATGTATAAAGCAGACACAGCTTTAGAATAAAAATAAAAGAATATTACCAACAAAATAGAAGAGGAGAAGAAACACAATGTATTTATGTTGTGTGTGACTTTAGGAATAGTTCACATTAATACACTGCACAGAAATGACACAGTTTTTGTCAAAAGGTTAAAAAGTTCCTCCTTCGCTCTCAGATGGCTGTGCTATTTTTAGTCAGAGTAAAAATATAGAAGTGAATTACAAACGCTCGCCTCGGTGAGGCTGTGTCGGATGAAAATGAACAAACCAGTCCCTGAATAATTACAGCACAAACACATTGCTCTTGTTGTTTTGTGGCTGTTGTCTTTTTTTCCTTATTCATGGCTTAAAGTTGATCAATGGCTCATTCCAGGCCACTAAAGAAAAGCATCTTAAAAGGTTTACCTGTGATTCACTAGTGGCAGGAAGGACAGCCGGAGAAGATGGATGGCTTGTGTTTTGTTTTGCTTGGATTGGCTGATGTCTTGAATTTAAAAATTAGAACATCTTTGGCATTTGAATGAATTAATTCTAAGTTTTATGGAACCCTCATAATAATAAATAACAAAACACTACGAATCATGATAACACTTGCACTAAAATACTATTAATGTAAAGATAAGAGTTTTATTTGACCGTTCTTTTTATCTTTGAGATGATAGTGCTGCAAAGTCACACACAGTTCTTCCACATCATGACAGATCTGTAATGATATTGCATCAGGGAGCAGAAGTTGCTGATATGACCCTGCAGATAAAGAATTATCTCCTTTCTCTACAGTTCTGTGGAGCACAATTAAGTTTAATGGTGAATTTCGGCTCATTGTTTGTGCTCACTGAGCAGCCAGCAGCTGGCTTTTGTTCCCTTTTTCACACAGCCATGGAATCAACTAGTTTCTGTTGGCTGTGATGAAGCTAACTGTGCAGAGGCAGCAGACAGAGACAAAGCAGCACCCATGTGGTCAACGTAATGGAGCATTTAACGGATGCACGACCAGGCAGTCCGGAGAGGAGTTGTTGGAGGGTCAACATTCAACAGGAAAATACGGCCAGTGAAAATGCCGTCAAAAACTGCTGCGTGTGCAATTAATGTGATATGTCAGTTTCACATTCTCAGAGTATCTCTGCTGAGATCTAAAGTTAACCTAAAAGACACATTTAAGTTCATCTGTTTGTACCAATCCAGCGTAACTCTTTGTATAAACCCCATCATTTTACACATATTCTCATACTCCCATCAAATTTGTGATGATTAAATATTTTTCATGAAGTCACCAAATGTCTCACTTTCAAAATTAAAATGTCCTCATGTAAATAAAATGCAAGCAGCATTCCGTATTTGTAATTACTAGTTTATACAGCTCCCCATCCTTTTTTGAATGTGGTTGAACAAAGACCACAAGCAGTGTCTTGTGGCACTGCAGGCAGCAGCGTACAACACAGATGGCACAATAACTCCTGAACAAACACTTAATAAGCTGTTCCACAGTTTGATTAATTGGACCTAAACAGAGGAAACGGAGAGAATCCTGCTGCTGAAGAGGGAATTGTATGCAGAAGGATAATAAGGAGAACTTCATCTCGTAAAGGTTTGAGGGTGACCGTGAGAATAAGACTTTAAATCTGTTCACACATGATCTGTCTGGTGGGATTTAGTACATTTTATCAGCAAATATAAATAATTCAGAGTACTAATCCCTGCATAGGTGTCCTCCGCCTTCTCTTGCTCTCTGTCAGTAAAACTGTAGTTGTTTTTTCCCTTGGTGATAGCAACATTACAACAATGTTTGCCGTGTTTGCAGAGGATACAGCATCATCCTGCATCGTATGCTTCCTCATACTGCTTAAACCTCGGAAACGTTTAATACATCCCAACTTAGTCTAAGTTATTTTCTTTCCAGTCATTTATATGCGTAAAATCCATTTACTGCACTCCAATAATTAGTCATACATCATCATTTATTCATATTATTGTCATCCTGTAATTTCCACTCAGCATGTTAAAAGGTTTTTCTCTTTATTATCTGTTCAATGATTTAACTACGGTATAGTACTGTCTTCAGATATTTACACTATTTCACCTAATTGTTCATTTATACATGGAGCTTTTAGTCACATGGCGTCTCAGCTCGTTACAGCACAGCAGGCCTTTTGAAGACCCTGCTGGGCAGTAATGATATGAAACTGCATAAGACACATAAACGTGGACACGCGCCTGTTATTTGGCTTCTGTCGGATGGCTCATTCCCACATTATGGCTGCACAGAGGGCACGCATAGAAACAGCCCGCTTCTCTCCTTATTGTGGTGAAAAATGCTGTGTCCTGTTTACGACTTATATTGTTAAACTTCCTGGATTCTTCAATCTTAGTTTTTTCTCTGTCATCTTTCAGAAAATCCTTCATATGTATTAGCACTAAAAGATAATATTCTCTATTCAGAATCCTTCTCATTAACTGCAGTGTGTACGCTTCGTTTTGGAAGGCCTTACCTGCCGGGGACTCGTGGTTTTCGTCGTCTGAGTCGGCAAAGACTTCAGCCAGTTCTTGATCAGACATATCAGTCAGCTCAGTCAGATCCAGCAGGTCAAAGTGCACCTCTAAAGAAGACACGCTGCTCAGAGGCTCTGTGAGACATGACAGAGAGGAAACGGTGTGGAGGGAGGTCCTTTATGGCTGTCAGTGCAAAAGAAAATTATTTTTAAAAGATGCAAGGGAATGAGAGGCAGATATTTTTAACGTCCGATAAAAGCGGCTCCTCAGTCTCTTTTGTGATTAGACCAATGGATGTTTCTTTTAGCATCATCATCATCATTTATCAACTGTATTTCTGGTCAGGCCCACTTAAGACATTCCCACCGGCTGTACATTTCTTGAATCAACCTCTGTGCCCATGTCTTTTCAGCATCTCGGCGAGGCGCCTGCGTGTAGCTGAAGAATTGAAATGAGAGCTTGGCGGAGATAAAAATAGCCGCTTCTTTAACATGGGGCAATCTAAATTTTCTCCTGTGTGTGTTGCACCTGTTTGTTCGGATTTTTCAGCGGGCAGGACTGTGTACTGCTGCACACAGCAGGGTCACACGCATACTCAGCTGTGCTTGACTCAGCTATCCAACCAAGCAGCCTCACAGGATGCCACACCTGAAATTTTAATTCAGCTAAAGTAAAAACTACTCAAAGACTCCTAAATCACGCACCTATTGTAAATAAAGCGTATAAGGGTATTTGTCTGTCTCAGTATGACCAAAACGAATGTCATTGGAGTTCGACTTAGCTGTTACTGTAAAGGGAGAAGTCCCTAAAGCGTGTGTGTGCTCACATTTGCCCAGACATCAGTCCATACCCTGCACACCCAAGACTGAGGGAAGCGCGTCACTTGATGTTCACGGGTGAGAATTTGTGGAGAAAACGATGGGCTGCATGACGAGCTGAAAGCTGTTATTAGCTTTAGCTGTCCCCATGCTGTTTTCCAGGGCCGCTTCAAAACGAGGAGGCAGAGCCCACTCTCCTGCTGCTCTTTGTCTGCCGCGCCTCATTCCCTCCATCCTCCCAACGAACAGACCGCGTATTGATTTATACGCCACTGCCGGGGCTGTGACTCGTCAATGTGCCATGTGTCAAATATATTAAGAACATCATCAAGTGCTGGGAGACACAAGGGATGAAAACACAGAGGCGGTGACCACTGGAGAATACTAATGAGGGAATGTGACACACCCATGCTTAAGACAATTCAATAAGAGGTCTGGTGTAAAAATTATGTAGCAGGATGCAGCCATAGGTGAAAAACCTCACTCAAACCTCACTCTGGCTTGAAGATGCTTGGCTATGGTTAAGAGACTTTCTGACAGCATTTTTGGGAGATAAGAGGAGTCTGAAGGCAACAACGCATGGGGAGAACTGTGGGGGAGGAACTGAAGGGAAAAGCAGGAGAGGCGGAATGATGAAAGAGGCAGAACTGAAGCTACACATGAGCATATGAATGTAAGACAACAAAAAGTAACAGAGGAGAAATTAAGCAGAAAAACAAAACAAAGGACTGCTTGAAACTATATTCTCTCACCTCCAATTCACGCTCATTAATTTGTATTGATCCCAACATAATTCCTATTCGGACACGCTTTATTTTTTAACCACATCTCCATCTTTTCCTTTGCCTCTTCTGTACCCTGGCCTCTTGAATTATTGATTGCTATGTTTCCAATCTGACGCGGAGACGCTGAAACAACTGCCTCCATCTCTAAAAGGGGGATCTCTGAGACATCAGTGGGAAGGACTGAAATCAGATAATTAATGCTGAGACAACACCCCAACAAAAAGAGAGAAAGAAGAAAAATCCAATTGTGTGCCGGGAGCTAACGTAAATTAAAACGGCCTCCTCTGTTGTCCCACACTTTCCCTTCTCTACACGCAAAAAGATACAAGACTGATTCAGTGGAAAGAACAAAGGATGGGGAGGATGGTTAAGGCGAGGGGTTCACATTTGGGGGGAAGATATAAAGAGAGTGGAGAGGATGTGCAGCGCATGTTCAATGGAGGCAATCCCCTTCTATCTCTGACATGCCTGAGGCCAGCGGTCCAGCCTGAGCAGACGGTGATGATGGCTGGTCTCTGATGGTGTCAATGCAAATGAAGGAAGGCTTTTTCCATCTTTTTTTTCCCTGCATCGTATTGTAAATGTATTTTGAATGGCTGACTGACACACTTTAAGGATAGAGAACATAAAAAGTTTGGTTTTGGATTTGAAATGAGGTTTACTGGTCTCATATCACAGGTTTTGATTAACATATTTGTCTTTATGAGTCACACTTTCTGCTGCGAAAGAATTTTGCACAAGCAGTCACAGACGGTTCTCTTTCCACCAGAGCATAATTCTGAAGCAGATCCTGGTTATTGCTGCGATCTTGCTCTATCTGTCTCTCTGATTTTTAAGATATTTTACATACATTTCTTTTAAGGTATGCTGTTTTCACTGGGTCTAAAAATAAAGCTGCTGACGACTCAGGAGCAATATTTGTCCCCCTTTTAGGAAATTAAACAGCAGAACTGAAAGATCATCTGTGCTTGTATCAGTCTGGATACAGCTGCTATGGGACAAATCCCTAAAGATATACAAATGGACAAAGGGGCTAATGATCTCTTTTTCACATTCATTTGCAAACACTTTGGATATAATTAGATTCTTAATGTACTTTCTTTTTGCCAGTCTTAGCCTTCCTCTGTTCCTTCACCTCTCTTGTCGCAGACCATTAACTGACCTGGCTGTAAGATACGAAAGTTAGTGGGTTGCATTAAATGGTAGTGACGTGGACTTTAGTCGCTGGATGTAGATGTAACCCTGAAAAAGTGTTTAGTTAGTGAAGCAGATAAAGGTGGCCTTGTCACTCATGTAGCCTCAATTTGGGTCCCTGTGCTTCAGAGGCATGGGAGTTTGGCACATACAGGGAAGCCTCTGTACGGACTGACACACAATGAGCCCTTTCAGTTGTAGCTCTGCTGCATGGAGGATGTAGAGCAGAATACCTAAAACAGGCAATGGTCATTTGGTGAATTTAAGACCTGAACATGTATTTGGACTGTATAATATGAAAGATGGCTAATAAATTGCTGTAATAGATTATGCATTAACTGATTAGACTAAAATGAATATAGAATTAGTTTCCACTTACTAAATACTTACTGTTCAATAAAACAAAACGCCCTTTGTGAAAAACTACTGCTACTGATCGGATAGACACATTTTAAAACAAATTCCCTCCATTTCAAAGTCTGGACCACTGTTTACTAACCGGTGAAAGTATAAGTCTGTAATTTGCTTGTACTCCTTCCTTGGTACTTACGTCTTTTCTCACTGATGTGCAGCAGGCTAGCAGTGTGTCCCGACAGACTGCCCTCTTCCTCCCCTGATGGGTGTTGGAACAGCTCTTTAGATAGGTCGCCTGAGCTGGGCGGCTTCAGCAGCTTCTGGATATCTTTGTTGGGCTCTATCCTCATGAAGGCCCAGAAACAGAGTGAATAAACACACACAAAAAAGTAATAGGATTGGTCATAGATATTTGACGACATTACATTCCGAATGGCATTATTCCAGGAGGTATCACAGCAAACTGAGGGAAATTGTGGGAAGAAAGCATTTAAAGTGTTAATCTGATTGTCTTGTATTGTATATAGTGTTAGTGATTGATTGTATGCTCTTCCAATTCATAACCCACCATACCACTGATTCCCTGGTAAAGAACCTAAATACTCATTTAGTTCCTTGACAGCTTATTGAGTGGAAAGGTTTTAGGTCTTAACTTAGTATGAACATGTGTGTATCAAATTACAAAGTGCAAAGTGACCACAGTTCCTTTGAAAAGCAAATCTAAGTTTTGGGGCTGTAAGAATTAATATGACAAGTTAATTAATATGACAGTTAAAAAATATCTGAAGACTCTATTCTTCTCATACGGGCATTAACAAAAGTCTGAAAATAGAAAGTGCCTAAAATAGCATGTTTTTACATTTGGAATGACACACAAACTCTGGGTAAAGTCTGATCAAGGTTACAAACACCTAAAAGCATGGGAACTACACAAGGTAAGAGGAGATGTGCAGGAGTGCTACACAATCAATCGGAAGAAGACAGAGTGCTGCCACTTAAGAAAGCTCCACTACAGTATCAAAGGTGGACCAACCACCAACCATATAAACCCAGATCACATACATATCTACAAAAAATGATGGCAGCAGCCATGTATAACATGCATACTCTGTGAAAAAGAGTGTGGGAGTACGGCAGGTTTGTGGTGGGCTTTGCCAGATGGCTAAAAACATTTTTAATGGCAGAATGTTCCTTGTGTTATGGTGACGCAAAAGGCCATCCAGGATCGACTCTGATTTCACTCGGTGAAGCACAGTGGCTGCTACTAGTCATCGATTATTTCTTTTCTCCATTGAGAAGCCCCACAACCTGAAAGACTATAGCTTTAGCTCTGCTGTGTATAATGAAATGTTTGTTCAATATTTAGACCAACAGCATTGGTTTCCATTTTCACCACCATATTCAGAAATGTGATTTCATGCATCAATTCAGCCATCAGTTATCTATACACTTTTATAATTGTTATAAGGAAAAGCACTTGTAAATAGCAGCAATAGCTATTGTGTTATTTATTAAAATACGCCACACTCACATTTTGAGTGTGTTCATGAACGCTCATGTGTGATAGGCAAAAAGAGCTTTCCAGAAAGTCACGGCATCATTCATGTGTGATAGAGGACAAGTTTACACAGATGGCCTGGTCGTGCCACCACCTGCTGATGTGTCTAGGAAAAAGGCTAGAGTGACAAGTGACAGCAAGTTACTCATGATTTCAAAGAAAAACACAGCTGGCTCTCATGTATTTGTCCTCTTCAGGATCCGTCTGACCCTGTCTCCTCAGTGTGCTGTGGCCGTCTGGGAACAGGCTAACTCTCGGCAGATGGAGGGAAAAGCACAAATATGCCTATCATGTTGTATACTGTCATTATTGCCAAGAGTATAAATGAATTTAATTTATTGGATTAATAAATCAATTGCTGTTTAAAACTGTGACACAAAAAAAACTCACTAAACCTTTGCCTTTCACTAGTTGACAGTGTTGACTATTCATGTTCTGTGTGTGCTGTATCCTGCATGTGCTTTATGTGGTTACAGTATACCATGATGACTCGTTTACTCGGTTATATTTAAATCCTGCCTCAGGGTGCATTGTTTCATAATGTCAGTGCAAGGACATTTATCTGCTCTTCATTACCTCACTAATGGGGTGCCCCAAGGCCAAGTGCTGGGACACTCTGGCTATGCAAAACAAACCACCTCCTCAGGCGTGGTCATCTGTCTGTTTGTTCTCTTAACACTGTTATGCTGTCAATACTAACCTGTACATATGGATTTCACTTTACTAATTCTGAAATTGAAATTTAGGATTTCGATTTGGCATTTATGCTACCAGGCAAATCAATTTTTGCTCAACAAATAGACATTTCCTTGATGTGGCACTGAACACAGAATGAGGCATATAAAGAAAAACAATTAACACAATTTATTTGAATGTCAATCAAAGCATTGTTCGGAATCATTTTTAATTTTTCGATATTTGTACAAGACATATAGGAACATCTGATTTACCTAAGTTGACATTTATGCCACAATCCAATTTGACATGTAGAAGTCAGAGAGAATGACCTAGTTCGGACTGCATCACAATAATGATGTATACTCTAATTCAATCCCATCGTAATAACAAGGCATTCCACCAATTTTTCATTGGCAGCTCATTCTGACTGCCAGTGTACAGAGAATAAGTAGGGTATGTAAAGTCAAACGGAAGACGGCCATGGAAGGAAAATTCAGCACCCCATTAAAAAAGAGCCATCTGCTGAAATTGCAAATTTTAGAGGCTTCAGGGACTGTGTTTGACTCCAACGTATCACAGAGTGATAGTGGCTGAATGTTCAGTCCCTGAGGTGGCTGAAGTGCTTTGCACCGCTTTACACACAACTGCATGCACATTTTTTTAATTTGCCACATACTATCTTTAATCAGCTTTCATGGCTTTGACTTTTGAGGCTGGCATAATACTGCCTTACTCAACATTTTCACAAAGTTGTAAAATCATGATACAATGAAATGGTGCAATGGGGGCCACATTACTGCTCTACAATTTATATCATGTATGTTAAAAGATGGAATATTATAGTCCAGCCCTTAGGTAGACCCCAAAGAGCGCAGCCAAACACAGCTATTGAGCAGCACACATCAATTCTAAATGTAAAAAATAATCTTTGTACTGTAATATTGCTGTTTAACCCAAAATACAGCAGTTAAACTCTCTGATGCAGATAAGTTACTCACTCCTTTGAACAATTTTCAAGATTATGAGCCATCAATAAGACAACACCAGACACAAACTGTCTGAATATGTGAAGAAATGCACAGTTTAGTTGCGGCACAAGCCTCCCTGAACTGGACAAGACACTCAGCAACAGCTCAGTAATCAAAAGCTGTGACAGTAGGGGAAAGAAAGGGGAGAAAATGGCTCTTACCTGGGCTCCCTGCCCCTCCCTGTGCCTCCATGCAGCTCAGCCAAGAGTGTCCTGTTGTTCACCACACCGGCATCGGCAGACAAATGGGGAGGAAACGCAAAAGGGAGCGTACGCAAGTCAGTGCGCATCGGAGGGGAGTGAGAGGGGTGGAGGAGGTGGGTGGACACCGCCAAACCTCAAACCTCAGTCCTGATTTGACACAATATCTTCTTCCTTTTTATTCCCCCCCTCTTTCTTTTCGTCAGCTGTTGTTCTGAATGTCCCAAACAGGTGATGTGGGTTTTCTTCACTGGCTCGGTCCACCTGTCCTGTTCGGAACACCGGATCTGTGTGACGCCTGCCCCGCCTCACGCAGACGCGGAGGTCTGGCCACAGCGACATGGATGCATATTTCGGGGCCGTTTGGCTTTGTGCGCACAGCATTGATGGGTGGGGGGGGGTTTGGAATGGTATGTGCAGAATACACTGTGGGGGACCCGGAGCAACGAAGAAGAGAAAGAGAAAGACAGGCAGTTGGGCACAACGGAGCTGGCAGCATGCCCAGACTGGCGGGGAGCTCAGGGTGCCAGGAGGGGCTACGGACCGCTGGAGCATCTGTAAAAGTGGGGCAAATATTCCAAAACAAGTTGTTATGCACACCATTGGGGAAGACAAGGACACTATACAAGATTGAAAAGATATTAAGGGTTGTAAAATGTTATTAGCGATGGAAAAACCATCCAAACAGCCCTTGACAGACTGCCCCCCCCACACCTCCCCATTGCTCCAACGGAGAAGGAAAGGTAGAGATTGCCATCTAGCGGTATCAAAAGGTGCCCTCAAGTAGTCGTTTGAAAATCTTAAGAAATCCGCATTGTGTCATCATTATCAGTGTGTTCGCAACACGTTTTCAACCTCAGCGACAAGTCTGCTACAGGAGGCTGGATAAGAAATTCTGTTTGCACCCTCCATACAAAACACTGTGATTATGTGTTAGTATGCACATGAATGATATATTGTCATGTAGAGATTATACTGTCAAGATGGTACTGTGTTTTTTTTCACAAGATATTAGAGAGACACAAGATGATGATTCCCTCCTTGTCAGCTTTATCCATGTTGGTAAATTAGTTACTCTTTATAGGGATTGCACATTTTTACAATCTCAAACCTGGTTCACCATGAAACATCATGACATTTTTGCACAGTGTTGTTCTTCCTCTCCCTTTTCTGCTCCTGTCATCATGGAAAGCTACTGGAAACCTGAGCTATAACCCTATTTATAGTAGAAGAACAATGCCGGGAAGTTATTTAATCTGAAGGATTCTTTGATAGGCACACTGTATCTTTCAAACTTTGTGAGAGGCACTTGAGTATGATTTCCATTTGGAATTTTTTAGAGATCTTGCCTATTCGACAAAGGGCTCAAAATCACAAGGATGGTAAAGTTTAATATAAATTTGTAAAAATTGGAAGTTTTGGGAAAGGTTTTTGTGTTACATGTCATAACTCAAGTTATTCATAGTTTAGACATCCACAACTTCTCCAGGTTCAAATGAATAACTGTAAAACACCCTAAAACACATGGCCTATAGTTGTATTTGTTTATCTATTTTTAAATAGTGATTCAACTGTTTTCCTTCATACGTTTAGATCATACTGACGTTTGGAAATCCGTGGCTAAACATTATCTTATGATAATAATGATAATAAAAAAGGGCCGTTCTGTGATGATTTGAACAATAATCACCTAAAGGCCTGCAGATGGTGCTCTGATTTAACGGAGTGACAGAATATCTTGATAATTGGTTTTAGGAGGAGACAGATCTGTTTGCTTATATATTACATGCTGATCTTGATTACAAGAAATACAAATGTGTCTCAGCCCTTAAAGTAGTTTTATGAAGTTTCTTCATTTTTTACTTTAATTTATAAACATACAACTTAAATGAGGCAGGCTTATGAAAACGTTGAGTGGGTGTTTTCCGTAGATGTCTAAATGATGGTGTTCGGCATAAAATGCAATTATATCAAGCATTATTGTAGGCTTATGGCACTTCAAATGCTTCTGCTACACCGACTCAGCTGAGAAAAAGGGGGAACAATGCTTTTATGATGTTGTCCCAGGTTTTAAACAATTTCGACCATCAAATTTTCCATTGCATGCATGCGGTTTGCTTCCCAGAATCAAATTAGATAACATGGCTGTCATCACATCCCAGAACACAACAATTACTCTATGGATAAATCTCCCATGGCTAAATTGTATGTGTTTTCACATTGCCTCAGCATACTCATAGAAATATGTGAGTTTAATGTCCTATTCCCTTTCGAGAACATGCTCTGATCACTTGCCAATAGCTTCTCAGCAATTACATCTTGCAACTTGAGGCTGATTGTGCTGGAATATCCTCTCCATCAGACCCTAATTCAGCCCCTTCCCTGTATGCACAAATATCTTTGTTAGGGACTTAAATGTAACATTTATAGTATGATATCTTAATAATCTAAATCAAACTCTATTTGGACTTTAATATTTGCTGTAATATATTCCATCATGTCGTGATCCTTCTCAATCCCTCTGTATGACACCATAGTAGGTAGTAGCAAAAGAGAACAACTTTTGAACATGTTTAATGTTGTCTTGTTTGGCAATATTAAGATGGCATGATATCAACAGCATAAAGAAAGGAACATTCGGGTCCCACTTGTTTACATGATTTCTAGGGAAATTTGTCCAGATAGTATCAGCCATCACCACGGAATTACTCAGTATTTCCGTTTTAGATGTCCGTGCGGTTGTCCAGAAATTAGAGGCTTTCGCGTTTCGTTAAAAAGGTCCTTCCGAGCAGCCGTAGCAGTGATAAACACTGACAAGCAGCTGTTTCTTCATGTAACTGCTCACGTGGACGATTTTAGAGTGGAAACGCAGTCGAGTATTGAAGAAACAACTGTCTTTCATTACTAATAGCACAATGGACCCTGTCATAAAAATAAATCCAGGTACGTGGAATCTGTGTGACGTTTGCTTGGTCGTTCAAGTCTTTGTTTGTGCCGCTTCGGCCGGCTGTACTCTTCTTAAAGCCTGTTTCTTTCCACTCCCAGGGGCGTCGAAATGGGACATTCGTCAGAAGATTTGGGACTACATAGAGGAAAAAAATTTGGCCAACTTTCCTAGGCCTGTTCACAACAGAATCCCTAACTTCAAGGCGAGTTAAAGCCGTTCATTTTGAAGAAGATGACGTTCAACGTTTTAGGAGTTGACCCAAATTTAGCTACGAATTCTTCAGCTTTTGCAGACGTCCTCATTTAGATTTTTAGGTAGTGCAGTTTTTTTTTTCATTACACTTGGTTTGAAACCGGTTTTTGGGTCACTAGGATCCGATTTTTTTCAGTCACACTAAAAATAATTTGGAACAGCTGTTGACTAATATTGTCATGAGAGTTGCAAACGTCGTGGAGGCAGGCCTACACACTAAAGCCTCTTTATTCAACTGTTTTAACCTTCTCTTTTTAATCACCCGTGCATAAATGGCAACCTTTAATTAATTTCTTATGAAAAAAAGATAAAACATGCATTCAATGGGAGTACAAGTGAAATATCTGCTTTTGTCACATGATTTTGTGCCACACATTTAGCCAATGACCCCATTGTCATGCACGCTGCCAGAAATCTGTTTAAAATCTGTTTAATCATAGTAAAACTATTCACGCTTAAAGCTAAATAAATCGTATATTCCATGCAAATTCGCTTGTCATGCGCTCGTGAGTCTTTGTAAGGATGAAAGTGGCCACACCAGCCATGTTTCTGTAGCATTTGAGTAACATTTCTATCATTTTGAGTGATTGATCGTCATCCTGCATGTTTGTTTTCCCGTGTGCTAACTGGCCAGGGTGCAATTCAAGCATGCAACAGGCTTGCGGTGCTGCAGGAGTTCAAGTCCAGCCAGACAGTCAAAGTAAACCCAGACAGACCGCAGCAGCAAGCGCGCTTTGTCACTCTGGAAGTAAGTTGACTTACTAAAACCTTTTTTTCAAAAGATACTCTCTCCCCCGTAGGGTGCTTTTATGGCCTGCACCAAAATGACGGAGCTGCAGGTGTTCACCCAGTCCGCTGAGGTGAAGGTGGATCCTGATAAACCTCTGGAAGGTGCTCGACTAGCAGTGCTGCAGGTAGCACTGCACTGTGGATGGAGGGATAGGAAGCATGAGGAGACTGAGTGCATCAGGCTGGATTAGAGGAAACTCTTTTTACATATTTTGTAACCTTATACTTTAACCTCCATATAGAGGTCTTTATGAAAAATGATATATTCTCCTTATTATTTTTGTAACATACATTCTGATTCACTTATTTCTTTTCATGAGAATTCAAGTACAGCACTAGCTTGCATCTAGCTTGGAGCCTTTCACTTTAATCATCACTCAATGACTTTAATCTATGCAGTATCTGCCTCCGGAAATGTTTGAGAATCTTTAGTTTCTCATATTTTGGGATACTTTTCTCAGGCAAGGAAAACTCTCTTGGTTCCAACTCCTCGTCTTCGCACCGGTCTTTTCAACAAGATCACTCCTCCCGAGGGCGCCAGCAAAGAAGAGCTGCGCATATGTGCCTCCGCTCAGGTTTGAATCTATACACGTATGCATGTTTTCAGTCTTACTCATTCGCCTTCAATGCTATTGAGATTAATTAATTTTTTTATTCCATCTGTCTTTTGAATCTGTTTCAGGGTGTGAAAGATTTCAGTGTGCCCGTTGGACTGGACGCAAAGGTGAAGGTAGACTTGGTGGTGGTGGGCTCTGTGGCAGTGTCTGAGAAAGGTTTGTGGCCACCAGCAATACTCCACCTGTCTTCAGTTTAATTACGTTCAGAAAAATGACCAGCGATTTCTCCAAACAAACAGATCGGGTCATGTTAATCCCATCCCAAATGGGTCACGGAGCTTCTTAGCTTTCAAAATTTCAAGATCAATTTACTCTTTTGTTCCTGACACGTTGAACAAGAAGTAACAAGAATAAAAAAAGATGTCAGTCTTAAAATCTGCAGCATCTTTTTTCCTTCCGATTAGAAACTATTTAGTTAATGTACAGTCTGCTAAAAATCTGAAGTATTATTTTAAGTGAACACTTTATTACACAGAACATTAAATGCCAAAGAAAGTTCTTGATAAAAAGTCTGCATCAGGGCATGTGGTTTAGCTTTCTGCACCAGGGAAGTTTGGAGACCAGAAATGAATAGGTAGTTATGCATAATCACATCAGTTGCCCTCCTTTTGCCTTTCTCAAATGTTCTCCACAGAAATTGTACAGTAGCTAATGATGTCTGGTGATCCTTACTGTGAGACAGAATGATTTAAGGGCAGGATTGCTGCAATGAAAGTCATGTTTACAGCGATGTATAAACTATTCTTTTGCTGCCCTTACATGCACACTATGTTTATAAAACTGATGCATATATCAAGAGTGAAACTACTTTTACTGACATTAGGTTAAAATGTATAAAATAAAGCAACAATCAAATAAATAATCTGCAAATTCAACATTTTCATTCTATTTGTCCCTCCAGGTTGTCGGATTGGAAAAGGAGAAGGATTTGCTGACATGGAGTATGCCATGATGGCTTCGATGGGGGCTGTGAGTCCCTCCACTGTGGTAGTTACCATCGTCCATGACTGTCAGGTTTGTCTCCTTCCTGTGAATTTGCCCATGAGACCAAATGTTTGTGGTTGAAAAAAACTACTTTCTTTTATAAGCAAGCATTTACATGAGTACACTCACATCGTAGGAGTTTTGTAGTATTCTCTCCCTTCATTTGTTAATAAATGTATTGTCTGAAAATTGCGTTTCAGGTGGTAGATATTCCTGAGGAGCTCATGGGAAGTCATGACCTGACTGTGGACTACATCCTCACACCCACCAGAGTTATTGAAACTAACTGTCAGCTACCCAAACCACAGGGAATCATCTGGTCTAAGGTAGATGTAAAAATGTTATTGATCTTTTTGGGGTACCATAGCCATATAATAGTATTCATTTGATTTAAGTGCCAAGTTTCAAATACTACAATTCAAACTGAATGATTCAAATCTGAATCACAGTGTTTATGCTACACGTCAGTTCCCAAGTCTCCCATAAAGCCTCTTATCATCTCACCATTTAGAAGCCATCTAGAAGCATTACGACATGCTTTGGAACATAAAATTAGATGACTTAAAAATCCAGAGACAAAAAAAGGTTTACTAATAATACACAGACAATTAATTATTTTGCACAAATGAGCTGCAATTACATGTTGGTAATTAAGCTTAAGAGTAATACAGCAATTAGTTCATATTAAGTTTCACAGATGGATGTTATATTATTTGATGTATCAGAGTTGAATTCATTACAAGTAAAACTGTTATTTCTTTTCAACTCTCTCTCTCTCTACACATACATATATATATGTGTGTGTGTATGTATGTAAAAAAATATATTTTGTTAATTAATCTCTTACTGCTTTTCCCCAGACGAAATTTGATGTCCTTTCTTGTTAATAATCAGTTTATTTTCTTAATGGATGCAAAACTTAAATCATTGTGTAACCTTGTAGGAAATTACAGAATACACTGGGTTTTCAGACTAAACATGTATATTAAAAACTTATCTGAGTGGACGCTGCCCCCTAATGTAATTTGAGGCAATCTTCTCTTAATAAGAGTTGTCCTACCAATGTGTGTATTTGATTTAACGGGACTTTTTTCCTTCACTCAAAAATTGAAATTGGTTGTGGTTTCGTCCAACACCCGTACAATGTGCATAGTGTGTATTAGGAGTGCAGGTATCCCAGTGTTTAAATGACTGCTTGTACATCAGCCTACCTCTGACTTATTGACACCAGCAGTGAGGCATCAGGAGAACTTCCTCCTGGTAATAAGTCTTTAATTAGACATGATGATGTTATTATTCTTATCATAAGTCCACATTGTGTATAACCTCTGAGGTTCCTTAAGACACGCATGTAAGTAAACAGGACCTAGTGACCTCACAGACAGGAAGGCCGCGTCTGATCATCAAAGGCTGCTTTGCCCAGCCACCTTGGCTCTGGCAGGGGCAGGGGAACGACGGGTCACACAGGCCAGTGCAAAAACAATAGGCTCGTATATCCTTTACAGGACTGGTCAGCATCAAAGGCTGCCAGGCCACTTGAAGACCCAACAAATCAACACAGCAGTCGTTATTTTTAACTACGTGGGAAGTAAAGTATCCTGCTCCTGTAAAGACGGTCATTAAGTGTAGAGACCGTCAAACCTAATACCGATTAATTTGTCCCCAGCTGGACTCAGAAAAGCTGGAGAGGATCCCCATCCTAACCAAGCTGCGAGCTCTGGAGGAAGAGGCCGGGAAGGACGTCACGCTCGGGGCGCCGCCACCGGCGGCCGAGTCTGGTCCGCAGACCGACCGGCCAAAAAAGCAAGTCAGACGCAGACCGAGGCGGAACACACAGACGGATGTCGAGGGAGAATATAGCAAGGAATCCACGCAGGAAGAGAGAGCGGAGGCAGAGCAGAGAGCCAGACAGCGGCCAGCTAGGATGAGGAAAGACAGCAGGGGAGATGGCAGGGCAGATAAGGAGGGAGAGGCACGTAAGCCGCTGAAGGGGAGAAACAGGGAGGCTGGGAGGCAGCAGGGCGCAGAACCGGGCGGAGGCGAAACGGGGACTCAGCGCAAGCTCCCCCTGAACGTGACCACCGTTTATCTGGGAGGGATCCCGGCCGGCCTGCGGGTCAGCGAGCTGAAGAGCGCCCTCAGAGAGAAGGAGGCCACCCCCCTCCGGCTCACCTGGCAGGGCGCGCAGCACCGGGCCTTCCTGGACTACAGCGACCCTCAGGCCGCGGAGCAGGCCCTGGAGGCTCTGCAGGGCCTGTGTCTGAGTGGCCACAGCCTGCAGGCCGAGCTGGCCAAGAGCCAGCGTGGAGGCACAAGGTCTGGACAGTCCATTAAGAGACAGAATCCGTCCGCTGCCTTGAAGTCAAAAATGGCACCAGCAGATCCTCAGAGTGACACCAGTGGGAAGGCGGAGCAGTAACAACAACAGGCAGTACTAAAAATATACATTTTCATGCAGCCAGTAATACTCTTAGAGGACTAATGCATGTGTTTTTTTTTATTATCGATAGAAGTGGACCTCAGTTACTGGAATTTAATTAGCATTAAGCAACTAAAGTATTTATGTTCATGTGGAAAATGAGTTCATTTTGAGCATAAAACGTTACCCAAGAGATTTCTGTATTCTCCCAGTGCCTCTTTCTATTGACACACTCTTTTTTTCTGTGTATCCTGGTGGCTTTTCTTCTTTAAACGTGAGTGGCTCCTTTAAACGGCCTACAGATATTTCTCTCTTTTGTTTCAGACTGAATGCTGTTGGTTTATCATGACATAAGGATCCAGTAAGGTCCTGTTGCAGTAAGCTGGCAACACTTTACCAGGACTCGCACCTTGGCACCACCAAGTGGCCAACTTCACCATTTATACCGGCCACAGAATTCATTCACATGGTAGCGGATTCTAAAATGTCTCTTTATGGATATTCATATTAGTCACTGATGTGCATGAATTTTTTTTTCCCTATTTCTTTTTTTCCTTTTTTGAGGGGAGGGGGCACACATTTTATTCTCCACAGGTTTTACCTAATCCTCCACAATTTGGATTACTTAATTTTAATTTTGCAAAATGAAGACGTATAATCTATTTGACGTGTGTTGTTGTTAACTTCAAATTCTATTGTGTCATTTCAGCTAAATGTAGAGCATGGGAACATAATTTGGTTATAGACAACAAAAATGTGTGGGGTGTACATTTCCCTAATATAGCCATGACCATTTCACCTTACTGACACAAGCTATCCCTCTACACCCCCAGCATATACCAAACATACTATATACTATAGTCTAGTTAAAAATGGTTTTCTTAAAAAAAACATTGTGGATTTAAACATAGGCCCCTCTATCTGTTTTTTATAGACATTTTTCAAACAGTTCTGGGTAATTTGACCATTAGTATTTCTACCTTTTTCTATTTATAGAAAGGACCTGTTGATCACATTCAATCTTCTTGGGCCAGTTTCATGGCATTTTTTTTATACTAAACTTAGCTTTTTGTCCCCCACAAACTGCTTTGTGTTTCTTTTCATTGGGCCGTGCAGCGTGTTACTCACTCAAACTGCTGCTTTTCTGAAGAATTTAGACAAACCATCCAACTATATTCCAGAAAACCCATCGGATTCTGACTAATCTTGGAAGAGTGATTCCACAATACACAATTTAACAATGTCAACCCAAAATGTGAATTTCCAGTTACAGGAACCTGACGTGGAGCAAATGGACAGCCTTTTATAGCTAAAAACGCTATCACGCACATCCGCTTTTCTCTCTGCGTATCTGCACAGATTTGTACCTTTTACACAAGATGACTCACACTAAGTTAGTCAAATGCATGCTCTCTCCTCACAGAGGTCTTGGTTGCACTGAGACACAAGCTCACGGCGTGTCTGTCCGCAGGCTGCAGGCTTTTTATGGAGCTGTCATCCCGGGCAGGCCTGGGAACAGCTGTGGAGCTCCGGCTCTCTCCTGAGCACCGCCAGAGCACTGAACCCCAGCAAATGTCATCGGTTTGTTAATGTGCTGTTCCACTGCTGTTCAGCCTGCTCACTCTGTACTCCATGCTGGAGTGAAGGGTCAGTCAGTGGTCATGTGAGATTTCAAAGCAATGCAAGTATCAACATGAAGCATTTCATATATATCTATATAAATGTGCTCCTGGATACAATAATCTGTATCAAACTATACAATTATTTTTAAAAAACATTACTTAATTTCTTTGAATTTCAAAAGGGAGGCAGCAGGTTTGGTTTGGTCAAGCTTTTGTTGCAATTATTGTTTGCATCTCAGACCTGAAACTGAATGGATAAGGGAATATATATTTCCCCAGTACCTGCTCAAATGATTAAAGTACCACAAAATGAGATAATATCAGTTATTAACACATATTTAACAACCAGGACTATTTTCATGCCATTTGTGATAAATCTATAGTAATGCAGTGACTGGATGGGATAAAACATTCAGGCCTTCACACATGAATCATTATAGTTTACTTTAATCGTATCTCATTCTTGTGACTTTTGCTGTACATGTGAGGTGTTTTAGAGCTGATACAAAATTTCCCTTCGCACTTCCAAAGGTTTTACGGATCTTGCTCAACACTGTGTGGGGGGGAACTCTCATCACACAAAATAAGTATCCCTTTTTTTTTTTTTTTTTTCATCAGCACCATTTATTAGATTCTATTTAGCAGTTTTTTTTATGGAGACAATGTATTGCAGAGGACAAAGGCTGCAGCTCGGCAGCATGGAGAGGGTTCTGACTGACCAAACCCAGCCTCTGCTGCGGGCTCTGACCGCCGCGCGCTCCTGTTTCACACAGGGAATGTTAGGACTGGACCTCCAAACACTCACATCTCTGAATGTGGAAAATCTGATTAATGCATAGAATATCAGTTTGCAATGCCATTACCAGCTGCTGCAGTGAAAAACAAAGACATAACGAAAAGCTTAAGAATTTTAAACGTCACTCTGAACTCTGATTTTGGAGCACGTTTGGCTTTTTGAGGCTCGTTGATTAGCTGCCACTTTTAAATAGACAGACAACTAACTTTAGTGTAAATACAAACGCTACAGACTCATTGCGTTTAATCCAATTTATCCTAATTCCCTTTAAGAAAAAATCCTTTATAGTGTTCATATGCTGTTGATTGTTTTTAAATGTGTTTACAGAATCATCCATGGAAATTACCAGATGTTGTGGCTGCTTGATAAAAACCAAAAGTCGTATTTTATTCAAATTGAATGGAATTTCGGGGCTAAACATCCCTGTGGATTAATTTCATTTCTTACAAATGGTTTGTTGGAATAAAACCTAAACATCAGCTCTCGCCTGTGGACTCAAATTTTCCTAATAATATAAAGTATAAAGTATACAGTGCTGAAAGTAATGGTCTACATACATCTGACACAAACGACACAGTGCTTACAATATATCCTCAATTTCATTTCAAAACAAATATTAGGTATTCTGACAAATATTGCCAATAAAGCATGTAACTTCTTGGCCAATTCGCCTGAAATTAGAATATAGGCCTAGAGAATAAATAAGAAAAAGTTGCGCTTACAGGCAATTCAAAAAGTGCCATCTTTCATTTTTACACAGTATACAGAATATGGACGTACAGTTTACGGGCCTATGTAGAGTCCATACTTATAATTCAGGATTCAACGATGGTACATTAGTCAAAATAAAGAACGCGTGTCTAAATTCTCACAAGATGGGAACAAAACAAAAAAATAAACGGAGAAAACTGAAGTGCGCTTTTTTCTTTTTTCTTTCATTTTCTTATTTTTTTTGTTTTGTTTTTTGTTTTTTTTACAAGATGAATAAACATGAACAAAAGTGTGAAATGATAGTCATCCGCTCTGCAGGACTAAGTACCAAACAGCAGGAGGGGTTCCTTCGCCCTTTCTTTTTCCCCCCGCTGGTCGACGTGAATGGCATGATAAAGTTTATATTATCATATATTATTATTATTATCATCATCATCATTATTAGGTGGCGGCTTGGAAGTGGCCTGGTCTCCATGTCAAGTGGGGAAAAAAAGTAGTCCGCAACTTTCTCGCTTTCAGGCCGGGACGCGCGCCGTGGGACTTTTCTCTCGTGTCCGTTCCTGCGGCCGCGTGGCCTCAAAGTCCGCGAGACAGCCGTCCAGTCCCGTGGTCAGACGGCACAGTGTGGGGCTCACATGACGCAGGGCTTGATGTCCTGGTAGGAGACCTGCTGGTGGTGGTAGTAGGAGCTGCTGCTGGGCGAGTGCATGGCCGAGGACGTCATGGCGTTGAACGAGAACACGAACTCCTTCCTGTCGCACATGCTGGGGGACTGGGAGTGGTACCGAGGAATACCTGCACGCACAAGTCCAACACATGAACCACAATTCAGCTTTCAGATCACATCATGTACAAATTCAGTAGTCATTTTTCAAGGCCGAAGGTTTTTATTTTTTTTGCCTGGGATCCATTCTGTGCAATAGCAAGAGGAAAAATAAAAGGGTTTCTGAGTGTGAATGAAGATTGAATTGGTAGTAGTCAATAACCTGCAATAAAATAAAATAAAGAGTTTTAAGATGTTCTGAAAATGTGTTTATTTCGAGGCTAAATGTGGTATTTAACTCTCAGATTTAGGAGCTGCGGGCTAGGCCGTCTCAATATCTTCCAGGCATGCGTGTTTCCCTCCCGGAGCCCGGCTCCATTAGCAGGCGCGATTATGGCTGTCAGGGAGAGGCGGGCTGGCCGGCCTAATTGACAGTGGCCCTCTTGCACGCCAGTCCCGGAGGACCCAGAGCCCGGGGGCAAGGCCGGCCGGACCAAAGCACCGCTTGTTTTTCATGCAAAAGACATTGGCACGACTCTCTTTTCCTCTCCTTTTTTTTTTTTTAATATAACCGAGCGAGTTTGAGCCCTTTTGGGTACAGGCCATGCGGTGGAGTACAGACACTAAAAGTTCGAAGACCAAACTGCAACAATATTTCATTTCTGTGGGGGGAAATGCGCGGTTTCTTTTGGTTTCGTCCATTTGTTTTAATGACCTTAATTTAATTTCCTTCCTTTGTTGGAGCAGAGATAAGCCTGTTTTTTTCTCCACTGTAAAATAAATGTAGTGCAGTTCGATAGTAGTCTGAGTTTGGCACAAAACCACGTGCAAATCAGCAAACTTAGACATTTAGAAAGAAAAAAACTCATGTCCTAATATCCTAAAACTTTCGATGGATAGATTTGGATGGAGTTTTGGATTAAATCTCCCTGTGTTTCTTCATTTTTTATCGATCAGACACACACACACACACACACACACACAAAAACAACTACTAGGGTTTGTTGTGAGTTTGAAACGGTTCTTACCCTGTAAGTCTGCGGTGCTGTGGCCGTTCTGGTGCAGGTACTGCTGCTCTAACGAATGCGTGGGCAGGCTGGGCTGCAGCGGGTTGGCCCCCGGATTGCACGGTGACAGGGGCTGCTGCTTGATGTATGACGCCCCGTTGTTGAGGGAGGCCGAGGGCGCGGGAGCCCAGGCCGAGGCGGAGCTGGAGTAGACGGGATGCGGCTCCATGACTCCCCCGCTGGTCAGCAGAGGGGAGGCGGAATTGTCGTGGTGGGGATAATCGCTCCCAGTGGATCCTGTACAGCTTCCCATGTAGGAATGTCCACCGTTTGTCGACAAGTGGGACATGGAGTGCCCGGACAGACCCATCCCGTCCATGTTACCTGCCAAGTGTCCGTTCATCATCCCAATCCCGCTGTCCAGAGACAAGCTGTTGGGCGGGCAGGAGAGGCCCCCGCCGCTCCCCTGGAAGTTGTAGGACTCGGGGATGTGGTTGAATCCCAGGCCGTTCATCATGCTGTACATGGGCTTCAGAGCCTGGCACTTGCGTCTGAAACCCCGGGGTCTCCTTCGGAAGGATCCCTCCTCGAACATGAACTCGCTGGCCGGGTCGATAGTCCAGTAGTGGCCCTTCCCCGGTCGACCGAGGCCTTTGGGCAGCTTGATGAAGCACTCGTTCAGGGACAAGTTGTGACGCACGGAGTTCTTCCATCCTTGATAGGAGCCCCTGAAAAACGGGAAGCGGCTCTGCAAGAACTGGTAGATTTCACTGAGCGTCAGGCGCTTGGTCGGAGAGCTCTGGATGGCCATGACTATCAGAGCTATGTAGGAATAGGGAGGCTTCTCTGGGCGTCGAATCCCTGCGTTCGTCTTTTTGGTTTTCGTAGTGGAGGAAGCGGTTTCCATCACCACCGTCTGTCCGTGCGGCTTCTCCGGGGCGGACATCGGGCTGCTCTGGGCAGGAGTCTGCGCTGGCGGCTGCTGGACCTCTGCCGTCATTAGTCTGCCTGGATTTTGGGGTCTTCGAGGTCGCAAACAAACAAACAAAAATCTCCACCGATCAGCGCTACAAAGTTTGGTACTACTTCGTTGACATAAAGAGGGAGAAAAAATCACTAGAGACAAGCCAAAGGCGCGACTGTCCTCTTTCGGACTCGGTTTAGTTTCTGTCCTGCTGCTGCTGCGTAAAGCCGGGCCACGGTGTGTGCAGCAGGCGGAATGGCACAAGGAGCAGAACAGGAGCCTCTTTCCACTTGGGTTGGTGTGTTGTCGTGCGTCCGAGGAGCTCACTTTTTACTTATCTGTTGCCATCGGGCAATGGAAGCTGTCTTGGTCATCCTAATGTTGGGCCCCGCCCAGCTCCCCTCCTACTCCAGCGGTGGGCTGTGAGCATGCACATCTGCGTGCGCTCACTTTTCTGTTTCTGTTTTTTTTCTTTTTCTGACACAGCCAGATGCCATATATCGCCTGTTATAAATTCTATGTATGATTTTATTCCATAGAGCACAGCACAACAACACAGGAGCAAAAACTCCCTTCGACCCTGACCAGTGTGCAGCTTAAAGTTTAAGACTAAAGCTGACTGATTAAAGCATGACTTTACTTTGTTGCAATTCTTCCTTTCCAACCTAAATGTTCCATGATCAGATTTATCCATTTATAAATGCCAATGCACCTTACAGGCGAGCAGCATGCCGAATCTCTGCTGCCTTTAAATCCCTTAAATCCTTTATAAAACATTTTTTATAGCATGGAAAACATTTATTGCAGAGAATACGTCCCACACATTCAAAACCAGCCTCCCGATTTCTGTAAAAGATAGACAGGAACATGGGCAGGATGTTTATAAAGCAAAATGTAAACATTTTCCCCAGCCTTCTTCTTCTTCTTCTTCTTAAAAAAAAAACCAAAGCAAAAGCTCCGTTAGATCAGCTAATACTCAAATAGATGCGTCCTCTCGCTGCCTACTCTGTACATGTTGGAGCTTTTTCCCTTAACAAATGAATATTGTTTGTGTAATGCAGTCATAATATTTACGCAGGGACGCGGGAGGAGTGAGGTGGAGGCTCAGCCGAGCTGTGCGCGCAGAAACCCGGACGGAGACTTGAGATCTGCTCATTCAGGCACTTATCCGTCGATTGATCCAGGATTTAAGGTAATGTGGATTGAACTGATTCGCTTACTTTATCAACGACAGAACTGCGGTCGCTGGGAGTGAGTACCTCCACGAGAAATCTGAGATGTTTAGGTTGTGTTTTGTGACATAAAATAGTTGAAATGGGGCTCAATCCAGCGCCGGTTTTATTTGTTTGTGCTTTCGAACGTGGAAAGGCTGAATCCGAGCCCAGCAGCGAGCCAGAGCTGCTGGAAGGCGATCGCTCCATAGCCTAAAACTGTTGACAGTAAGTTGCTTATTGTTCCCTGGAGAGCCCGATAGCTGCAGCCTGCAGCTTTACGCTGCGCGTCCGTGCGTCTGGATAAATGAGCGCGTGCCTCTGGTTTACCTGAGTGGATGGTGCTTTGGCTGGGATGGAATTTGATTTTTAAAAATAAGCCACATTTCACATTTAAACATCTAAAACATTTGGTTTAGGCCTGATTTGAACACGTGGACGTGAGCAGTGATTTAACGGACAAAATCCTGCGTCTCACGAGCTGTTGGTGTCTCAGCTGATCAAACCGTGCAGGCCTTCTCTGAAAACAATACCTCTCACTGCAAAGCTTGGAATGACAAAAAAAAAAGCCAAAACAATTTCCTTTCCTTTCTCTTTACGTCACCTTGAGAGTGACAGACGGTTCCACGGTTAGCGTCTGCTGCCGTGAATCGGATCTAAAGCCGCGGAGAAAATGAATGCGCGCATTGTTTTCCCCGGTGCCTGATCAGCCTCAGCTCTCAGAGCGGGAGCCACATATTTATCAGCGCGGCGGACCACCCAGCGCGCACCAGAGGCAGGCGCGCTCCCGTCCCCTCTCTGCCCACTGCGTTTAATTACAGCTGATGACTTCATTCCATTAAGGCTTTTCCCTCTCACGCTCAGTCGCCTCGTGTAATGTTATTCCTCGTGACTTGTCTAAAGGCCTGAAAATCTTTACGTTTTTTTTGTTTTGTTTTTGGTCTTGGAAAAGCACCGAACCCAGTGCTTGAAATGTAAAAACGTTTACGCACGTCATCGGGAGTTGGATGGAAATACATTTGCTGCCTGTTGCATTCAGCTCTCACCGAATACAGTCTGTTATTTGGATGATCTCACGTTTTCTTTGAAATTTCCTATATTCTATAAGGGTAACATAGGGATGAGTTGATCATAAATAATCATTTGTTGAACAACCTCGCGTCAGGAAGCACGTGTTTACGTTGGTTTCATATGAATAAGAATGCCAAAAGGCAGAGTGTGCCACCAGAGCCTCGGTTGGCAGATGATGTTCATCTTAACTGAGAATGGCGACCCGAGGTCAGAGCTTCCCTCTTGCTCCACTGGAGACGAAGACGCGCACTTTTCCATGACGTCCCTTGGTGAAATATTTGACAGCGCTGCATCCTCAGGAATGCTCGGCCACTTAGGTGGAGGTACAGCACAGTGCGCGCGCTCCTGACAGGCTTTCCGGACACAGACTCCAGTTTAGGTCCCCTCTGTTGAGGAAATATTACTGAAAAATGTACATCGAAATGATTTCTCGAGGGTATCGTATTTGTTGATGTTTTTACTGTTTGCACAATACCACAGTTTTGTTTTCAGATGTACAATTCCAAGATTTCCTTCATAATCTAGGCAGCATTGTCACGACATACATCCAGTCTGCACTGTGCACGTGTCAAATCTATGCTACCCCACACAGAAAGAACTTATCTGATGATCTGAATTGTTCATAATGGCGCATTTTGTAGCATCACCTGCTATAAGCCAGGGCATCCTCACCTTTAATATTGTTGGAGAAACTAAAGGAACCCATGTGACCTCAACCCCATCCTAATCCCAGATGCAACAGGCAGCAGTTTCGTCTGATTTGGGACTCACAGCAACACGCACGCTTCGCTCGTTCAGCCTGACTTTTTATTTAAAGTGTTGAATTTATTAAAGCTCCCTCACAGAGCATTCTGTTTGAGTGATAGTTTCAGAAATTTCCCTTCTGGGTGGTGAAAGAGGGCGGTGGAGGGTCACGGGGAGACTGCGGAGACTTTGTTTGGAGGACAGTGCTGCGAGGAAATCCATCAACTGGCCCTTAAGTTCGTCCAACCTGAACTTGATTCAAGCTTTAAAGCTAAACTAGTCCGGAAAGCATAAATGATTAAACATTCGAATATTTTTTTAAGCTTAGAAATATGTTCCCATTAAAAAACTGCAATAATCTGCTTACTTTAGGAATAGAATATATTTAGTTGAATTACTAATATATCAAATAATTAAAAAGTCGAAGAAAACATTCAAAACCAAAATATTGAACTTCAGGAACAACACCACTGAAAATGATGTTGGTCATTTAGAAATGGTTTGAAAACAGTAACGTCATTTTGTTTTTCAATCAGGAAAGCTATGGATATTACGGATTTAATACTTTTGTAATTTTATTTATTGTTTTTTTGATTGAATTTTCCTCTCTAAACTGAAGAAGAATTATAGAAGCTTAAAGAGGCACGCGCGTAAAAGGAACTGAGATGAATGTGGCAGGTTTTTTTTTTTTTTCGACAATAGCTGAAATCCAGTAATTATGCTGTTATATTATCTTAACATGCATTTTCAATAAAAAATAAATACACCTTTTTTTAAAAAGCCATCGGTTTTAGCTGTCTCACCAAATACCTTTAGGTTACTTTGAGTCTACTTTTCTGGCTCTTCACCTCCTCACGTCGCCTGCAGTTCACTCAGCATTGTCACTTTAATTGAAAACAGTGTAATGTCGAGGTGGGTACCCCCTCATCACTTTCCCCTCGCCGTAGGTGGCCGTGTATATTTTCGTTAAACTGCTGTTTATGTGATCGAGAGGGGACAGGATTGCTGGCAGACTGCTAACGCGCACTGGGCCGCGGCGTGGATTTTCAAGTGTCTTAAATGACCAGAGAAGTCTCAGTCCGCCGCAACCAAACGCGCTCTCTGAGTTTTTACATTTCCAGAAGAGACATCTGCCCCGCATCTCCCCGCGCGTAAAGACGCACAGGAGAAAAAAAAGTGGTACTTAAAACCCGATTCCTCATGTGATTATTGATTTAACCTCAGTTCTATAGGCTATTGTTTCTACATATATTTCACACTGACCACTTTGATGGCCATGCTAAGTATGGGAATGTGGAGCTTTGTTCAAAATAAAAGTAGTCACGTTTTGCACTTGCTGCTCAATAACACTGATGTCTTTTGGCATGATGGTTTAGAAAAAAACAACAAAAACATGCACATATTTTCAGTCTATGAGGGACTTTGTAGGTACAGTCTAATGAGGAGGGGACATTTGAGCTCACTAATTCGGTTCTGTTATAATTTATTCAAATCAGCTGATTAAAACCGTTGAAAACAAAATATGAATGAGCCAAATCCCTCAGATTTAGTCAAATAAAACACTGCTTTACAAGGTTGTACATTCATTTAATTGTTTCTTCACCTGGCACCAACTTTTTCTAAAATAAAAAAAAAACTAAACAAAAACACTTAGTAACAATAAACGTATAAGATGGATTTATTGAGCTTTTTCTAATCTGACTTGTGCTGTCATGCATCCTCCTGTATGCTTCCGCCTGCTGTATTTTTAGGATTTTCTGTATAATGCATATCACGAGCCTTGGAGTTATCTCTTAATCAAAACGATCGAGCTCGTCATCAAAACATTCCCCACAAGAGACCTTTAAAGTGAATCTGGAAAATGTGCTCTGGTTTTTCTTTCGACGTTCGTTATGGAGACCACAAAGCATTCTAAGCTTAGTGTTTTTTTATGCAACACAGATAAAGAACTTATCATACCAAAATCCAAGAGTCATTTGTATAAACATTATTATGAGGACCTCGACCTCA